CTGCGATGTTCTCCAAAGGACTTCAGATTGAGGGGAAGACTGGTGAGGGGGGCCCATTTTTAAAAATATTAATACGGAAAGGTTGAACAGAGAGTTCCCCTACACACACATTCCCTCCCCCAGACCCCCCACATTATCCATCCCTTGTATTACTCACACGACTGTCAGTCCAGTATCCGACAGAGTAGTCTCGCCACCCTGCAGACACCCTGTGCCACTTTGCTCCCTTCTCATCCATCAGCCCTCTGTTGCTGTGACAGAACACCAGAGACGTCTCCGTATGAGGAGGAAGGTTCATTGTGGCCAAGTCTGAGCACTTTCGGTCCACGGTCACTGGTCCTGGTGCTTTAGGTCTGTGGTTGCACAGAATCTCATGGAGAAAGCGCTCAGTTGTGGTGGTAGGCAGCAAAAGGGACAGGGATAGGAAGGGACACTGTTCCCCTCCAGGGTCACCCCAACCCCCTAGCTTCCTCCCCTGGGCCCAGGCTTAAGGCTCCTGCCACCTCCTGATAACACTGCAGCCTTTCCCATGCTGGCCATGGGAGACGCCCCAAATCAAAGCATAACTCCTCCCTCTCATCCTCCTAGCAACCACCCACCTTTTCATCACCTCCGTGGCTTCAGCTTTTCTAAGATTCCGCATGGCTGGAACATTACAGTCATCTCAGGTTGGCTTCCCTCACCTAGTGACAGCCTGAGAGCGAGCTTGCTTCCTTTTATTCCTGAGCAATATTCTACTGCTGGCATGACCCACGTTTGTTGATGTGCTCCACCGGAGGAGGAAAGTTTTAAGAGTAACCTTTGTCAACATCCACGTGTGGTTTGGTGTGGACACAGGCTTTTGATTCATTTGGATAAATGCATCCCGGCACAATGGCACCCCTATTGTTAGCTCTGCAAGACCCTGGGAAATGTGTTCCGAAGTCAGAACACCCTGCATTCCTATGGAAAGGAATTTTAGTTTCTTCTGCCCAGCAGTTAGGGAAGTCATGAGTTTGGCGTTCGGCCATGGCCACAGTTTGCCATGGTGGCACATTACTTGAATTTTCAAGTCTGGATAACATGTAACGTTGATCACAGTGGCATGCTGTGTGTGTCATTCAGAAAAGATTCTGTTTAGATCTTTTGCTCATATTTTAAATGTTTTTGTTGTTGGAGTTTTAAAACTTTGCATAGTTGGGATGCAAGTTTTTGTTATAAGATGTATATTTTGAAAATATTTTCCCCAATCTGTAGCTTACCTTTTCCTTCCCTTATGATAAATGTTTGAGTATATCCTTACAGGTATTGTAACACACAAGTCAAAAGGTGGCTTGTAAGGGACTAGAAAGCATCACTTCTGATGCTTCTCCCTCTGTATTGAAAACTAGTCATCAAATACACAGTAAAACCTCAGTTCACAGACTCCTCTGTTTGCAAAAAAATTAGTTCACAAACAAAGCAAACTCAACGTTGGGGGACAAACATGACTGTGATCATCTCCTCCACCCCAACACAAATGCAGCCACCTTCCCCCAAACCATGAAACAAATTAAGTTCATAAATGGATGCACCACTGTATGTAAAAGTTCTGGGAGCAATTCTAATAATTCTTTGACTTCATTAATATTCCAAGCATATATGCATATGAATATGTTACTTCTTTTGATGCAGGTTAGTTTTATACATTTTATGGAGCTAATTTTACAAAGTCTCGCTGCTGGGTGGACCACCTCATGTCCAAATTCAGTTTTCTGAGTCTCGATCTAATATTCTTTCCAATCTTTCCTGTTGACTGTGGTCACCAAGATTTTGAATTTGACCCCTTGATTCCTGCTCTCCATGAAAATATCTGAGTTTAGAAGAAGGTTTAAGTTTCTAATCTTATTTATCCGCAACACAAAAATCTGAAATTTGGTGTATAAGTGTCTTATTGTCTGTAAGTGACAGTGTTACTGGGTTTTGGAGTGCTGGCTTCTTGGTTTCCAGGTTCTTTTTCATCTCAAATAAAGAACTGAGTGAACATTTGGGTGGGGCGGCACATTCCTGTAATCCCAGCACTCTGGAGGCTGAGGCAGGAGGATCGTTGAAAGTTCCAGACTAGCCTGAGCTAGAGTGAGCCCACGTCCAGCTGAACTGCATGGTGAGACCTTGTCTCAATAAGACAAAATTAAACAAATACATAAAAGAACTGAGTGAAAGAGGCAAGATGGTGACACAGTTTACATGAAAATTTAGAAGTGAACAGGAAGAGAAACTAGCTCTGCAGAACGAACTTGGGCTGAGGAAGAGAAAAAACAAAACATAAAAGCCAGGTGAAGGTGCACCCTGGAGGACACAGGGCGGGCCACCACGGGGAATGGCGCCTGGGGGCGTCTGTGTCCTTTTATCCCCCACAGATGGCAGGAACCCACGGGAATTCCGGATTGGGGACTCTGGGGTTGTCCGGCCTGTGCATCCTGGGACGTCTTAAGTGACATGTTCTGCTTACCCCGCAGCCAGCTTTGCCGCGCCCTGCCCTCCTGCCCCAATAAACTCAATTTAAATTGGTTTCATCACAAAAGATGCAATTAATAATCTGAAAAGTTCAAGAGCCACACGGGTCCAATGGCTCGACTAGGCCGGTTCCACTCTCAAGCAGACCTCTCCAGAAAGTGACCCCGTGGCCACCAATTTCCTCTTCCTATCAGTCTTGGTAAATCCAGGAAAAAGAAGCCTGCCTTTCTCTACAATTCTGGGAAAAGTCCGGGTACGGTTCCTGGCTGTTTGGAGGAATGGGCTCAACTCTGAACCACCAATGAGCCAAGAAACCATACCCCAAGCCACAGACCCTCAGCAGTGTCGAATGCGAACCCAGACACCAAGAGGTACGCCCCAGAGGGAATGCTCCCGGCATGCTGCTTCCTGAAGAGACAGAACCCTGTCAGAAGTCTGCAGGTGTCTGCCACCAGAGCCACGTGTTCATTCTTCTAAATCTGCCCTTGTGGCTCACTCTTAGGATGCAGGGGACATGAAAAGGACACTTCTCACTTGAAGACAGAAGCCCCAGATTCAAATCTCCGTGACACTGAGCAGCAGTCTGAGCCTTACAGCCCTCACATTTCAAATGCAGATACCACTGCTTGTCTAGCAGAGAGGGAGAGGAGAGTTAAAAATCACGACTGCAAACACTTGCATATAATATCGCCCTCTACGGCACAGGATATGTGTCAGCTAGGGTTCTAGATGCTTTAACATCATGAAATATGTGACTCCCAAGTTGAAGCCTGCAGCACAAGCACCTAGAGGTTTGGGAACACACAGAAGGCCGAACCCACACCTAGAGTTTCTGACCTTTGGGTTGGGGCCTGATAATCTGCCTTTCTAACAAAATTCCCTTGAGGTGTTGATGCTGCTGCTCAGGAAACCAGGCTTTCAGACTAACAAATCACCCACTCTTCTTAACAACCCCAAGAGGCCACTGGTACCCACCCCCCACCCCCCACCCCCGCTTTTAGATGGTAAACAGATTTGTACCTGAGCTGGTGCTATGTGTAGCCCTTCTTGCTCACACAAACAACTGCACACTAACAACTGAGACAAAGAACCAGGAGAAGGGAGAGGAAATGAAGAAGTGGACTGCAGTGGTCAGATTTTCACTGCTCTAACCAAATAACCAAGAAAGCAACTTAGTGTTTATTCTGGCTCACAGTTCCCAAGGGGTCAGTCCCTGGTCCTCTAACTCCAGGGCAAAAATAACAAGGCTGAAGGGTGTGGTGAGGAAGGCTGCTCATCTTACAGCAGGAGGGGAGCAGAGAAGATTGTAAAGTGGGTCCTAGAGAGAGGAAGGGGCTGGGGACAATTAGCCTTTCCAGGTGATCGCTCCTGAGGGAACTTCTCCAGCAAGGCCCCTCCCGCCAGCACATCCAGCTCTGAAGGCATCGGTGAGTTAACCCCTGATGTGTGCAGCATTCCACGATCCAGTCACCTCCCAAGTCCCAGCTCTGAGCACAGGAGACACTTGCAGGACAAAACCTGTGAGACTCCTTATCTGTCCTAAAGAAAGGGGCAACCATCTAGCTAATGATGGAAATAGAATGTAGAAATCATGAAACTGGGTAAGAAAAATATGTTGATGCCAAACTGTTCTAAAAGCACATTAATTTATTTCTGGTATCTTTTTATTTATTTTTATTTTTATGATGGGGGGCAGGATCTCACCATGTAACTGAACTTGGCTTTGAACTGACTATGGGACTCGAGTTGGCCTCAAACTCACGGGGATTCTCCTGCTTCAGCCTCCAGAGCGCTGGAATTATGGTCATGAGACACCAGAGCTAGATCACCTTTTTTAAAAATGTGTGTGTGTGTGTGTGTGTGTGTGTGTGTGTGTGTGTACCTTTCAGGGTAGATAAAAGTAATACAATTATTTGAATACAGACTAAAAAACTACACAGCTCCTCTATAAAAAGTGAGTCACCACTACCTTAAATAATAAAACCAAAGGCAGCAGCAACAGTCTGCTGCCTGCCAGAGGCACATGTCAGCTCGACTCAGCAGGAGGAGCGGCCTTCTACCCGCACTGCAGTCTAAAGCAGGAGCTGCAAGCAGCCATCGCGGCCCTGGGCTACTAATGCCCTGGGGTACTGATGCCCTGGGGTACTGATGCCCTGTGGTACTGATGTCCTGGGGTACTGATGCCCTGGGGTACTGATGCTTTATTTATTTATTTATTTTTAAGAGCAGAAATATTTATTGAGACAAAGAAAGTTTCTGGCTGAGAAAGAGAGAGAAGGGGTCCCCAGGGGGTTGCAAAGGTTCTGTCTTTATAGGGACTTTTATAGAGTAAAACCACGAGGTGAGGCGGCTCTAAGGTGGGGAAACTGGGAACTCTCAAAGCAGACAGGTGTGAGGTAGGACAGAGCTATGATCAACCAATCAGATTAACTATCCAGGTAGAATTGACCAAATCAGGGACAAACGGGGAAGCGAGTCCCGTGACCAGCAGCATTGTTTATGGATCAGTGACTCTTTTTTTTTCATGTCAGATGGGTAATGTGCCGACGTCATAACAAGGTTCAAAGGAGGCACATATCATGCACGGAGCATGAAAACCCAGTCATCACTGCAGGGGCTGGGATGGTGACTCCTGGCTTCTCAGGTGATCCGTACCTAATCCCTAATGTTTATACTTAGGGTGTGGTTGCATTTGTTTTGCCTCCTGCCTTGAGATCTGGCCCAGAGTAAGAGGTATATGTCTCCTCCAAAGTCACAAGACAACCATGCCAGCTTCCCCGAGGGCCCAGCTCTGTCTGACGGCCTGTAATGTTTCTAAGTAGCTCAGCTGCCTGTAGTATTCTTCCCTCTGAAGAAATATCCAGAACTGCTCCGAGTGAGAAATGGGCCAAGACCCCCCTAGCTTCTTCAGGCTGAAAGGAGCCGTAGTTGCTGATTGGCACTCAGAGATACTCTACAGAGCTTCCAAGTAACGGCCCTCAGTGGACACCAGGCACGTTTGTCTTGGGTAAATGTACAGCTTTAACTCTGAGGGAAACAAAGCCAAAGAAGCAATTAAGTGACTTCCGGGAGAACATGGCGGACAGATAACAGCAACTACCGGAGGCTCTCTGAAAAACTAGGCTCAGAAGCCAGATATGGTGCAGACTAAAGAGACATAAGCAGATGGAGTTATGCTCTGCTGACTCAGGAACGAATTGGGCTGAGAGAAACCAACTTGGAATGCAGTCCTGGTGCTAAAACAGGAACAGAAAAGTCTCGCTGCTGAGGCTGGACCCTGCGCCATTGGAAGTCGCGATTTGGGTTTCCCGCCGTGCAGTGGCTGGCTGCCTCTACATCGGCTCGGCAAGGAGAGAGACGCGCGGAAACTCTGAGAACGGGAGTCTGTGAACGGAGTCGAAAACAGGACTGGCAGGGAGGCATGTTCTGACTTGTGGCAAGGTGAGTGAGAGAAACTGACACTCCACCACAGTTTGACTCCAGCGGACTTTCTGGGCCCGAGCAGTCCTGCGGGAGCAGGGCGCAGTGGAGACTCCAGCCACACATTCCCCTCTCGGGCGGGATTGGTGAAAAGTGCCTGGCCTGCGTGACGCTGCCGGCAGACCCAGTAGGCTGGCCCAAACCAGATCCCAGAGCCTGACGGAGGCCGGGAGGGGCAGGCCCCCGAGTAGGCTGCCTGGTGCACAGCGGTGAGTGGGAACACCTAACCGGGGCAATTCGATCAGGCTGTGGCTGACAGGGAGAGAAGCTGGGCCTCTCATATAAGCTTGCATATATAAGGAACAGAGAATATGGGAAGAGGCAGCAACAAGAAAGGCTCCTCGGCCCCCAATTCTGAGAAACAGGCAATAGCAGACACCGCACCATTACACATAAGGCGCCATATAGAGAGCCTCATAGACCAATTCAGGAATGAAGTTATCAACGACCTGAAGCTAGAAGTATGCAAAATAGTTAGAGAAATGCTAAGCCCCACCCAAGAAAAAACAGATGGTGGAATGGAAGAACAGAAAAAGAGGGGAGAATTGTTTGATGGAGAAAACAGGGAAAGCATAGAATACGTGAAGCAGGTTCAAAGGGACTACCAAGAAACTAAGAAGTCTATCGAAGACTGGCATAACAGCTTGAAAGAAACTAATGACAGACTATCTGAACTGGAGGGCAGAATTGTAATATGGGAGAATGAAATGAAAAACTTCTTAAAAATAACAAAGAAACAAACAGCAATAATACAAAGACAAGAAGATGATAAGAGGATCCATAACTTAAGGATTAAGAACATAAAAGAAGAAGTAGGGACACAAACAAGTGAACTACAAAAGCTACTCACAGAAATAATCCAGGAGAATTTTCCTAATTTAGCAAAAGGTAAAGATACTCAGATGTATGAGGCATACAGGACCCCAGCTACCTACAACCCTAACAGAGCAACACCCAGGCATATCATAATAAAAATTCCAGAAATTCAATACAAGAACAGAATATTAAAAGCTGTCAGAGACAAGAAACAGATCACTTACAAGGGAACACCCATCAGAATTACAGCAGATTTCTCTGCACAAACCATCAAATCACGAAGAGCGTGGGGGGAAATAATTCAAGCTTTGAAAGATAATAATCTCCAGCCAAGATTGAGATATCCTGCACAACTGTCCCTGGAAATTGATGGAAAAACAAGGTGCTTCCAGGATAAAGAGGAACTGGGGGAATTTGCAACCACCAGTTCAACTCTACAGAGAGTATTGCAGGATATTTTAAAAAAAGAAAAATACAAAGAATCCAGAAATAGTGGAGGCCACAACTAATGGAGCAGAGAACAAAGTGAAGACAAACTGACAGCTACTGACAGAATAAGAGCTCAACAGAAATGAGGCAGAGAAGATTGGATGATAGGAACAGCTATTTTGGAGAAAATGACATCTTAATAGGTAATACTGATTTAGATCATCTAGTTTTGAAGTCTCATCTAGCTTTTGTCCTTCTGTCTCCAATGGTCTAAATAGGTTGTATCTTACTGGATTTTATTATGTACGATAGTATAAGCAAAAACCTTTTAAAGACAAGGAGATTATACAGAAACCATTATTCATTTTCTGTTAGTCGATTCTAAATACTCTGTAATGCTGTCATTCTCTTAAATGGTTTTACATTGTTTTGATATACTTAATGCTACAGTATACGAAGTTGTACTCAAGGATTTCAAGGAAAGCGACAATATGGTAACTACTTTTAGGTTAGGATTATCTGGTGGTGAAACACTATTCTGCTTAAATGGTTATGTTTTGATCTGTGCTGTTTTGTTGTTATGCCCTCTTTTATCTCAATCTCCACTCCATTATTTACTTTTTTAATACTTTTAAATTTTTATCCTTTTAATTAAAGGAAAAAAAATAACAGGATATATTATAGTAACCCACTTTGACTTTCCATTACCTCGATTTAAAGCCCTGTATTACTCTCACCATCTGGTTTTTAACTGATGTTCCCCTATTCTGTTTTGCTGGATAGTATTAGGTTCGAAAATTTAGCCATCAGCTGTGAAGATAATGACATTCATTATAACGCCCATTCTCGTTGACTTTTATCTACTTTTGAAGACCTACAATGTCTCCAATGGTTTGGTTTTGTCGGTTTTGTTCTTTACTGTTTTGTTCAATTGTATTATAACTAATGGTATAGGCAATTCTATTAGAGATAGCGGGAGGCATTATGGTAACCATTGTTGATCACCTTGTATTATGTTTTCACATTATCTATTATGTCCACTCTTTTGACTTGACCGATTCTGTTCTGTTATGTCACATTTGGTTTTACTCTTTTCCAAAAAAGTAATAAGAACCGTGAGAGCAATGAAACCCAAAATGTGTAATAGTCATTGTACAAAAGAGAGGAAAAGAAAGTGCTCTAAACTATATAACTGCATGTATATTTAAGTGTATAAGATAGAATATGATATCACAGAGTTTTATTGGATCATTGAACAGAACTGTTTGCAGTATCATTGATGGAATGTCCACTTTACAAGCTTTAATTTTGTGACTTGAACAATTATTTCTAAGATGACAATATGTAATCCATTAACTAGTAATTTCCTACTGTTCATTTTTTTTCTGCAAATCTGTATAACTTGTACCCTTTCTCTGCTTTTTTTTTCTTTTCTCCTTAAATAAAATTAAAAAAAAAAATTTAAAAAAGAAGCAATTAAGTATGCATGGGCCAAATAATAGAATCAACAGGATAATTATGAGTATAGTGAACGGTTCCACCAAGTGAGGGCTTCCCTTAAGGAGGACAAAGATAAAGTCCAGGAAATTTTAGAATCTGGGTGTCCCCACTGTATAGATAAAGAGACAGGCTCTCACCAGCTCTGCATTTCCCCTGGCCCTTTATTCTTATTTGTTTGTTTTTTAAGACAGGCTGGCCTAACTCAGGGCCATCTTCCTGACTCAGTCTCCCAAGTAGTGGGGTTACCAGCACGCACCATCATTCTGGGTTCTTCTTTCGGGTTCATTAGTCCCAGGGTACTCAGGCTGACACCGACAGCCATTGCTAACTCCATAGGGTGTGGCTTTGATTTAATAACTAAAACCCCGACTTGTCCATCATGGTGGACCTGTGCATTACTGTTCTGTCATTTCTTCCCTTCCCGGCTAGCTCCTGTTCTCCCTCCAGGCCTCAGCGTGGGTGTCACCTCCACCCAGAAGCCGTCTGGGGAATCCCACTTCCACGTCCCTGAGGGTAAAATCTCGTGTGCTCCTGAAGTGCTCTGGCATTGCAAGTGCAGCCTGGAAGCAAAGATGCAATCAACATTTCTGGGCGCTCCTGACAAAGCTTGAGAATGAAGGGGCTGTGCACGTGTGCTGTGCGCTTCCTGGCTGGACGGGGAAGAGCGCACCGTGGAAGAAGGAAAAGGGTGGCCCGCAGCACGACGCTTAGCATAGAGGGCGAAGCCGGGGCCAAGACGTGCAGAAGGAAACAGAAGAAGGGAACGCGGCTGACCGAGGTTGGGAAAGCACCCAGTGTCCGCCCTTAAGGAACTTGTCAGGTAGCCGGGAGCAGAGGACAGGCGGCCATTCGGTCACACGTCCTGCAAACATTTATTCCATGCTCAGTGCACCAACACAATGCCTTGAAACATTGCTTTTATCATCCCGTCCACCAGGGATGAGGAAGTGGAGACTCAGAAGGCGGAATCACCTGTCACAGGTCGTGCACTTTTGGTTCCTGAAGCCACCCTGAGTGCTTTGCGTCCGTGACCTTACGTAGCCTGCACGGCCACCGTGAGGTAGGTGCTTCGGCTGTCTCCTTCCCTGCACGACAGAGGGTAACTAACTTGCTGGGGGTCACCCCTAGCAAAGGCAGAAGTGGGGTTCACACACTGTCTAGTCCCAGCCTCGGGCCGTCATCACCGTGTTGCATGGCTGTCATCCCCTATTTAGACGAAGTCGGAGGCTGGGGTCACATGGTGAGTGACAAAGCAAAGGACCCCGTGGGAGCATCTGTTCTTTCAGCTTGCTTGAGTTTTCATCTTCTCCTCTGCTCCTTAGCGACCCACTAACTCCATTACCAAACATAAACAGCCGTTTCGCTGTGTGTTTCTTCGCGTTTTCCTGAGGACTGGGTCTATGCTCTGCCTTCCTAGCTGACCCCCAAGGCAGTTGATGGCGAGCCTTTTAGAGAGGAGCGCTCCAGCTGCAGCCTGACACTGCTCCTTTATTGCCAAGTGCCAACACTGCAATTAAAGCTGAACACTGAGGCTTAGGTTAGAAAAACAACTGATGTCAGAAGTTCTGCTGCGGGTTGACTTGGCTGGAATGAGGATGTGAGGGCTCCATGTGTCTCCTGCAGCACGGGGGTCACCACCACTGTCCTGAGGAATCTGTGAGCCATAGAAGACTAAGAACAACTTAAAGAAAATAAAAAAGACCAGTTGGAGACAGACAAACTAAACTTTGGGCCCTTTGATAAAAGTACAAAGGTGTGGGGTGCACTCCTGTAATTCCAGCACTCAGGAGGCTGAGGCAGGAGGATCATTGCAAATTCGAGACCAGCCTGGGCTCCAAAGTGAGTTCAAGAACAGCCTGAACTGCACAGTGAGACCGTGTCTCAAAAAGTCAAAAAAAATACAACTCAGAAATGCTACTGAGTTAAGGTATTTAGACAACCTCGCTACCATGTAGAAGATGTTGATCCAGTCACATCAGTGATGATGTGAACAAGGCGTCTCATTCACTGTCTCACCCCTGATTCCCTCCTCAACCCACACATTTGGCTTCCTTTCTCCTCCGGGTTGCGGTGTTCAAGTGACCTTCACCTCCTTCGTGCCACCACTACTTCCCTGTCCTTGGCATTCAGGGTGGCTCTTCTCCCACAGCACGTCTCATGCACGACGCCCTCGCTGACTCCATCTCGTCACCAACGCCTCACGCCAGTGGTGTTCAGGTGTCTGCAAGGCACTTAGGTCACACCTCCAGGCCTGACCTCCACGCTGAGCTCTGCGCAGTGACATATCCGATTTCTACTTAATGACTCTTTTACTCTCTAAGATATCAGCAACCCAGACTCAGTATTTCCAAACTGAATTATTAGCATTAGCATTAATATTGTCTTTCTTATACAGCTATTAAGATAGCACCTGATCCACGTTAGACTCCAAAAATATTTGTTGAGCCAGGCATGGTGGCATATGCCTGTGATTCCAGCCCTCAGGAGACTGAGGCAGGAGGATTGCTGTGAGTTCAAGGCCAGCCTGGGCTACATAGCAAGATCCTTTCTCAAAAAAACCTAAATAAATAAAGAAAGAAATATTTGTTGAATGAATAAATGTTAAATGGTGAAAAGTCTATCAAAATATTTTATTTAAAATTTGTGCATATGGACTTCACAACAACCAAGATAGGAAAACAGTCTAGATGCCCATCTCTGGGTGAGTGCATAAACAAAATGCATGCGTGTGTGTGTGTGTGTGTGTGTGTGTGTGTGTGTGCTGTGCTGTCTGGGTGTCCCCCCAAAGCTTCATGCACTCAAGGAGTGGGGCAGGCTTTTGGAAGGCAGCTGAGTCTAGCATTTGTGATTTGTTCATTTTCTAGTGCTGGGCTTGGCGGTGTGAGTGCTGCACCCGCCCCGGGCAGCTGGCACACAGCGTAAGGGAGGGAAGGAGGCCTGCTTTCCCCTTGTGCCCTTTTCTCTCTTGTGACTTGCGGCCACCATGAACAGCTGCCCCTCTGCCTGGCTGGAACCAGCAGATTATGGACTGAAACCTCCACAAACTCTAAGCTACATAAACCTTCCCTTCCTTCATGCCGGGTATCAGGTATTTTGTCTCAGCAATGAGAGAAAAGTAACCAAGACAGTATGCCATGGAGCATTGTTTCACTGCAAACAATGAACTTATGTCTGTTGCAGGAAAATGGATGAGACTGGAGGCCATCATGTCAGGCAAAGCAAGCTAGACTCAGAAAGATTTCCCCAAGATGAGGAATAATAATTTTAAAACCTCACAAAGATGACATGAAAAAGAAGGGAGAGTATTGCAGACAGAGGAAGGGACTAAGAGACGGTACAGGGAACACACGGGAGGGGACACATGTGATCAAACTGTGTCATGTGCAGGTGTCACATTACAATGCCCCTGCAAAACCCAATAGCTTGCAAAATTAATATGCACCAATAAAACGCACCTACAATTGATTATATACTTACGTTTAGTCACATGCTACTCACAGACATACAGTAATAGGAAAACATCGAAACATTAACAATGGCTGTGCATGGAATTAAGCAGTTTCTCTTTAAAATTCCTTTTGTTTTTCAAATTTATTTAGAACACAACAGTTCAGAAGATCAACACATGGGGCTCAAGATGTGGTATTTGCTTGGCATGTGAAGTCCCTGGGTTCAATCCCCAGTACCAACCCTTACAAAAAAATGAAGAATATCACACTTGTTCTCACAAGTAAATCCAACATTTGGCATCTGAGTGAAGATGTCCACTTACCAGTTGTACAACCTGAGTTTCCTCATGCGTTGAAGGTGTTTGAAAATAGTGTGAGATCTGATTTTAAAAATATGCTGAATGCAGTTGTAACAAGTCCTCTTTCAGGCATGTCTTTAGTTGCATTGTTCTGGTTGCCTCCGTGTCCTGAATTCATTTCCCTTTCATGTCATTTTAACTTAAAGAGGAGCCAGGATTCAGAGGATACCAGACCCAGTGAATAAGGTGGATGAGGACACACTATAATTTTTTATGTGGAAGAAATTACTGTAAATATCTTATCACTGAGGGGTGATAAAAATATGGTGAATTTAAAGGTTTTTTTTAGCTGGGCGTGGTGGCTCATGCCTGTAATCCCAGCACTCGGGAGGCTGAGGCAGGAGGATCATTGCGAGTTCGAGATCATCCTAGGCTACAAAGTGAGCTCAAGGCCAGCCTGAACTGCACAGAGAGATCTTGTCTCAAAAAGACCAAAAAAAAAAAAAAAAAAAGATTTTTCTTACAATAAAAGACACATGGTACAAGTCTCCCTCAAAATACTCATCCTCTCTTCAACGCACGTGTCCCATCGTTCTTGGCAATATTCCTTTTACTGCCATAAATCCTTTTTAAATGCAAACATTCACAGTATCTATCAACTCCCCAACTCATTTATAGTTAGCACTCACAGTGCACTTACCTGTCAAATTATTAATGCAAAGAGCTTTTGCAAGTACAGCCTACAAAACAAGCGAAGGCCGTCGATTCCAGCTGATAATGACAATATTTATAATGAAAATATTGCACACATCTCTCCTGCTAACCTTACCATAGAGGAACAGCGCATCTAGGAGTCCGCCCCGCCCAACTCCCCGCCCACTCCCCGCCCCTCCTCCGGCTCCACGCCTCGCCCCGCCTCCTGCCCGCTCCGGAGAGAATGCGCCTGCTCCGTCCAATTCTTCCGCCCACGTGACGCGCCCAAGCCCCTCCCCTTACAACATGGCGGTGCCCTGTCGCTGAACCGCACGTGAGAAACACCGAGTAGCTGGCTAGCAGAAAGCACCGCGTGTGAGCCCGGTTCTGCTTCCTAGCGTCGATTTCATCCTTCTGACTCTTCCCGAGGCCTCTGCGGGCCTCGCCCCTCTGCAGCCATGAAGATAAAGCCTGTTTCTCACAAGACGGAGAACACCTACCGGGTGAGCGCGGGATCCCGGGCCGGGAACGGCGACTGGGGCGGCCAGGGTTCAGCGGCTGCAGAGTCCGGGCCGGGCGGGAGTCACTCGCCCGAGGCTCTGGTGGAAGTGGAACTACAGGATGTAGTAAATGTGGAGCGGGGGAGTAATGAAGTTTGAGTGACAGAGCTCGCCCTTGGTTTGGGAGGTCGAATTCGTTTTGGGGAACCTCCTTCAGTCCAGCATTACCTTCGTTATCCCGGGGGATTGCTAGGACCGAAACTGAGTTGGGACGGGGGGCAGCACCTCGGCTGTGAATAAGTTTCTTTCCGCGTCTTTGGCTCAGTGTAGTCTGTATGTGAACACTGTGGTTGCAAGAACTTCTCCGAATTCCGTGGTCGTGGCCAGATTCGGCAGTCTAGCACCGAGTAACTGAAAGAACTTGGGCAAACCTACAAGCGTTTATTATCTTCGAATAGTAACGCAGTGCATTTAAGGGCCTGTGACTTTAGGTTTGTTTTCATTCCTATTTTTTGTGACTCAGCAGTGATATATGCTTTTAGTTTAATAGTGACACATTGTATGATCGATACACTACCCAAGTCTGAAATATCGAGCCCAGCCTAGCTGTCATCTGTCATGATAGAAGGCAGAAAGGCTTGTTGAGTGGTGCTTTTTACACTTTCTGCTTTACCAAGGCAGCTACCCACGTGTGATGTTGTACAGCCTGAAATACTGAGGATGTAGTGAGTCCTGAGTGATGACCTATGCTAATGGTTTTTTTTCCTCCAGTTTCTCACATTTGCTGAACGGCTGGGGAATGTGAACATTGATATAATTCACCGTATTGATAGAACTGCAAGCTATGATGAGGTAAGAGAATGTGATACTACCCAGGTCGCTGGCAGTTGGAGAACACTGGAAGAAGTGTTCTTTGACTTTGTAAATGTGGCCTATTTGTAGAAGTGAGTTGTTTAAAGGTATTTCTTTTTATGAGCATGAAATGCATACTGTGTGGCTGGCTGCTCCCACCTTGGATGAGTGGAGATGCAGAAAGGTCTGTTGGGTGCAGCTGTTTTAGGCGGCCAGCTTGACTTGATACCTGATGAATTTTTACGATCTGAGTCTCCCCTTTCCAGTGTGCATTCCGAGCCTGCTGCAGCCCTAGGATTTTAAAGTGATTTTGAGCAAGTCTCTTTCCTGGGGCTTAGTTTCTTAGAGTGCTTAGACATACAGATGTAAAGATGTTTATTTGGCTTTATGAGGAGGAACCGAATAGTCTAGAAATCTAGCAGTAAGAATATGGCCCCTCTTAGGAGAGGATCTTGCCACAGGGCTAGACTGCATGCTTTTCCAGCGCTAGCCACCCTAGAACTGTCACTCCTCTGTGTAGAAATATTTTTCTTATTCCTCTGCTAGCCTTGTAAGATCTTGTGTAATATGCCACTCAACCTCGGTTCTCACTGTTTTTCAAATTCTACTCATTGTTGCTTTGAATGTGTTGCCTCTGCCATGGAAGTTCAACATGTTAAATGTTCTTTAGGTCAATGCATAAATGCTTTGAGAATTCAGGGAAGGGAGCCTAACCTAAATTCTTTGGGGATATTTAGAGTGGCATGTAGACAAGGTGATCTCTCAGTTGGGTTTTGTTGTTTGTATAGGTTTTAGCATGGCCCAGAGGATAGGAAAGCTCTTTCAGGCGGAGGGAGAAACCTGTATAAAGGATCAGAGCGTAGGGAATGCATGTCACAGTCAAGACACTGCAAAGCAGTTCAGTATGTTTATGGAGGTGTTTAGTAATTGTGTGTGTTTAAAATTACTAAACAGGAGAAGAGGCAGCCGGTGAGCTAGGCACTGATCATAAAGAGACGGTGTGTCAGCTAAGTTGGGGTTTTATCCCGGAGCTATGGTGTTTCATTCTGGGGTTTTAAACAGTGGAGCAGGTGGCGTGATCAGGTTAAATTTCTCATCTCTCTTGTTTTAGTGTGGAGGGAAGAGCTGGACTAGAGTCAGAACAACCAGTTAGAAGTTAGAAGTGATTCCAGCAGTCAGGTAGAGAGGGGAGGATTGCAGAGTATAAAGGAGTGGATGGGCCTGTGACCTACCGACCGCAGAAGGACGGAAGAGAACTGTCCCATAATCGAGTGGTTAAGGCTGTCTGTCGTTCCCGGAGTCAGTTTGTAGGAGGAGCAGTGCGGGGTTGTGGGAGGATAATAATCACAGTGCTTGGTGAACTTAGTGTCCCTGGGGCTGTGCAGCTGACAGTGTCCGAGACTTTCAGACGTACACAGAGAACAGTAACTTCTGGGGGAGTTAGGGAGCCAGCTTCAGCAGGGGCTCACATTCAGCCAGGGAGACCTGGAGCGTATGGAGGACTGGGGAGCCAAGGTAGCGAGGAGAGCTGGGGTTGGACCCGGGGCCGGGTGGTCCCTGTGGCCTGGCTCACGTCTCTGGCCATTGACTGGGCCTGTGGGTCCTGATCGTCCTCATCCCCATCCTGTCCAGTCCACTCGACTGGGCTTCTTGTGTGGTGGAACCTTCCCAAGATGGCAAGAGCAGGTGCTGCAGGGCTCACCCGGCCTTGCCCTGTTCATCACAGGGGAGCGTCCATTGGCTGTTCGCGGCCAGGCCAGATCCGAGGGGCGAGAAGCGGGTTCCATCTTCTGGAGGCTGGAGCTGCACGGTCACAGGGGCATGGTCTGTCGTAAAAGGCTGCTATGTGTCACTGTGCTAGGTGAGGAAGGCCTTCTTCATGATTTCAGCTAATGTGTGTTTCTCTTCTGCCTTAGGGGACATTGAACAAAATTAAATGGAACTTTGTTTTTTCCTCTTCACTCTGCCTAAAGATTTCCACATTGCAAGACTTGCATAATTTAATTCCAAATATGCAAGATTTGTATAATTTAAGGAACTTTTGTTTCGTTTGGTTTGTTCTGTTTTTTGATACTGCAAGAGAGTTTCGCGTGCTCTTTGGGCAGGTGTGTGTGTGCATGTGTTCTGTCTCTGTGTGATGCTCTACCTGTGCACAAACACATACGGCAGGAATTTAGCGGCTCACCTTTCAAAGTGTGTTAACAAGCTAAACAACAAAATGCAAAACCTAGAAAAAGGCTCTTTTCCCGCTCTGCTTATCATTGTAAAACTAGTTTTGACAGTTGAGTATTTGTGTGTTTTTTCATACTCTTCTCTAGTGCTCATGCAACTGTGTGCAAACATTTGTGGAGGCGTTTGGCATTGTTAAGGAAGAATTAGATTCCACATAGAGTTCACTGTGGAATTGGCTTTTATCACCTGGGGCCTGTCAGCAACATCCTTCTAGTTCAGCACAGAGATAATCTCTTCTCTTCTCTTCTCTTCTCTTCTCTTCTCTCTCTTTCTTTTCTTTCTGTACTGGGTATTGGGTCTGGTGCATGCTAAGCCTGTGCTCTACCCCCAAGCTACACCCTTGCCTCAATGTAATTTTTGTAAATAGCCACAAAGTATACTTTAATATGTACAGACATAAGTTTCTCTAAATTTTTGCTGTGGTTGGATTTCAGGCTATTTTATGCGTTCTCTTCACTGTGGTAAGCTAAGTAAACATCTTTGTACTTATATATTTATACATTTCATAAGAAATAGCTTATAAAAGTGGAGTTTCTGGCTCAGAGGGCAAACCTATTTTTAATTTTAATAGAAATGCCCGACTATTTTACCATAAGGTTTTAGCAGTTCATATTTTCACAAGCAGAATGAAAGAACCTGAAAGAATCAGCACACTTGTCTCTGCCCAGACTTGCACAAACACAGTAGAAGGTTTTCCATGTGTGTGACCACTGTAGACCCTTTGGAAAGTTACTTGCTAGGCCACATCTGCTGGTACCATTGTGCTGACAGGCTGTCATCTTGGTATCATGCCTCCTATTGCTTTTTAAAGTATGTTAGTTAATACTTTTTTAAAGAAACCTAACAGGAGTGTTTAACATTCTTGATCACTGTAGTAAGATGTTACTATATTGTTATCCTTTTTAACCTGATCACAGTTTCTCGGGGTCACCTGATTAATGGAGTACTTTCATCTTGGCAGGAAGTGGAAACTTACTTCTTCGAGGGTCTGCTGAAATGGAGAGAATTGAACCTTACAGAACACTTTGGTATCTTTTCTTTTGTTTGTATTTTACTCTCCCACAATTTGTACTTTGCATGATCCAAGTGAGGAATGAAAAGCAGGACACCATCCTTTCTTGTTTTTTTCCACCCAGGAAAGTTTTATAAAGAAGTTATTGACAAGTGCCAGTCATTTAATCAGTTGGTCTATCATCAAAATGAGATCGTTCAGAGTTTGAAAACTCATCTGCAAGTTAAGAACAGTTTTGCCTTCCAGCCCCTTTTGGAGTAAGTAGCATTCTGAGAAAAAGTTCAATGGCATTTATCTGAGTTTTTAACAGAAATTGTGTTTCATAGCGGTATATGCCTTAGATCAGGTGTTTGGGGTTTAGAGACAGAAACACCTTTTCTGTTAGATCAGACTATCAGGGAAAAGTGTGTTACTGTGAAGCAGTGTCCTAAGGATGCACTATTGCGTGTCTTACTTCCTCCGTAAGCCCCTTTTTCTAATGCTCTAGGAAGAGGTAAGCACAGCCTTCGCAGGAAGGTACCGTCTGACCTGGTTTCTTTGCAGAATTCCTAAGAGTTGAAGAATTTTCCTTAAAACTTGACTTGGAAGAAGTTGGGGTGATGGGTCTTTCTCTTTAGGTTTACAGCCTTCGTAAAACCTTTGCATAACCACCTGCTTCTCTTTTAATGCAGCCTGGTAGTTCAGTTGGCACGAGACCTGCAGACAGATTTCTACCCGCACTTTCCGGACTTCTTCCTGACCATCACCTCCATCCTGGAGACGCAGGACACGGAGCTGCTAGAGTGGGCCTTCACTGCGCTGTCCTACCTGTACAAGTATCTGTGGAGACTGATGGTGAAGGACATGGGCCGGATTTACAGGTGAGCCCGCCTCGTCCCTCGCCTGTCCGCAGCCTGGCTCCCGGGGACCCCTGCAGTGCGCGCTTCCTCACTGGCCGCAGTCCCGCCCTGCCTACCTGTGGTGTTGGGATGCAGCTCGGCTCTGCACTGGCCTGACCTCTCCTCTGCCGCTCTGAAAAGCTGCTCTGAAATGCCGCCTGGCTTCGGTGCTGTGACAGCTGTTCCCGGGCAGCTAAGCCAGCAGCAGGCGCTCTGGCCTGTGCCTCTCCGGCGTGCCCATCACTCGCATTGCAGAGCTTCTGTTGTGGTTGTTGTGTGTAATGTACCGCTGCCTTCTGCAAACCTGGGAGCTCTGCATGAGACCCCTGGGCCTCGAGCACCACGCATGCGTCCTCGGCTGCCAAGCCAGAAGAGACTGGATGCTTTTGAGTACACCAAGCACAAAGAACACCTCAGTGCTGGGGGTTGGACCCAGGCCGCTCCCTGGCCCGCTCCCCAGTCCTGTGCTTATTTTTCATTTTGAGGCAGGGTCTCACTAAGTCATGGGTTGCCCAGGGAGTGCCTGAATTTTCAGTTTTCCTGCCTCAGCCTGCCACAGACCTGAGAGGACAGGCGCCTGCCTCAGCATAGGTGTTTGCTTAAAGGAAAGGTATTATCTGATTAAATCTGAGATTGGGTGGGGTTTTCCTTTGTTAGAAGTCGGCCTTTAATGCTCCAAACCCTGAGAGGGTTTGGTCTAGGACAGGACAGCCACTCTGGTTTGCGCCCCCTCTTCTCTGTTAGCAACTTGGAGCTGAGAGTGAGAAGGGAGTAATTTCCAACCTTATTAGTTCTCCGTGAAGCTTTCGGTAAAATGCACTAGAAATGAAGATTATTTCAGTACACAAACCACAGGTTCCTTGAGACCCGTGGTTTATTTGGTTTTATGACATAAAAGCTGTCATGGTGATATCTCAAGCCAGGCTCCTCGCTTGTAACTCTGGCTTTTGGTGTGACACTGCCAACAGCCTAGATATTTTCACTTAAGTCATGTGGAAACCGAACTTAACGCAGTGCTGTTCGGACCAGCTCTTGGTCGCTTCCCTCGTGTCCATGTGCTGCGGTGTGAGCTTCGTGCCTGTCGGGGCAGCCCCGTCAGTGCCCCTTCCTGCCTGGGAGCCACGGCCAGTGCAGCTGTCTCCGGACTCCGCACCTCTCGCTCCTGTCACACGTGGACGCTGAGGAGGTTTACTGCACACCATCTACGGGGGCTACTGAGACCCAGTGGGGGGAAACAGATGCGTCTCTCCCCACAGTGATGGTGTCATAGTCAGGGAGCAACGGCCAGGCACCAAGCAGAGCAGCAGGAGTGGGGGTGCTGCTGCGGGGCCCCAGCGTGTGTCCTGGTGTCCTTCACCAGGTCCCCCTGCCTCTGGCCTCTTCTGTCCTCTCCTGCCCTCCTCAATCTCATCTGTGTTTCTGCAAGCATCTTTTCCTGACGTTCTGTTTCTCGGCTGGTCTTAGTAGTGGTGAGCTAAGAGCCATTAGGGGCTGGGGCTGGGGGTGTGGCCACGCCAGTGGGAGGCTGGATTCTGTGCTCTGTCACCGTCACCAAGAGCTCATCCTGCCGCCCAATTGCTTGAGTGACTGCCGGAGCTGTGCACCTGTCTGCCATGGTGCAGGAGGCGTGGCGTGTGGCATGAGCTGGAACCCAGCGTCCCCGCATCTGCCCCCCTTCTCTGGCACAGATGGCCGTCCCGTTACCTCCTGGTGCACCCCATCGCCCAGTCTGTCTTTGCCCTCGTTTGTTCTCCCTGCATTGCGTTGTGCCTCTGCCCTGCCTGAGCTTCCTTGCGGGGTTCCCCTGTCAGCCCCATGCTCAGTCCCAGCTCCTGCTGTCTGTGGTCGTGCCCTTCTGTCCCCCAGGGCTCCCAGGAGGGGAAGGCAGCACTAAGCTCACTCTGTCCCTGTCCTGCGCTCGTCCATCGGGCATAGTGGTGACATGTCGAGTGCCTTCGTGATACCCTTCATTGAACCGTCTTGTTTTTCTCATTTATAGCATGTACAGTACACTCTTGGCTCACAGAAAACTACACATAAGAAATTTTGCTGCTGAAAGCTTTACTTTTTTGATGAGAAAGGTTAGTGTCATGTTCTCTGTGTTTCTTGCTGGTAAATTGTCAAGAATCTGCTAAGTAGGGCTGATTAAAGGAGATGCAGTCCCTTTCAGCAGAAACTGTAAGGTGCTGGCAGCTGTCTGTGTAGGAGAAGTGACCTCTGAGTCAAGTCATAAATGCCTGAGTGAGGACCTGAACAGGAGTTTTTGTACTTTCCTGGAAAGAACTGGTAGCATAGTAGTATTTGTGTTTGTTTAAAATTTCTGCAGTTAAGTATTAGATTTTTATAATAAAACAACAAAAAAAGATATTGAAAGTCTTTTATGCTAATATGCCATTTCCTTTGGAAGACAGATGTTGCCTTGTGTGATTTTTCCTGGTTCTGTCTTTCCTGTTTACCAATAGAGTCATCACTCCTGTGTGACATTGCAAAGGACAGTACGTGGTCCTTGTGGTTTAAAATAGTACACACGCCTGTTCCTTGCAGAACTGTGTTCCTGAGTGTGTTATCTGTGGGTGTGTAGGGCAGGAAGTGACACTCTCACTCGGATGTACTTAGGCGGTGAATACAGTCTTCCCTCCATTTTGCATTGTAGGTCTCGGATAAAAATGACCTTTTCAATTTAATGTTTCTTGATCTTGATGAACATCCGGAAAAAGTGGAGGGTGTTGGGCAGTTACTCTTTGAAATGTGCAGAGGCGTCAGAAACATGCTTCACTCCTGTGCGGGCAAGGTGAGCAGTGGGGTCGTGCTTGGAGTCTGCGTGCAGCCTTGGACTGAGACTGGGAAGGAGTTGGGCGAGGGCGTGGGGACAGGGCGGCCTCGGGCGGGCAGAGGCGGGGCGCGGATGCCAGCGTTCCGGGCTTACTGTCCCTTGCAGTCACTGGGGTCTCCTGTACCCCAGGCTCCAGGAGGTGAGACTGCGATTGGCTGCTGGCTGAGTGGGGCGGGAGTGGCAGCTGTGTGATGAAATTCCCCGTCCCGGTCTGGAATTTCCTTCCGGGACATGTAGAAGCTGCGTGGCCTCGATTTTTCCAACTCAGGTGTAAGGTTGCTGGGCAGTCAGGATATTAGCACTGACAGGGAGGACCTCTGGGTGCCTATATTTGTCTCGCTTTCTCACAGGCAGTGAAGCTAATTCTGCAGAAGCTCGGACCAGTTACTGAAACACAGACTCAACTTCCCTGGGTCTTAGTAGGAGAAACCCTAAAGCACATGGCCAGATCCACTGTTCTCTACGTCCACAAGGAGCATCTGGGTACATTTTTTGACTGTTTGCAGGTGAGTTCTGGTTTTCAAATCCAGTCATAGGGCAGTTATCTGTAGTCTTCAGCTCGTGGAGGCTGCGTTTACCCTTCTACCCCCGCGTGAAGATCGTCCCTCCTTCCTCCCTTCGCACCCCTCTGCTCGATGCACCGTCTCGCATGCTGTGGCTGGGAGAGCCCTGGAGCAGACTCCGGCAAGCCCGGCTCTGCTCACACCGCTGGGTGACCTGGCAGAGCCCCATACAGGGCTGTGGTTGCTGTGAGGTCCTCGGTGACGCCTGGAAGACGCGTCCTTCTCTCCCAAAGCAGAAGGGTGTGAAAAGTCGGACTGCAGCCCCAGGGTCCCACTGTGGGAGGGAGAGACGAGCCCGCTGTTCTGTTTCCTCTGCTGAATTCTCTGTGTGCAGGAGGCGCTCCGGGATCTTCATGGCAAAGTAATGAACAAGAACTCATGCGAAGGCTCCGAGCAGATCCGGAGGCTGCTGGAAACCTACCTGGTGCTCGTGCAACACGGGGGCGGGTCCAGGGTAACCAGCCCCGTGGGCGTCTGCCAGGTGGGTGCCCAGCCAGCTCGTGTGCCACCGGCAGCCGTCGCCCAGCGCGGGCTGCCCACTGGCTGCTTTCTTGGCTTGTTTTTGCAGGTGTTATCCCAGACAGTGGCTGTAGCCGGTCTCTCCACAACTTGCCGGAAGATGCTCTTGGATGTGATTTCTGCTTTGATCCTTGGTGGAAACGTTTCCCTGCCGGACACCCTCGTCAAGGAGACCATAGAAAGAGTAATCACCTCAGCCCACGGGACCTGAGTAGTTTATAGGGCATTTGGCAACCAGCATGCCTGCTGGGGTCATGGGGAAGGGACAGAGGCCTGCCTTCGGGGTGTTTGCCATCAGCTCAGGAGACGTGGGTGGAATGCTGTCGTGGAAGTAAGAGTACGGTAGAAGGAGCTGAGTCCATGCGGTCAGCGGTCAGCAGGTGTGGGAGCTGCCAGCACTGGGTGCTGGGGAGCCCATGGTGCCTGCAGATTCTGGTCATTGGGAAGGGACCTGGGAGCGTCATTACCATCTAGGAAGCGAGCTGCTACACACGTGTTGAGCTTCACCTCTGAAGTCTGCCAGGGATCAGGAGCAGAAAGGTTTCCCGAGGATGCATGTGGGGAGACCTGGAAGGCTCCTTAGCTGTCCGCCAGGCGGGAGAGGGACAGGGAAGGCAAGTGGCAGTGAACGTGACCACAGCCTTCATTGTGGCTGAGCAGTGTAGCATGGGTTGGTCCTGCAAGTAGCGGAGTTCTGCACTCTGGCAGGAGCCTAAGTGGTGACAAGTGTTGAGACGTCCTTTCAGTGAGTTGGAAGATGGTCTGAGAGACATGGGATTGAAAATGGAAAATCGGATGGGCATGGTGGTGCACGGGACGTGTTACTCCCGTACTCAGGAGGCTGAGGCGGGAGGATCACTGGGAGTTTGAGACCAGTCTGGGCTACATAGCAAGACCCTGACTCAGAAAACAAACAAAAAAACGAAAGAAAGAAAGTAGAAAATCATCTGGATGCTTCCTGGCTTGACAAGGTGCAGCCAGACCCCTTGGGAAGGTCCATGGTCACCCCTGTGTGCCTTGTGGTCCTCTGGTGTGACCTCTGCATCACGAGTCTCCAGGGGAGGTCAGACCCTGGACCCTGCTGTCGCTGCTTTTCCAGGGAGCAAGGAGAACAAGCTCTGTGTGCTTCCTTTGATACATGTTTACTTACGATCCACAGATCTTTGAGAGCGCATTGGAAAGACGTTTAATTTTGGATTTTTCTGAAGTCATGTTTTGTATGAAGCAGTTTGAGCAGGTAAGCAAAAGATACTAAGTTTTGGGTGTTTTTTAAAATCAGTCATGGTAAAATAATCAAATTTGAAATCTTGTGAATTTGCTTGCTTCTTGAAAGGATCAGAATTAATGCTGATGTTTTAGGCAGTTTTTAAAAATGTGTTTAATTTTTAGGACGTAGTCAGAACTTTATTCCTTTTGCTAAGGTGTTTAAAATGATGTGCAGTAGGCAGCTTGTTTTTAATAACACTCGAGGAGTTACAGACCATGTGGAAAAGCTGGGCAAGCAGTCACGTGAATTTGAAGCTTAGAAAATAGTTCCTGAGCTAGCTTGCGCTGAAGGGTGGTTGTGTGTTTATTTCCCTGCTGCAAAATGCAGGCCTGATGGCGCAGGCGGAAGCCCTCCTGTGGACCAGCCCTGTGCTTCCTCTCCGTCCCCGCTCCTGGCTGGTGCCCTGGAGTACAGTGGCAGCTGTCTGTACCTGCCCCTTCTCTGCCCTTCAACAATGTGTGCTCCGATTTGACTCCAAACAGAAGCCTCACTACTCCCGACTTGTGTCAGTGTTGCCTGTGTGAGGTTTAAAAGGGTGAGAGGAGGCTAAAACAGTAGTCGGTCCCCTCTCTGCTCGTGGTCTCCAGCCACAACCTCCGCAGATGATCTGGAGCCACTTTTTCCCAGGCTTTGCATTCTGTTTTTCAGTCACCTGAATAACCTGCTTTCTTGATTACTGGCCTTAGTATTTATTGTAGATTACCTCCTAGGGCAGGTGGGTTTTGGTTCTTTTACGCCGATCACCCACAGAGTTCCGTACGGAATCTGGTTGAATCCGCATTCCCTCCGGTAGGGAAGGAGCGGGTTAGGCAGACCTGGCCGTTTTGTGCACCTGCTCCTTTGTCCTGCCGTTTGGAACCGTGCTGTCCTTTAAGCGCTGGAGACTGGGTGTGCGTAGTCGGGCGGGGAGCCTCGGACAGCGCTGGGAACACCTCCCGCGGGCAAACCCTCCGAAGCTGAGCGGCTGACTGTTTGTTTTCTTCTGCTTCCGTGAAGACTTTCCTCCCTCCAGGAATCACTCCAGTCTGGGGAGGTTTTCTCAAGCCACTGCCCGGATGTTAGATGAGGGTGCCTTTCCCTCTTGCCCGTTCCTGAACCCTATTTCCTGTTCCTGTTCCCCTCTTGAGATCCTTTACTTGCTGGTTTTATAGAAATACACTTTTCAGAGCTGCTGAGGAGGTGGAGGTAAGAATGGCAGGTCTGGTGTATCGGAAAATGCCTCTTCCCCTCCTCATACTCCGTTAGCAGTAGGCTGGATTCTGTTTTTAAGCTTTTGCTGCATTGTTTTGCCTTCTAGCTTTCATTGTTCTTATGGGGGTTTTAATAACACTTTGCTGAAGATTTGTTTGCCTTGTTGGGGCAATGGGGCTTGAACAGGAGCTTTACCTCTGAGCTGTATATCGTACCCTTTTAAGTTTTTTTATTTTGAGATAGTCTCACAAAGTTGCACACAATGGTCTTGGACCTGGCAGTCCTCCTGCCTCGGCTTCCTGAGGCGTGTGTGGCCTCTTCCTGTTTTAAGAAGTGTGCAGTCTTCATTTGTAGGTGTTCTGGAATCTTCCCTGTCATTGATCACAGTCTCCTTGTCTTCAGTTTTTTCTCCCCAGCTTTCTTGCCTACATGGAGAATTGCTTCTCAGCTGATGACCGCGTGGTCCAGGACGAAGCCCTGGCTGTCCTGGCCAAGCTCATTCTGCACAAAGCAGCTCCTCCCACTGCCAGCTCCATGGCGATTGAAAAGTACCCTCTGCTCTTCTGCCCAAGGACCGAGGGGTGAGCCCTGAGCCCCAAGCCCAGCCCCATGGTACAGCAGGTGGACCGTGGGGGATGCAGGGCTGTCTGCTTGTGCTGGAAAGACATCCAGGGTGAAAGTGCATAGGGAAGGCAGTCACACGGCTCTCCACGGTGCCCATGTGCGAGCTGGGTTGGCACCAGTAAAAGGCGGAAAATGTAAGTGTGGAGAAAGCAGGCAACTTTGCATATACCAGGAGAGCGGGTATCTGCATATACCAGAAAATATTCGTAAGGTCACATGCGGGGCGGAGTACAGAAAGCTGCTGTGTGTCCTGCTGCACCACCCTGCGTGAGTGTCTGCAGAGTCACAGCCAGAAAACAACGGCATCGGCGCTGCCGCCAAGCTCGCCAGGTCCATCTGTTCATGTGTGCTCATCCAAGTGCGCACATATACGAGGGTGTGTGGTCCTGTGCGCCTCTGACTTAAAAGAGTTTCAGCACGATAAAAGAGAGAATATAAGGTAAAAATAGCCTTTGTTCCCAGGAGGTGGAGGGAAGTCCGTGACCGGCAGCCTGACTTTCTCTGGCCAGAGTGTGGGGCATGGGACCTACATATAACCTCTGACGAGGGTGGCGCTTAGGGCGGGCATTGCTGACCCTGGAGCAGCCATTGGAGTTTCCTTCGATCGCAAGCGGGAAGGGGAAGTACATTTAAAGCTGAGGAAGAAGCAGGAAGTGGTAGGCTTCCGCCACGCTAGACCACTGCCATAACTGTACAATACTTTATTCCAGGGCAGGAACCTTTCGTGTCTCACCACCAGAGTGAAGATGAGACTGTCCCATCGCTCTGGGGATCATCGGGCTCTCTTTGGGTTTTTTTTTTTTCCTTTGTTTTTTGTGGTAGAGTTGAATCCAGGGCCTTCACACCAAGCTACCTGCTCAACCTTTTAAAGACAATTTTTTGAGACAGTCCCAGTAGGGTGCCAAGTTGCCCAGGGTGGGCTTGAACCTGTGATGCTCCTGCGCCAGCCTCCCGGAGTGCTGGGGTTGCAGGCTGTGCTCCTGGTCCCCTGGGGTGCCTCTTCCATCCCCCTGTGGCCTCCGCCCCTTTGGCCTCCTGGTCTCTCCACCCCTAACCCTTTGTCATTCCAAGAGTGTTAAGTAAGCGGAATTACAGTGTACACCTGCTGAGACTGACCTTGCTTTGAGACTCACCCGCTGTGTGTCAGGAAGCTCGTCCCCCGTGTTGCTGAGCCGCGCTCTGCCCTGAGTGTCTCGAGGGTCATCTACTCACTCGTTGCAGGACACTTGTGCCCTTGCTGGTCTGGGGCGTCGGCCTGCGTGGTGAGTGTGTGGCTGGCTGTGTGGGAAGTGCCGGGGTGGCCGGGCCCCGCACGTCCTCACTCGCAGTGTGGAGTGACCCCGGCTTCCTGCGTCCTCCCAGGCTTTCTGAATTCATTCTTTTTTCCCAGTTTAGTAGGGGTGCGGCGATGTTCGTATTTTAGCTTTAATTTGAATTTCCCTAATGGCTTATCATGTGGAAACACCTTATTTGTGTGAAATACCAGATTGTTCCTTGGCTTATTTTCTAACTGGGTTATTTTATTTTTATTTATTTTGAGACAAGATCTTGTTGTGTAGTCCAGGCTGACTTTGAACTCACTTTGTAGCCCAGGCTGGCCTCAAGCTTGTGGAGCCCTCCTGCCTCAGCACGGCCCCTAATGGAGTGTTTTCTTTCTCGTCAGCGGAGAGAATGACTCGTGTCATGTAGCTGATGAGCAGGTGTCTTCATCAGAGAGGTGGTCAGCAGCGCTTCTCCTCTGGAGCTTGTCTTTGCGTCCTTAGCAGGGTTCTTCTGGGAGAATAAAGCCTTAAGTTTTGATGAGGCCCAGATTATTGAGTTTCCCTTTTCTGGATAGCCCTGGCTTGGTTTTATTATTATTATTATTTTTTTTGGTACCGGGGATCGAACTCAACCGTGTGATTGCAAGGCAGGCACTTATGTACTGAGCTAAATCCCCAGCCCCTGGTTTTACATTTTAAATCCCTGGAAGATCATGAAGTAATCTCTGTGTAAGGTGTGAAGTTTAGGACAGGGTTATTTGCAGAAGAAGCAGCCACTGACGCACCTCTGTTACCTCTGTTTGTCAGAGGTCAACCAAGAGCGTGGGCCCACTTCTGGGCTCGCCACCTTGCCCTGGTCACAGGTGTCTCTCCTCCTCTCTTTTCACACTATCCACTGCTCGGACTCTAAGAGATAAACTAATCTGGAGATCTTTAAATAAAAGTCTTCTCCCTTAGTCTTCTTCATCAGAGTTATTGTGACTCTTCCTAGTCCTTTGCCTTTCTGTGGCGACCGTAGCATGAGCCTGCCCGTGTCTAGAGAGTAACCGTGCTCTAGCTGAGTGGGAGGTGGTGAGCAGCCCTGGTGCAGGCATGCCCAGGCCCTGTGCCCCGGGCTGTGCCACCCAGGCTGTGCTGCACAGGTATCATCCTTGAGGGAGGCCGCCTGCCACCACAACCCTGCTGACCTTCCAGGGAAGTGGCGTGGTGCGCTCCTACATACGAGCTCCGAGGTCCGAGCTCTGGGATCCGGTACGGATGCGTGTGCACCTTGGCCTAGGTTTCTGCCGGGGGAAGGGCTTTGCTATCAGACTCCACATTTCCTCCCCCACCCATTTCATACGCTTGCTGCAAGTGCAGGAGACCTGACCTGCGGGTGCTCTTCAGAAGTCAGTCCGCTCTGTCAGGACGCATGTTGACAGTGTCAGGTGTGTCACAGACCCTGGGCACGGGAGTGCGTAGAGGGTTCCTCCCCTTGGGAGGCAGCGCCGTGCTGGGAAGGACACGGGAGGCTGGACGGTGCACAGCGCGCTGTCCTGGGTGAGGCACTCGCCGTTGCCCCTGCAGCAGTGGATGCGGTTCCTACCTTGGCTTGGGGCTGGAAGGGCCTGTCTTGCAGAGGTCTCGAGGAGACTGTACCGGCAGAGGGCGGGTCCCTCGGGGCCTCTGGGGCATCGAGAGCGTGGTGGAGCTCGGAGACAGAGTGGGCCCGGGTCAGGGGCTCAGGCCGTCTGAGCGGGGAGTAACTCACTTCCTGTGTAACAGGGACCCAGGACCAAGAGACAGGTTCAAAGGCTCCTTGACGTAACCAGCCACAGGTCAGGCGGAGCGGCAAGAGCGAGCTCCTTCCAGGATCTGGTGGTTTTAGTTGTGTGGCATCCTCACTGCCACATGGTGGCCTCGGTCTGCATAAACGTGTGTCGGCAAAGAACAGGGGTGGCCTGGCGTGGGGGCGCAGGCCTGTAAGCCCTGCCCTCAGGAGGCTGAGGCAGGAGAATCAGTGTGACTTAAAGGCCAGCCCCAGCTACAAACTGAGACCCTGTCTCAAAAAGCAAAAAAAGGGGGCAGGGTGTGGACAGAGGAAGCTCCAGTTCTTAGCACACGGTGGAGAAATAACACCTACACCTGCGGAATTAGTTGTGAAAGAAATGGAAACACACGGGACCAGACAGGGCCAGGGACATAGCTCAGCGCACAAGCATCTACCCGGCTAGTGTGAGGGCACCGAGTGATTTGTCCTCAATCTACAGCAGCGCAGAATGTTAAAGACAGGAGACAACTGGGTAGGAAAAGAGTTTAATGGGGGGCACGGAGGGAGTCACCACGGAGAAGGCGGTGGCGGCTCTCTGCAGACAAAGGGCGGGTTCTGCCTGATTCAGGCTCTGATGGGGAAGGGCTCTGGGCACTGATGTGAGCTGATTTATTTGTGAGAGTGCAGGGACTGGGGTAAACTTTACACGCCTGAGCTTTGGCAGACTTTGGGAGGGAGAAGCCATAGGGGCTTCTGGGAAGAAGGAGGTGTGCATTATCAGGGCACAGCTTTGAACTGTTGCCATGGTGATTGTGCTGTCTCTCTGGTGGGGGGTGGGAGGGTGGGAGGGGACCTAACAGTCATGAGTTCGATTCCCAGTACCAAAAAAAAAACCCACATAGGCCTAGAGCCCGGAGAGTTGGAGGGGTCTCCCCCTGAAAATGAGGGAAGGCGAGTGTGTTTGGTGGCCTGTCCTCAGCCCCCCCAGCCCCTGCTCCTCCGGCCCCGCGGAGGGGCTCCAGGTGACTCCCCCCTGGGAGGCCGCGGCCCCCCTCTCCAGTGCTTCCTTTTTTCTTCCGCAGATCCCGCCTCAGACAGAAGAAGGGTGCGCCCCAGGGTGAAGAGCCATGGTTCCCGGTCCTGGCCCGGCTCCTGGCTCTCGTCCAGTCACCCCCGAGGAAGGACACCACTGCCCTTGCTCAGGCGTGGGCTGCGCTCGTCGTGCTGCCGCACGTGAGGTGAGGAGAGCGGGCCCGTGTGGGGACCCTCGGGTGGCCGGCTGTCCCGGGGCAGCTGCTGAGGCCACTCTGCCCGTGCCCCGCACAGGCCTCTGGACAAGGAGCAGGTGCTGCCGCGGGTGGCCAGCTTCACCGAGGCGCTCTTCAGCACCGTGGACAGCGGCGGCTCTGGGCGAGGTCAGTCGCATCCTGCCGTGTGGTCACTGTAACCCTGCACACTGGTGGCCGGGAAGGAGTGCTAACGTCGTCCTGGTGTGGCTCCTCTGTGACCCGTGAACACTGGGGAATAAGGGCAGTGAGGCGGGTGTGTGCCCCAGCCCTGGCCCTGTGCCCTTGGAATCCAGGCCTTTCCCCTGGCTTACCCCGTGCGGAGTGAGCTGCCCTCGGGAGTGTGTGCTGCTGCCTGGGGACTTAGGTCTCTGTCAGCCAGTGACCACTGACTTAGTATTCACAGCCCCGCTTGGGCACAGCATGGTAGGGAGACCCTCCTGCGTTTGCGGGTAGCTGGGCTGTCCTGCTCAGACCCCACCACCTGCTTAGTGCTCATGCGGTCCCCCGCTGCCGTGGTCTCTTCGAGTGTCTGCAGAGTTGTCACTCATTCCCTGAATACCAATGCTCTACCTTGGGTTAGCGGTGCTCAGGGAGGAAAGCAGGCCCCAAGGCTCGAGCCTTACACCTGCCGAGTCGACGGTGGCACTGGGGTTACCACTGCGGAGTTCTGGTGGGCGGCACTGGCCTGACTGCAGTGGGGCGTGGCAGAAGGACCAGCTCGTGTGTACTTCGGATTTTGTGGGCCGCATTTGATCTTCGTGCTGTCTGCCCTGCTCCAAGAGCCTGCAGACAGTTAGAAACATTCTCAGCCACCAGGGCCTGTGAAAAGGGCCAGCTGGTGGGTCCAGCTTATGGGCCACAGAGTACTGGCCTCTGGGCTGGAGAGTACCTGGGTAGGTTTTAGGAAGCAGTTATTGGATACCCAGCTCCTTATGGCTAATATTGCCATGAGTTGTATGCAAAGGTAATTCAGCTTTGGGCAGGTCCACATCTACTGTCATCAAAAGTGGGCCAAGCAGTGTCCCTCACTGACGTACTCGGGACCAAGCCTGGTTTGGCTCTCAGTAATCCTCAGTTAGAGAAGTGTTTGCATAGACTTCACTGGTTGACCCAACTCACATTTAAAAATCCCCTAGGCAGGGGATGTAGCTCAGTGGCACAGGTCCCTGTCAAGCCCAAGAGCCTGAGTTCGATTCTCAGTACAAACAAACAAACTTCTCCCTCAAATTGTAAATTCTCAAAAATCTGAAGCACCGTAAGTAGCCTGGTAGTTCTCGACAAGTTTCAGATTAGGGATGCTCCGCCTGTGCCCTGTCCTCCAGTGGCCTGTAGGTTCTCACTCTCTCCATGATGAGTGCTCACTCCGAGAAAGGTACAACCCAGGACTTGGGCACTTCTCTCTTCTAGTCGGGCGTTAGGCAGACACCTGGGGTTCAGTTTGCTCTGTTGTTTTTGAGCCATCCAGGCTGGCTGTGAGCTCGTGTTGCTCCTCCTGCCTCAGCGTCCCAGTGCCGGGATTACAGCTCAGGGCACCACGCCTGGCCCAGGTGGTTCTTTGGAAAGCATAAATGTCTGCAGGCACTTTGTGTAACCCACAAGTGTTGGATAAATGAGATGTTTTGATGGTCAAGTCAAGGAATGAAGAGTGTGGTTCCTGTTTTCCCGTAGGAAACTTGTTTGTTCTCTGTCAAGCTGTGAGTACCCTGCTGAGTGTGGAAGACTCCCCTGCACTGCTCCATCTGGTTCCCGTGGAGCAAGTGAAGAACTTGGTGCTGTGAGTAAATGCAGCTTCCTCCGATCCTCGATCCTCCTGGCTAAACTGTAAAGCCTTTGTGCCTGTGAGATCTGGGATATGATGAAAAGCTTCGCCTCTCTCATGTTTGGGTTGCGGTCAGATAGGGAAGCCTGGTTCTGGCTCAGCTCCTCCCATGGAATAGGCACCTCTCTGACCCAGTCTCCAGTTGCAGGCCCCTGCTTCTCAGGGCTGTTACTGCTTGTGTGCACCGAGGCTTCGTGCTCGAGGTGCCAGCGGCGTGGCCCTCCCCTCCTGCCTCCCAGCGCTTTGGAAAACCTTCCCTTGTGCCTGGTGCGCGGTCAGTGCAGAGCCAGCCCAGCTTGTTGGTGGGGTTTTATCTTGGTGTGGCAGGCTCCGGATTTGGCCCCAGCACAGGGTAGCAGATCTGAGAACATGGCCTTTCCAGACCTCGCCTGGGTGCCTGGTAAAGTCACTGGTGTAGAGACAGAGCCCTTTATCCCCAGAGTTTTTAAAATGGATTTGCTCTTTGGCTTTATCCCTTCAGCGCCTGTTAGCTGTTCCAGACCCTTTGCTGGCCCCGGGAAGCAGTCAGGAAGGGAACCCCCTTTCTGTGGCACTGGTGTTCTAGCTGGAGACAGCACACAAAAATATGGCCTGGGTCGGGTAGCCCAGTGGTTAGGGAGGGAAGCGCAGTTCCTGATGGGGCAGGCCTCACCCAGGCAGGGCACGGCTGAGGGAGGGAGGGAGGGAGTGGGCCGCTGGCCGGCGGAGGTGGGTTAGGAAGCAGGGAAAGAACTTGAGACAGCATGTGGCCTCTGGCCTGGTGGCACTTGGCTTTTCCTCTGTGAGGACAGGAGGCTGCAGGAGGACCCACAGACCTAGCGGGGTTCCCGAGGCTGTGGGGTGAAGGCGGCCACTTAAGAGTGGGTGGCTGTCAGCCATCCAGTGTCCCGGAGGTGGCAGTCCGTGGGGTTGTGAACGCGTGCTTCCGAGCTGGCTCGGGGAGGTGCTGCCTCGGCCTCACCGAGCCCACCGCGCTGCTCAGCGGCCCTCCTGACCCTTACTGCCCTTCTCAGCCTTCGGCCTGGGTGTAAGCAGCAGGGTGGTCTGTCCTCCCCCAGGAAAGCCGCCCCGGGGAGTGTCTGGTCGCCCAGGGTCCAGAGCCCTGCTTGGTGTCCACGGGAGATCCACAGCCAACACAGCCTGGGGGAGTTAGGTGACCTCACAAGACAGGAAACAAAGGCCAGCCGTGGCACTGTTCCTGTGGGGACTAGGTTGTGCACCCCTGTGACAGTGAGCACTTGCTGCGTCCCTGTCCAGTGCCGGTCACTGTTTGGAGCGCTGTGTGCGTCTCGTGACTTCATCCGCACAGCTCCGGGGCAGTGTGCTGCTGGGGTCAGCATCATAGGGGTGATTGAAGTTCCAGAGTGACGTTGTGGCCCTGTCTGGACCACTGTTGTCACCTCTGCCCTTGCTTGCTGTGCCCTCTGGCCTGTCCCTGAGCAGGAGTGACGCTTGTGACTGTGCAACAGATCCTGTCAGACCTTTGCTTGCCCCTTCTGCAGAGGCCCGTTGGTGCGCTTTCCGGCCACAGCAGCTGGCACGGTCACAGCGCTGTCTGCTGTCTGCTGTCTGCTGGGCAGAGGCTGCTGAGAAAGTCAAGGGCACAGGGCGGCCTGTGAGGAGCGCCAGCCCTGGTGGTGGCGACCCCCCTTTGTGGGGAGGGCCTGCCTGTGGCGTGCCTCACTCGGGTCGGCGGCCCCTGAGCTCTGCCTCTGGCTGCTCCTCACACTGCACCTGCACCTCGGCTCACTTCCTGCCGCCCAGCCGTACCTCCTGGCTGCTTCTGGGCACCTTGGCCAGGGGCCCTCCGCCTCCAGGCCTGCGTCCCTGCTGCCTGTGCCACCCTGCGCGGCCCCATCTTCTCTGCACAGCTCTCCGCACTGCCCCCTCCCTTTGAGTTCCTGTGCCGTCCCTCTGCCTCGGTACAGGAGTGTGACCCGCAGGACACTGGGGATGCAGCCGCGCCTCTGCGGCTCCCGGGGCCGGGTGGAACCTGGCTGCCCTCCCGCAGTCTCCCTGCCCAGCAGACGACGGCCCTCAGCAAACACTGCCCAGCTGGTGATGGTGGGGAGATGGGGTGGCACACTGTGCTCCACCGGGGCCCTGGAGCGTGTCATGCAGTTGACGAGTGATGCAGAGCGTCCACATCAGTCTGCGCGTGCATTGCCCTTGTTGAGCTGGTTCTCCGCACCTCACAGTGTCATCCTCTGAATACTCAGCGTGAGGCCAGCTGGGTCTGTGCACTGTCTCTTGCAGGGCGTTCCCGGCAGAGCCATCCGTGTTGCTGCTGGCCGACCTCTATTACCAGAGACTGTCCTTCTGCGGCTGCAGGGAGCTGCTCTCGGAGGAAGCGCTGATGGAGCTGTTCCCCAGGTTACAAGCCAACATTTCAACTGGCATATCCAAGGTGATGTACCCAGGGTGACGCATTGTGCAGTGTGGTCCCCATGTCTGTGTTTGTTTCCCTGTGCAACCCCAGCACACACCAGAGCCCCCTGCACCGGAACCAGGAGGGGCTGCCGTGGGGTGCAGGCCTGCTAACCCCGCAGCACAGTTAGCGAGGGGCGTTAATAAAAATGCAAATTCTGCATCCCCAAGACGTGGGTCACAGGTTAGGGCTGCACTGAAAATCTCTCAGTTTCTTAAAAGCCATGCAGATGATTGTGCTGCTGATTGCGGTATTTGGAAATCTTAAACGTGTTATGTAGAGTGGAAAGGTCACTGAAGACAAGCTGTCAGTGTCCCCAGGTCTTTGCCTCCTTACAGAGATGTTGGGGGGTCACAGCTCAGAGGAGCAGTGTGTGCTGGGTGGCCAGGCTGGCCCGGTCTGTCCTCTCTGTCTGCCTGAATGAGGTGCTGGCTAGTGTCGGAGGTGCAGCAGGGGCCGGGTGGAGTCGCTGCTCTGGTCAGGCGGATCCTGAGACTCGGCTCTCGCTCACTGTAAGTCAGTTTCTTCCTCATCTAAACCTTTGATTTGAGATGTGCCTTTTACTTTCTTTAGATTCGGCTTTTGACAATAAGAATCCTGAACCATTTTGATATCCGGCTTCCAGAATTGATAGAGGAGGTATTTCAACTGTTTAAGTGGGCCGTATTTTAAAAACACAATTTTACATTTTCCTCTTACTTTGTGAAATGATATATATCTGTGCAGAAAATAAGCACACTGTGTAAATACCTGCCACACCATCTGATAGTTTTTTGAATTCTTTTTCCCATCTATGGTGGCTACTACCAAAAACCCTGGGGTACATGGTGCACAGTCTTTCAGAAGCTTCGGGTACACATACATAACGTAGACATGCTGCCATGGAGTTTCCGTGCCAGTCACCCTGGCTTCCCTGCCTGTCTTCTGACATTGGGTGGTGTCCACGGTGTAAAGGCCTTAGGGGCCAGGCCCTGCCCGTGGACGCTGCCTGGGTTTTACACTGCGGTGAACCTCCTCCCGCGGATATCCGTGTGGGGGGAAGAACCCTGCAGTGCCGTTGGCATCCGCTGCCGGTCAGCTGAGTCATTTTGAGCATCTCCCTCCTGCACTACACCCTGAGCCCGAGCAGTTTACCGAGCATCCCTTACTGCATTTAAAACGTTCACGTCTTCCGGTTCCATCTGCTTGGGCCTTTGCCACGTCTAACGCTCTTTCTGGCAAACACAGCCCTGAGCTGCCTGCCCTGTGTCGGCCTGCAGGATGATGTGCTCTTGGAGCGGCCGTCCGCCTTCGCTATCCTGCGCCAGGCAGAGCTTGTCCCCGCGACCGTGAGTGACTACAGAGAGAAGCTGCTTCACTTGAGGAAACTGAGGCACGACGTGGTACGCACTGCGGTCCCCGAGGGGCCATTGCAGGAGGTAAGAGCAGTGTCCTTGTTTGTTTGCTTCCTTCTTAATTACGTGCACGGAACAGTTACCAGGAAAATTTGTTTCCCACACACTCTCCAGGTCCCGGTTCCCTGAGATCAGTAGCTCTTCTGGCCTTTTAAAAAACGGTAGAAACGATTTAGCATCTCCTTTTCGAGCAGGGAAAGGCATGGCCCAGCGCTCAGGCAGTTTTCCTGGAGGAGCGCAAAGCTTGCCACCCTCAGCAGTGTCCCCCCCCCCCCCCCCCCCCGGGCTCTGTGCTGTTTGCTGCGGGATCCGCGGTGGGAGTGTGAAGCTCGCCCCTAGTGGCTCAGCTCTCGGCCTTAGACTCTTAAGGATTTGCTTCGTACAGATAAACTCTCAGCAAAGCACGTGTTTTTTAAACCAGTTTTGTTGGTGTGGCAGTTCTAAAATGCAGATTCTGCCTTCAGAAGGCAGCTTTAGAGGGTGGGGTGAGTCCCTGCAGCCAGGGTGACTTGCAGACAAACACCGGGTTTAGGGCTCCTGAGACGGCCCCACTGCGGCTCAGGGAGAGCTGTTGAGACTGCCGAGGGCCAGGGCTGGCTCCGCCACTGACCGAACGGCCTGCAGAGACTCTGTGGCAGGTCCCCAGCTGGGAGAGCGGCAGTCCTCACTCCCGGGGTGCCTGGGAATCCCACGCAGTAATATCAGGTGCTAGAACAGCCTGAACAGCGGCTACCGCAGTCACTGAGTTCAGTATTGGATTGAACAGACCAGCTGAGACTGGGTGCTGGGGTTACACAAGCCCAGTCTCCAACCGACTCCAGAGGCACTGCAGTGCCACTGCTCCACGGGGGTCACTTGTACCCGTGCGAGCATGTTGCAGGGGACTGTCGGGAGGGCTGTGCGGGGATGACAGCGTGGAAGGGGTGGGGGGGACATGTGGAGTGAGAGAAAGCGCAGAGCCTGCAAGGGTTGGGAGGCCCTGGAGGGGTTGGGGTCCCACGGCAGGGGCTGGGCCGAGCTTGAGACTCTTGATGTCCCCCGTCCCATTTCGTTCGTCGGTGACTTGAAGTTGCTGGGGCCTGTTTCCTCGGAGCAGGGTTTATTAGTTGTAATTTGAGTGGACGTCCAGAATGGCCTCAGATGCTGTGTGTCACAGCGGTTCCTGTGTTTAGCTGCGTGTGACGCTTTCGGGAGAGAAGGAGAATGATCACACACTGAATTGAGGACTGGTCTCTGCAGCTTTGCAAGCCTAGGTTGTCCTAGCTGGGCGCCCGAGCCCCACATTTCTGTCCTCGCTCCCGCTCACCAGCAGGTCTCCTCACTTGCAGGTGCCACTCCGGTACCTGCTGGGCATGCTATACATCAACTTCAGCGCACTCTGGGAGCCGGTGATAGAGCTCATAAGGTAGGTGGTGCGGGTGGGGAGGTGGCACCTGCGCGGTGTGGGTGGCGGGGCCTCTGTAGGAGAAGGGAGGAGAAGCGGTGATGCTCTTCAGCAGGGGGGCTGTATGAGACTTGGGCGTGCACAGGCTTGGAGGATTTCTCTCCCACCGGGATGCTCCTACAAAAAGGCGCCCTGTGATAACGTCACACTTCCATTCACATGGATCAAGTTGCCAAGCCATGCTCTCATTTAAAAACAGGACTGCTCATTACTTCTGCTGTCCAGTGCACAGATGCGCTTCTCAAAGGCCTCCCTGCCAGCACGGCACAGTCACAGAGCGCACCGGCACCTGGCAGAGGTGGAAAGCACTGTTCTCTCGCTCTGTTCTGCGGACAGAGTAGAACACATCCCCTGTGGCTTTCAGAGTCCCTGCTCTTGTTCTTACTGGACCAGAGAGTAAACAAATCCCCTTCCAAATCTGAACCAGTTTACCGCCTTCTACTGCCCTTCGAAGCAGAGTGCTGGAGACCAGGGCCATCCTGTGGGGGGACACTGACGCCTGCACTATCACAGCCGCTGCCAAGGGCGGTGCCCTCGGTGGCCTCCACAGGCCGCAGCTGCGTCCCCACTGGGCGTCCCTGTGGGAAGTGTGCGTGCTGTGTGTGCAGCATATGACACACTCAGTACCTGTCGTGTGTAAAGTCTGTGTGTTCTTAGAAAGTGAATGACAGAAGATACTTAAGAATAGAGAATCTTGTTGCTCAGTATTGAACTAAACACTTACGCGGTTCTTCTCATGTGTCTAAGATCTGAATGTATTTTTCAAGTACTGAGTGTGTGTGTTGCCCGAGTGTTAACAGGTACACCTGCACGTGCTGGCGGGAAGCCAACATTTTAATTAGCTTTGAGCAGCCTGATCCTCCCCTCATTCCCTCCTCCCTCCTCCCTCCTCCCCTCAGCCCTTCCTCCCTCCTTCCCTCCCCTAATGGGCCGTAGTTTGTATACTGGGTCCCATTCTGGTGTGGTACCTTTAAAAGTAATCTTAGGAATCTACTTAGCCTGTTTAAAATAGTCATGAGTCTAATGATTATAAAGATAATTTGTGCATTACGAGCATTTTGAAAAATACAGAAAAGAGCAAAAGTTGTTTTCCAGCTCCATGTGGAGGGATCTGCTACCATTTACTTAGGACTTTCACTGGTTTTCTTTTTCCTGTGAGATACCACAGAGGTGACACGTATTGTGTGTTTCCTTTTAGTTCTCATGCTCATGAAATGGAAAGCAAGCAGTTCTGGAAAGTGTACTATGAACATCTAGAAAGAGCGGCCACCCGTGCGGGTAGGTAGCGGGGAGGGAAGCGGGAGGACGGGCGGCTGATGACCGCTCGCATGAAATGGGAAGCAGAGTGCGAAGGCTGCCCGCTCTGCTGACCCGGGTGCTTGGCTGTGTCCCCTACACTGCTAGAGGAAACGTCCTCCACCTGGAGGACACACAGTGTAGTGCTGGCATTCTCAAGTGCTCTTGGGACCTTTTCTCTTGCAGAAAAAGAGCTGCAGAGGGACCCAGAGGAGGAGAAGCCTACTGGAGATGAAAGCGGGGAGCAGGCCCAGGAAGGCGACGTCGGGGCCCTGTATCAGGAGCAGCTGGCGACGAAGACGGACTGCCGGGAAAGACTAGACCACACCAACTTCCGGTTTCTGCTCTGGCGGGCGCTGGCAAGATTCCCAGAGAGAGTGGAGCCCCGGTCCAGGGAGCTGTCCCCGCTTTTCCTGAGGTTTATCAAGTAAGTGTCCTCAGCCAGGACCGTGTTCCGGGCCGGGTCTGAGGGAGCCGGGGTGAGAAGTGTGAACTTCCCAAGTTTGGCTGAGTTCCTTATACACCTGTCACGGTGTCTGCAAGGCTCCAGCAGTATCAGACAACAACAAACCAATTGTACTTACCACTTAATTTTATATAACCTATGGTGCTAATAAAAACACTAATGAAAATATTCCAGGTTATCAAATAAGCATGCTGAGTCTGGTGATGGTGCAGAGGCCTGTCTATTTTCTCTTCTGTGCACTGTGTCCTTGCCCACCTGGGCTGGGAGATGTTTTCCAGTGCCCTGGCCCCATCTACTCTTCATTGTTGCTCCCAATGCTGAGGGCCACGTGTGCTGTAGAGGGACAGGGTCAGGAGCCCTGCAGAGCTGATGGGTGCTGTGTCGGTGAGAGTCCATCTGCTCTAAACGCTAAAGCTGGGGCTGCGGTGTGCAGAACAGAACCACCCCATTAGTGAGAGGTGGATTTTCCAGAAGTACTTCATTAGGTGGTGGCGTGAGTGGCTCGGAAGCCACAGCGAGCCTGGCTTGCTCAGGGAGCAGGTGGTCCAGGGAGCTTGGCGGTGGTAGGAGAGAGGCTGGAAGTAGGAGCAGGCCACACTGTGGCCTCTCAGTGACCGCAGGGACTTGGCCCCTCTTGGCTGCTGTGTTGAGGACATGCTGCAGCGTGCTGTGGTCAGGAGGGGATGGAGAGGATTGCTGGTGACGGGACCGATGCTGCTGCAGAGCGGACGAGTATTTCTGAAGTTCTAATTTGAAGAGATACTGGGGCGTGTGATGGTAGGAACGGAGCCCAGAGCCTTCGTACTGAGCTACCTCCTTGGTCTTTAAATGGTCTTTAACTTTGCAACGGGGTCTCACTAAGTCACTGTGGCCCAGACTGGCTCAAACTTGCCATCTTCCTGCCGCGGCCTGGTGTTTGGGAAGATTTCCAGCCAGGCCAGCTTGTAGGATCTGCCGGCAGGTGTCGTGTGTCGGTCACAGAGAACATGAGCAGGGCAGGAACTGCATGTGTCTTAAGGTTCGTTCTGAGCAACTCGAAGAAGAGTTGCATCTCCCGAGATGGGGAGGAACACAGGCGCTGCGGTTTGTGGGAGGGCCAGGGGCGCCTGTGAAGACGTGTTGAGTCTGAATGCTGGATACCCGAGTGGCGGTGTCGCTTAGGCACTGAATTTAAGTTCGACATTCAAGGGAAGGTTCTATCTGGAGGTGGAGCATTCGGAATCAGCAGCTTACAGGTGGTGTTCAAGGGCTCAGCGAAGTCTCTCGGGTGTGAACAGGCTGCCAAGGGGACACAGGAATTTAGAGTCAGGAGATGGGGCACCAGTGGAACAGGCCACAGAAGAGTCCCAGAACTACCTGGTATCCCGGGTGCCAAGCAAAGAGAATCTTTGAAGGAGAAATGATCTGTGGCACCCAGTCGTCAGATGAGAACTCACACTGACTGCTGGCTTGGCCAGAGAGCTCTGCGGAGGCGACCATAAGAGCGTTGCTGCCTTAAGCCGGTGGGATGAAGCCTGATGAAGACGGAGAAGGAAGAGGAGCCGCGCCTTCCTGGGTAGATGGCAGCCAGACGGCAGCGTGGGCCGATGGAGTCAGTGGGACTCAAACAGTGCGCGTGACTACAGTGTGGCTGCCTGACCCGGTGGGGAGGGACATTGGCCACACGGGCAAGGACAGGGTGCCTCCCGAGCCGTCTGCGAGCAGCTGAGAGAAGACGGGGTCCAGGCGCGGCTGAAAGGGTCTGTGCAGATAGTTCATTCTGGCAAAGGTCAAGGCGTGGCCGCCGCAGTCCAAGGATGTGGCGGTGAGGGTGACGGTGAGGATTTCCTCCTGTTCACAGCGCTCTTCCTGGAGGTGAGAACAGTGTGGGATTAGGTCTCAGTGCTGTTGTAATTTGCATTTCTCTGATGGCCAGAACATTGGGCATTTTTCCATGTGTTTATTGTCCATTTGTAATTCAGGAGCTGTCTATTCATTTCACTTGCCCATTTTTGATTGTCTTTTATTTGGAGGGCGGGCATCTAATTTTTGAGTTCTTTGGACTCAGTGTTAGTCCTTTGTCTCGGGAGTAGCTGCAAAACCTTTTCCCTGTTCTGCTGGTTGTCCCTGTACTCTACCGGTGGTTTGCTTTGTGTGCAGAAGCTTTTTAATTTTCTATGACCCCATTCGTTGATCCTTGCTATTAGGTCTTGTGCAGTCAGGGTTTCTTTTAGGGAGGGCTGGTAAAGTACTGTCTGTTGGGGTATCTGTGTCGAGAGAGGGAGAGAGGGACAGAGGAAGAGAAAAGGCCTTTATTGAGGGGATGGGAGGACTGCTGAAGAGAGGCTGGCACTGTCTGGAAGCTTCCGGAAGGAACAGTGTGCTTTACTTGGAATTTGACGGGGCAGAATTAAGGGGGCAGGCGGAATGAGGTTTTGACAACTGATTGAAGGAGCATTTGCACATGCGCGACCAACCCCGGACCGAAGGTGTCTGTCCAGCACCCCAGGGAGGCGCTTTCCAGGAAGGACCTGTCACTGTCCTCCATCCTGTCACTAGCAGTGGGTTTTTAAATGAGTATATTTCTGAGAACGTGGAAGTCTGTTTCCTACTTCTCTAACCTAGTGCAGTGCACGCAGTAGACAACACAACAAGAACCATTTAAATGAACAAACGAATTAAAGTGACAGACATCCGTGCACTGAATGACAGACTTCCAGGTAACAGTTGTTGACTGTGCCTGAATGCCGGTGACAGAGACTCGCTGCACAGGAGGTGAGCGTGTGGACTGTGACCTCTCCTGTGAGTATCAGTCTGTGTCTCAGGTGGTGCTGCTTCCAGGCCAGTGTGCAGTTCCCTCTGTCTTCTGGTCCACACCCCAGGAGCTGAGTGCTACTGTGACACTGTAGCTACCTGCCTTTACATTTAAATTAATGTTTTAACTGCTACATTAAAAGGAAAAAGTCATACACTGTAATGGGGGCACAAAGTAGTGGTCAGTACTGTGTGGGTGGTGAATGGTCAGTACTGTGTGGGTGGTGTAGTGGTCAGTACTGTGTGGGTGGTGTAGTGGTCAGGACTGTGTGTGTGGCATAGTGGTCGGTACTGTGTGGGTGGTGAATGGTCAGTACTGTGTGGGTGGCGTAGTGGTCAATACTGTGTGGGTGGCGTAGTGGTCAGTACTGTGTGGGTGGTGAATGGTCAGTACTGTGTGGGTGGTGAATGGTCAGTACTGTGTGGGTGGTGTAGTGGTCAGTACTGTGTGGGTGGTGTAGTGGTCAGGACTGTGTGGGTGGCATAGTGGTCAGTATTGTGTGGGTGGTGAATGGTCAGTACTGTGTGGGTGGTGTAGTGGTCAGTACTGTGTGGGTGGTGTAGTGGTCAGTACTGTGTGGGTGGTATAGTGGTCAGTACTGTGTGGATGGTGAATGGTCAGTACTGTGTGGGTGGTGGAGTGGTCAGTACTGTGTGGTGGTGTAGGTCTACTGTGTGGGTGGTGAATGGTCAGTACTGTGTGGGTGGTGAATGGTCAGTACTGTGTGGGTGGTGAATGGTCAGTACTGTGTGGGTGGTATAGTGGTCAGTACTGTGTGGTGGTGTAGGTCTACTGTGTGGGTGGTGAATGGTCAGTACTGTGGGTGGTGAATGGTCAGTACTGTGTGGGTGGTGTAGTGGTCAGGACTGTGTGGGTGGTATAGTGGTCAGTACTGTGTGGGTGGTGAATGGTCAGTACTGTGTGGGTGGTGAATGGTCAGTACTGTGTGGGTGGCATAGTGGTCAGTACTGTGTGGGTGGCGTAGTGGTCAGGACTGTGGGTAGCGTAGTGGTCAGTACTGTGTGGGTGGCGTAGCGGTCAGTACTGTGTGGGTGGTGAATGGTCAGTACTGTGGGTGGTGAATGGTCAGTACTGTGTGGGTGGTGTAGTGGTCAGGACTGTGTGGGTGGTATAGTGGTCAGTACTGTGTGGGTGGTGAATGGTCAGTACTGTGTGGGTGGTGAATGGTCAGTACTGTGTGGGTGGCATAGTGGTCAGTACTGTGTGGGTGGCGTAGTGGTCAGGACTGTGGGTAGCGTAGTGGTCAGTACTGTGTGGGTGGCGTAGCGGTCAGTACTGTGTGGGTGGTGAATGGTCAGTACTGTGTGGGTGGTGGAGTGGTCAGTACTGTGTGGGTGGTGAATGGTCAGTACTGTGTGGGTGGTGTAGTGGTCAGTACTGTGTGGATGGTGAATGGTCAGTACTGTGTGGGTGGCGTAGTGGTCAGTACTGTGTGGGTGGTGAATGGTCAGTACTGTGTGGGTGGTGTAGTGGTCAGTACTGTGTGGGTGGTGTAGTGGTCAGTACTGTGTGGGTGGTATAGTGGTCAGTACTGTGTGGATGGTGAATGGTCAGTACTGTGTGGGTGGCGAATGGTCAGTACTGTGTGGGTGGTGTAGTGGTCAGTACTGTGTGGTGGTGTAGGTCTACTGTGTGGGTGGTGAATGGTCAGTACTGTGTGGGTGGTGAATGGTCAGTACTGTGTGGGTGGTGAATGGTCAGTACTGTGTGGGTGGTGTAGTGGTCAGGACTGTGTGCGTGGTGAATGGTCAGTACTGTGTGGGTGGTGTAGTGGTCAGTACTGTGTGGGTGGCGTAGTGGTCAGGACTGTGTGGGTGGCATAGTGGTCAGTATTGTGTGGGTGGTGAATGGTCAGTGCTGTGTGGGTGGTGAATGGTCAGTACTGTGTGGGTGGTGTAGTGGTCAGGACTGTGGGTGGTGTAACACTCAAATCACAGTAAACATTGCCTCTTCAATGTTTCCTTATGGTACACATTCAGAGGTCTTTCTTCTGGCCTTTTAAACGCCCAGTGCATGACTGTTCCCTGGCACAGCGCTGCCACACCCTGGCAGTTTTCACTGTGCCCTGCTCAGCCCCTGCCACGCCTGCTCCTGACCTCTGGTCCCTGCCCTCCTCCCGACTTCAGGACAGCAGCCCTTCTAGGCTGGACGCACATGAGACCTTGGGGGTCAGGTCTGTCTGTGTCTGGCTTAATTAAACATACCGTGGTGACCTCCAGGTCCATCCGTGTTGGCACAAACCCAGGATTTCCTTTCTTGGTGGCTCAGTGGCCCTCTGTCGTGTGTACCAGTGTCTCTATGCATTCATCAGTTGGTGAGCAAGTAGGGTGCTTGTTTTTCTTGGCTGCTGTCTGTGTTTGGTGTACAGTTCGGTTTTCAGTACAGAGCGAGTGTGTTCGGGGTCAGGAACCGGCACACACACACCGCATCCTGCCTTTTACTTCCCTCCACCCTTGGCTGTTGTGACCGGTGCTGAGGTTAGCGCTGGGCTGCAGAGGTCCCTCAGGGCCGACTCCCTTCCTGCAGGTGTGTCCCCAGCTGTGCGGTCTCCAGATCATGCGGCACTGGCTCTACTCTTAATTTTTTCAGAAACGTCCGTGTGGCTGTGCTGATTCACACTCTCACTCCGCCCTTCCCCACAGCTCTGCCAGTGCTGTGTACCTTCTGTCTTTCTGATAATGGTCACACTCGCTGGACTGGAGCGACCACGTGTGGTGTTTCATAGCCTCATTGGCCATCTGTATGTCTTCTTTTGAGAAATGTCTCTGTAGAGAAACGTCTGTGCCTATTTTTTTTAAATGATTATTTGGGGGTTCTTTTGCTAAGGAGTTTTTAGTTCCTCACATATTTGTGTACTAGCGCCTTGTCAAATGCACGGCCTGAAACATTTCCTCCCATTCTCCACAGTGTCTCTTTCCTCGGTCGATTATTTTTCTGTTTTGAAGCTTTTTAGTTTGATGTAATCCTGTCTGTTTTTGTTCTTGCTTGCTATGGATTTGGGGAGTCTTGCGAAAAAATGTTCCTTGCCTCTTCTGGTGTCCTCCAGCATGCCCTTTCTTTGGTTTTACAGTTCCCCGCAGGTGGTCTCTGAGCTGGTAGGAGACACGGGGTCTGGCCTCTTCCTCCTGCCCGCGGGCTTTCTCGCACTGTGTTCTCTGCGGCGTTTATTGACAGCACTCCCCTTTCTCAGGCACCTGTTCCTGGTGCCTGTGCTGGGGCTCAGATTCAGCTCCAGATGCACGGGTTTTCCTCTGGGAACTCTGTGCTGCTGCACTCCATCCAGCACCGTGCTTTGCGGTGTATTCTGAAGACAGCCAGCATAAAGCCTCTGCGTTGCTCTTCTTGCTGCTCAGGTCCACTTTGGGCATTTGGCTGTGACACTGTTTTTCAAAGGCGGCTGCAAAGCAGAATGTACTCAGGTGCCACGGCTCTATGTCTCAGGCCCAGGACCTCCGAGGTGAGTGTGCACCCTCATGTGCGTGTCTCTCTCTCTCCACAGCAATGAGTATTACCCAGCGGATCTGCAAGTGGCTCCAACCCAAGATCTACGGAAAAAGGGCAGAGGGCTTTCGGCCGAGGAAACAGAAGAGGAGCCTGCTGCCGGGGAGGATGAGGGTTCAGAGGAGGAGGAGGAGGAGGAGGAGGCTCCCCCAGATGAACCCACACAGAAGAAGAAGACACGGAGAGCGGCAGCAAAGTGAGTCCAACATCCCTAGGCAGTCCCAGATCTTCAGATGCAGGAGCCGCAGACCGCACCCCCTGGCCTGTGCAGGATGGACCACGCTGAGTTTCTGAGATCAGCACCGCATTCTCCTGGGGTTTTCTTTCACAGCCCAAACACAGTGTTGGGTTTGTTCTTCTTGACAGCCGTGGTATGGGAACCAAACCCTGGGCTGTGAGAACAGCTCCGCGCTGGCTCCCGTGTCCTGGGAGTGGGTGCTTCCAGCATTGTTGCCTCTTACCATTGGCCTTGCTGGGCCACAGCTTGGAATGGGGGGACTTTTGAGGGAGCCCCTTTTATATGCAGCTTCTCTGAAAGATGTGCGCTTTGGGCCAAGTGCACCGAACCCTTAGTGGCACCTGCTCCCATGCACAGCTGCAGCGCGGTGCTGGGTGTGGGGGACACGTAACATGTGTCAGCACTCTCACTCGGCCTTTTGACTTATTTCATGCTGGTCACTTTTTTCTTATGCTGTTACACACTCTTACTCTCTTGGTTTTTACCTCAGTAGTTACAGTCCTAAAGAAGTGATCTTGTCTTCAGAAGTTACTTCAGGTTCTCAGAAGGATGCTGAAGTCCACCAGATTTGTGCTGCTGTGTTACTTTAGAACTTTGGGTCTCATCTGAACAACTACTAATTCACTCCAGCAGCAGCTGTATGGAGCCCCTTTTGCTAAATCTCGAGCTTCAGTATGCATCGTACTCGGCCTCTGCAAGGTCGGGTTTATATCTCCTGAAGCAGCCCGCCTGGCTAGTTCCTGCTGAGGCTGTGGGCATCACTCCTGTCCCCCGGCTCTCTGCAGCCACGCAGCGCACGTAAAAGTGAATAACCATGGGAGTGAGAAACGGCTTCTTCGGTGGGAAATGTGGGAGTTTGATCATAAAGCTGCAGGCTGTGTCTCTACCTAGTATCCAGTGAGCCCGGCGTCGCCAGCGCCCCTGCTCTGCGCCCCGCCGTGCGTGGCAGTGGGGGCGGCATCTGCATGTCCCACCTTCCTGGGAAACAACCGAGGCCGCGCTCGCTCCCTCCTCCGAGATAGAGGAGCCACTGTGGTCTCAGGTTGACACGGGCGTCTGACTGGCTGTGTCTGTGAGGCCGAGTCTGTCTACCGATCTCCTGTCTGCTGGACAGGAAATGGTTCCCAGAGTCACATGCACTCAACTTCGGAATGCTTGCTTTCTGATCTTGCTTTGAACTATCCTGAAGGATTTCCTGGGGTGGGGAGCCAAGATTTCAGGGAGAGAGTTGCCTAAGATAATCCTGGAGAATATTAATGTAGCTAACAGTGAACCGTAGGCTGGGTGTTGGAATACTCAGAGGGAGAATAAAATTGTAGGTAATGTTCCTTAATTCTATAATACTATTTTGTGTTTGTTTAGGCAATTAATTGCTCATCTGCAAGTTTTCTCTAAATTTTCAAACCCACGGGCTTTATATCTGGAATCCAAATTATATGAGCTGTATCTTCAGGTAAGTGAAAGGAATTCTTGGCAGTACAATTCTTAAGAAATTTTCTCTTATCATTTTCTTTGTCAAAGTAAATGTAGGTTTGCCCTGTGTGATAGATAGCCATGTCTGCATTTTAATTAGGATTTACTTCAGTAGACATGATTTTCATTACTTGAGAAATAAATTATGTAGCATTAGTTTATTCGATTGTAAAGGCATGTCAGGTAATTAAACATTGATTGCCATTGTACTTAAGGGAAATGTAGTTCAGGAAATTAACATGTAAATTTCTATCTTATTGTATCTGTCACTTTGTTAATTTATATCAAACATCTTTCCTAGCTATTGCTACACCAGGACCAAACAGTGCAGAAGATAACCCTGGACTGCATAATGACGTACAAACATCCTCATATCCTTCCGTACAGGTGAGTTAGCTGAAGCTCAAGAAATGTTACTTTGAGTGGTTTTTATCTTTCTACATAGTAACCCCTTTTAAAACAGTTTTCCAAAGGGCTGAGAAATTTCTCTCTGTTGTAAGGTAGTTGATCAGAATGCTATTTCAAGGCAGTATTTGAAAATCAGAGGTGTGTTTGTTAACAGTTGTTCTCTGGAAGCCGGGCATGGTGGCTCATGCCTGTAATCTCAGCACTCGGGAGGCTGAGGCAGGAGGATCATTGTGAGTTCGAGACAGGCCTGGGCTACAAAGTGAGCTCAAGGCCAGCCTGAACTGCATAGTAAGACCCTGTCTCAAAAAGACAAAAAAAAAAAAAGAGTTGTTCTCTGTAAATCCTAAAGTAGAAAAGGGAACATTAATTTTAAAATATGTGTTATGAAAGTTAATATTTCTTTGGTTAACATAATGCTGTAAAATCTTGGTAGTTAGGGAATTATTTCTCTGTGAACTAAAAAACCTTTTGTAGCCTATTTTTTTTTTAAATGCGTGGTTTTTTTGGTGTGTATCATGCTTTTAAACAGCTCAGTTGTGGGCTAAGTCTGATCCCTTCTAATCCACCTTACCTTTTGAAGTTTGAAGACACTTGAGGGAACCCTGGGCCCGTGGGGGTCGGTGCAGCATGAACTACTCGGGACCATGTTTTAGTTTGCTCCCCACTGGGTCCCGCCCGCTCCTCCACGTTCACAGAGTGTGCTGAGTCGAGTGATGGTCTGTGCTGTGCTTTTCTTTTAAAGGGAAAACCTGCAAAGGTTGCTTGATGACAAAACCTTTAAGGAAGAGATAGTGCATTTCAGCATTTCAGAAGATAGTGCTGTGGTGAAAACAGCCCACCGAGCAGAATTGTTTCCTATTCTGATGAGGTATTTTTACTGTTAAATTACTGAGTTTTAAAGTTACACAGTTGTAAGTATAATATTATGGTCTTTTTCAGTTTAACTGTAGTGGAAATAATTCATTCCAGTGTTGAGCTGTCATGTGATACTACTTTGTAAATTATAAATGGTAGAACACAAAGACGACCTGTAAATAATGCAGAGATCATAAATGCTGAGCAGGAAAATCAATCGTGAATCTTTCTGTTCACAAGCTCCAGAGTGATGGGAACCGGGAGTGATAGAGCCCCTTGCCTGTCAGCAGCCCAGGAGCAGGTCCACGGGTCCACAGGGTCACCGCGCTGCGCTTCCATTACCGCGAGGGCTGGGAGCAGATACGGTGCGCAGTCTACGTGGCTGTGACCGGAGGCTTCCTTTTATCCGTTTTCTAGCTAGGATGGAGATGTTCACTGCAGTGGGTATAAAAATATTTGAATAGGTACATAAAAATTACCACTGTCGATGGACATACAACAGTAGAAATGGAATACAGAAATTGATTTATCCAAACACTCAAAAGTAATCACTGTTGATTTCAGGGTCTATCAGACAACTGTGCAGTGTAGATGTCAGCGACACTTCTGTTTTACCTCACTAAAAGCAGCCCTCCGATGGCTGCATGAAACCCGGAGTAAATACCAGCTACAAAAACCATTTGAACACGTATACATAATCTAAAAGATGGTTGCATAAAATATTTTAGAACTTTTTCACCAAAAAACAAGGACTGGTTAAAAAATATTATGCAGTGAGTATTTAAATAGATATTTCAGAAAAAGCCACTGCTGTTAATCCTCCTCGGAGGACTCCCCCTTTCTTGGAACACCTTTCCCAGCATCCTCCCCACTTTCCGAAGCGGCTCTGGAGGTCCTGGGTCCTGAGTCTTTCCAAGGTGTGATCAGAACCATGGAGAGTGCTGCGGCCATGTGCCACCCCTTGGAAAGAGCACACTGTGTCCCCATCCACTCCTCCACTGCTCTGGCACCAGGCGGCCTCAGGCCTTCCTCCCAGCAGGACATCGAGGATGCCCAGGCAGCACAACGCACGATATGCTCACCGAGGGGCTTCCCGAAGGGTTAGGAAGGTGGCAGGAGGGGCGGGACCAGCGCGCTCAGCTGGGGACGTCTTTGAGGGGATCAGTGGCAGTGTGTCTTTTGTGCATTCTTTGTATTTTTTGACCATACCTCAGATATTGTAAAGTTTATAGACAATGAACTATTTCAAAATGTGATCATTCATTATATAGGAACATCATAGTTTACTTAGCCAAGTGTCTGCTATTGAGCATTTCATCTGTCTCTAGTTTTTGCTAATTTTTTGTTTGCAAAATAGATAATGTTATGTTGATTATCTATGAATCTTTGATTAATTAGAACTTGTAAAAAATTTTTGTAGGTACATGTTGTCATTGCTTCCTCATTTGTTTTCATGACCTATTCTTACTACATAAGTTACTTAGTTTTTAAAAAGTTAAATTTAAGCAAGCATGATGGTGCACACTTGTAATCTCTGCACTCTGGAGGCTGAGGCAGGAGGATCACTGCAAGTTCAAGGCCAGCCTGGACTACATAACAAGACCTCAAAAGAAGTTTTTATCCAGGGACAGCAGCACAAGCCTTTACTGCATGCCTTGGGACAGTGGCACCAGAGGGCACCGGCTACTCTTCCCTGCCACGTTAGTTGGGGTTAGGGTCACCCTGCCCCCGGTCCCACTGTGGGGCACGTGGTCAGGCTGTGCCTCAGAGCGAGCCTGTGGAGACAGGGCCAGGACGGGAGTCACTGCCAGGGCCTTCACGCTGGGCTGCATCCATGCTCCTTTATTGTTTGTTTTGAGACAGGGTAGTGCTAAGATGTTTGGGCTGGGCTTGAACTTGTGATCCTCCTGCCTCAGCCTTCTAGAGGGCTGGGATTACAGGAGTGCACTGACACACCCTGCTCCGTTTTAATTTCTAATACATTATCAATAGATAAAGCTCATATATAAAATGTAAAGGGTCCTACAAAAGCTTGAAAACCAATGTCAGATTTTGAATGTTGAATCAGTGCCTTGTATGCCGTTATTCCTTAACAGTGACTTTCTCTTACCAGGTTATTTAAGATTTTACCAGGAATGGTGTGCTGCATTAGGACTGAGCATGTCCAGTAATGACAGCGAAGCTTACTGAGTGTGAATGAAATGGCCATATTAACTTTTCCCTGTGCGCCCTTGATGTGTACTGCTCTCACAGACCAGTGACCAGGGATTTCCTGGCTAATCCTTTTTTGGTTTTCATGCAGCACTGTTGTTTTAATGTTTATGAGCAAAACCAGTACATAATTTTCTGTATTTTGTTCATTAACCCACCTCAGCATTGTGTTCCATCTTCATTAACAAAAATGATTGTTTTCCTCCTTTTTTCCGCTGTGCAATTGTAACATGGTTTAGTTTTTTTTTCCTTGAAAGTTTAAAAATTCACCTGTAAAACTCTGTGTTTTCTGACGGTCATTGGTCCGCTGAGGTTTTTCCCTGAAGTCTCTGCTACATGCTTACATGTTTTTTCAGCTCTTGATATCGTGGTGGTTTCCTTATTTGCTCACAATTGTGTAATTTCACTTCCTTTTTGAGTCTGTATTCTCATTTTCATTTTTCCTGGGCTAGATTTATCTTTTACTTGGTTATTTTATTGTTTTCTGAGAAGAAAAACTTCCTGACCTTCGTTCGTCTGCTTCCTTCCGGGCGCGTTTCCCCGTGTGGTGCTGTCTGTGGCCGTCTGTCTCTGTCCTTGTTCTGTATCCATATGCGGCGCTGTCCGTCGCCCTGCCAGCTTTTGAGGGAAGCAGGACAGCTAGCACAGTGCCTTACGGTAGGGGGCCGACGCCCACAGCCGCGTTCTCCTGACTTTGCAGAATTCTCTACGGGCGCATGAAGAACAAGACTGGGAGTAAGACCCAGGGCAGGTCCGCCTCGGGCACCCGCACGGCCATCGTCCTGCGCTTCCTCGCGGGGACCGAGCCCGAGGAGATCGAGGGCTTCCTAGACCTGCTGTCAGAGCCCCTGAAGCACTTCAAGATGGGTAACCACCGCCTGCTGCGTGGGTTCCCTGCTCTCCCGGGTTCGCAGTCCGTCTCCCAGCCTGGGTGACTGTCCCCAGCTGAGCGCGGAGTTAGGTGATCTTGCAGCTGACCCCTGGGTCCATGTCGCTTAGGAAATGCGTGCATGTTCCATTGTGCACGGAGGCCATCAGAGACGTGGAGACTGTGTTACCTAAACGCAAACCACGGTCCCTGGGTTCTTCTATGAAACTGAAACCGTGCTGCAGCGTCGGTCCCACCATGTTGGGGTCCCTTTGTCCCCCGAGTCGCTCACCTTCCGTGTGTGGGGGTCTTTGCTGAGCTGGCAGCAGGAAAGTGAGCACTGGCACCCTCCATCCTCAGCCGCCTGCGGGGAAGGGGTCCTGGGCACGCACAGTGAGCCGCCACGGTGTGATCGCTGTGACCGTGACACTGGCTGAGTGCCCGGTTCCCACTGGGTTACATGGGTCCTGTGCAGACAGCTGGGGGAGCCTTGCTCAGCCATAGGGTGGGCACTGCTCGATTGTCCCTGTTTCACAAATGAGGGCACTGAGGCTTAGAAAGACACTGGACGTTGGCAGAATTGGCTTCAAACCTACTCTTTTCTAACTGCTAAACTGCTCTGAGCCAAGCATGGTAGGCTCAAGCCTGTATTCCTAACACTCTGGGAGGCTGAGGCAGGAGGATCACAGATGCAAACCCAGCCTGAGCAGCGCAGGAACTCAGTGAGACCTTGCCCAAAACAAACTACAGCATGGGCTGGGTTGTAGCTCGGGGCTGGTAGGTTCCCTGTTATTTTCTATGATAGCCGCCCCACCCCCCCAACAGGCTTTCATGTAGTAAAACGCTGGCCTGTGAAGGAGGCTGGCTCTAATCAGTGAAGGGCTTTTGTTCTTCGAGTAACCTCCATTCTAGGAGGGTAGAAGTAAGAGACATAGTCACGGATGGACCAGTTAGGGAAATGCATTAAGAAGCTCATGATCTGGTCACAGATGGTTTAAGCAAAACTTAAAGCCAGGTGTGTCGGGGCATGTGTCTAGTCCTAGCTACCAGGGAGGCTGAGGCAGGAGCATCGCTTGAGTGCGGAGTTTGAAACCAGCCAGAACAACATAATGAGACCTCTCTTCAACATGAGAGTGTGATTAATAAAGTATTACAACCAGGTATGGTGGTACATTGCTATAACCCTTACAGGCTGAGAGGATGAGGCAGCGGAGCGGGGGCACAGGTCTGAACCCAGCCTGGGTATCTGGGAAGAATGGGGCTTGGAGACCCGGGGCTTAGCACGGTTTCCTCATCTGCGCTGGGAATACAGTGCTGGAATCTGCCTTCCCAGCTCGTGCGTGTTCAGCGGGCATCAGAAGGAGCCGCGCTGCCCAGTCTGTGCAGGAAGCATGGCTCTGGCCCCTCACCCTGCCCCTCTCCCCGTTCACAGGAGAGTGCCATACCGCAGTCCGGCACGCAGCCGAGGACCTGGACCTGTCCCGCGTGCTCCCCCTGGGTCGCCAGCACGGCATCCTGAACAGCCTGGAGCTCGTGCTAAAGAACATCAGCCACCTCATCCGTGCGTACTTACCCCGGCTGCTGCAGATGCTGCTCTGCGTCACGGCTGCCGCCGCACGCGCCCTGGACCAGCGGGAAAAGGTGGGTGCCATGTGCACTTCTTGGCTAGGGAATCCCAGGCGTCATGCACCTTCTGGGTGTCTCCTTGAGGGGTACTGTGGAGGTGTGGGCTCAGGGATCTTCATCCTCCTGCGTAGGTGTAGCCAGGAACTGCAGGCTGTGTTAAGGGAGGTGAAATGTGACCCTTGGGTGCTGCCAGCATGTGCCAGTGCTGATTGGGGGTGAGGTGGCTGTGGCGGTGGGCTGGTCTGGGGGGCCCCTTGCAGGGCCCGTACCAGGCCCTGGGTCTTTGCACACTGAAGCTCTCAGTGCCAGGCACGAACTGGGAGCTCTGCAGAGGGGAACCCCATGGCTGTGCGATGTCTTGGTCTGGAGCGGGGGTGCAGGCCATGTTCATTTACAGCAGTGCTGCGCTCTCGTGGGGTTTATGCAGGTGTGTGCATGAGGCTCCTGGTAAACAGTCCACGTCCAGGTCTTCAGTAGAGCAAGGGATGCGGCTGATGCCGGAACACAGGTGCAGGCCTGAAGCATATGCTGTGGAGTAGGCAGGCGGGGGGCCAGAGCTGGGGGCCAGAGCAGCTTCATAGGGCCCAGACAGTGTCCATGGGAAAGGAGGCCCCGCTGTTCACCCATGGCAGCCCCGTGGCTTTTGCTCCCCTAGGCGGCGGGGACCCCTGGTCTGGCTCTTTCCCCACCGTCCAAGGGACTGTCAAGCAGTGTTGGGAGTTCCTGCACCTTGACTCCGCCTGGTGTGTCAGGTCTCGGGTCAGGGCAGCTTGGCACTCACATCCTGTGGGGACTCCTACTGGGCCATCCATGTGCTTCAAGGGCGTGGTTGCACGGTGCCGGCCTGAGCATCCTGCCATGTATGCGCAGTGCAGCACCAGCCTGAGGACTGTGGTGCTTGTGCAGGGCCAGCTAAGCACAGCCGGATGCTCACGCAGCATTGTGATTTGTTCCATCTGAGCACGCCGCTGTGTTTTTCTTCAAATCCCCTCAAACATGATTCAGCAGCTAATCAAAATGCAGCCCTGGGAACTGAAGCAGGGCAGAACAACTGTGGTCGCCTTCTCGGGCTCCCTGCTTGTCCCTGGAACTGCCAGCACGTGCCTTGGCTGGGGGGGGTGGGGGCTGGCCCACGTTTGCGGGCGATCGGTTGCTGCCTGCTGCATGGGAGTCAAGTGCCCCGTGAATCGAGTGTCAAGATGTCACTAGCAGCTTCCCTGTTTGTCCCATTTATGATTCCTTTGCCCACAGACTAGATATTCCAGCAATGAGAGCATGGCTGTTGTCTGCATAAATTTCAGGTGGTTTTAGATTTTGTGTAAATAAGATCATATATGAAAACAGGTTTTGTGGCAAGCACAAGGTTCTGTGTTCAATTCATGGTATTCCCCCCCCCCCCCAAAAAAAAAAAAAACCCTCACCGTGGTAGGTTTTGAAGCTTGGGTATAGTATGCACACCTCTGATCTCAGCTACTCAGGAGGCTGAGGCAAGGGGGTCGTTGTGAATTTGAGACCAGCCTGGGCTATGAAGTGAATTCAAGGCCAGCCCAAACTGCATAGTGAGACTATCTCAAAAAGATTATGCATATGTACTTCCATACACACATCCATACAGGGTCATGAAAGGAGCTGGCCTACAGCTCTGCTAGAGCCCCGCTGGGCTTGGTCCTCTGACCGCTGCTGGCCAGTGGATGCCGCTTGGCTGGCTTGTGCCCACAGTCTGGTAATCAGGTCGGAAGGCATCTCTCCTGATTTGCAGGGTTTGTACGTTTTGGCTTTGATAGAAACCTCTCTGAGGCCTTTGTCCTTTCTTGTGGCCTAAACCTTTTTATTCTCTAATACCGAAAGGAAATTCTTCCCTTCCATAGGTTTACTTTTCCCAAATTTATTGAATTCCTCATCTATTCAAAATTTTTGGCCTGTTCTTTTGGGTTTGTTTGGGGGGAGGTGTTTTTTCTTTGTGTTTTTGTGGGCTTTTTTCTTTCTTTCTTTTTTTTCTTTTTTCTTTTTCTTTTTTTCTTTTTGAGGGAGAGTCTGTGCAATTCAGGCCTGGGACTCACAGCAGTCCTCCTGCCTCAGCCTCCTGAGCAGTGGAATCACAGTGTGCACCACTATCCCTGGCCAGTCTTTGGCATTTTCATTCTCTCATATGATTTAAAAAATTTGCACTTGGTGAGATTTTGGACTCAGGACTAGGGCTGTCCCACCGTGGGTGGAGACGCAGCTAATTACTGTACTGCACTGTACCGCACGATAGGTGGGTGGGTGTTTGTCACTCTGTGTTGGAGAAAGACTCCTGAAGAAGTAGCAGCGTATGTTAACAACACATTTGCTGGTGCTTCAGACCCGGCGGCTGCTGTGCCCTGAACAGGCCAGGCGGCTGCTTTTCCGCGTGGCATTTTCCTGTGCGCTGTGTGTGATCTTCCCGCACCTCGTTGTAGTCTTCAGTTTCCTTACTGCAGAGGAGCCTCGCCTGCCTAGTTATGTGTTCCTTTGTTTCTGTGGTGCTCGGCTTGAACCCGGGCCTTGCCCATGCTGGATAAGCACCCCAGTGCTGGGCTGCATCCCGAGTCCTTTTTTAAACGTTGGGGCAGGTCTTGTTTGTGCAGGCCTTGAACTTGGGATCCTCCTGCATCGGCTTCCAGAGTAGCTGGGGTTATAGGTGTGTGTTACCATGCCCAGCTGCCCGAAATGAGTTTAACAATGATTTTTAATTCCTAACTTTCACAAAGGTGAAATAATAATACGAGCATGAGAACAAGAAAGCTCACCTCTCCGGGAAGTGGAAGTTTATTCTTTCCCTAATTAAGGCTGGGGCGGGCGCTGTTTCCTGAGTGTGGCTGGCCTGGTTCCCAAGCAGTGGGGATTTGGGGATCCTCGTGGGTGAACCAGGCGCCGGAGTTTGACCGCGGAGTCCCCAGCCTGGCGGAGCGCCTCGGCCCCCGCGCCGGGGTGGAGGGGCGCGCGTGTGCGCATGTCACATGTGTGCGCGCGTGCAGCTTTTCGATCTGTGTGTTGCAGATACGGCTGCGGTTTATCAGCCCCCTGAAAAATCTGCGGCGTCTGGGAATTAAGATGATCACCGACATCTTTGTGGACTGGGAATCCCACCAGTTCCGAACCGAGGAAATCGAGGCTGTGTTTCTCGGCGCCGTCTGGCCCCAGGTGAGCCCAGGTAACGTGCCGGGCTGGAGGCCGGTCCTGGCGTGTTCCCCTCCCGTCACGCCTCATTATTTCGGGGCTGCTCGTGTGTGTGCTGGGGTCCTGCGGGTGGAAGCCCGGGCCTTCGCCTGAGCCACCCCCATGCTGCGTTTTTCCCAGGCAGATGTCACGGTACGTTGCGGGTATAGGCGCAGTCACTCCCTCCCAGAGAACTTGCACCTGTGCGTGATGTGTTTGGGTTTTCCCCTTCCCTTCCCCTCCCTTCTACCTCCCCCCATTTATAAAATCTTTTCCCTTCTTTTCTTTCCCCCTTTTTTTTAAACTTTCCCCTCCTTTCTTTCCCTGTCCCCCTTCCCCCTCTGAACATTTTCTTCTCATGTTACAATACCTAATACACATTTTGGTCTGTGTTTACACTGAAGTTTTCTCACACCAGAGAAACAATGTGGTATTTACACACGTGTGTCCGATGTGTTTCATGTAGGAGTTGGTCTCAAGGCGAACGCGTTTACCTGGAAATGCGTGGAGCATATCCTCCTTCATGGCAGGCAGGACAGTACTCCATTGTATTAGAGAAATCTTCACGCTTCACAGTTAACGAGCATCTGTATTCTTTCCAAGATTTGCTGTCACAGACTGTGCCTGTAAACAGGGACCACACCCTGTTCTTATTTTGACAGTCTCGCTGAGTTGTCCGGGCTTTGTGGAGCTTGTGACTCTCCTGCCTCAGTCTCGCCGTGTGCTGGGGTTGCAGGCGTGTGCCAGCACACTTAGCCTATTTCTGGGAGTTCTTGGAACACTATTCTTTTCCCCTGCCGCCAGATCCAGAGATCTCGAGTTGCTTTCCTAACTACCCCCGCATTCATCCTTGAGGCTGATGGGGATCTGCTTGTGTCTCCGAGACAGGTGTGACGCAGCCTCCCAGTGTCCCCACAGCCAGCCCGAGGGAGTGTGCAGGCCTCTTTGTCACTCAGGTGCCCGGTTCTCTGCTGGTGCCCGCTTGATAATGTGGGTGCAGGCAGAGCTGAGGACACTGCAGGGGGACCTTGACTGCTCGGTCATTCCTGACCCTTCAGGACTTAGAGACCCAACACGGGCATCTCGACCTGCAGGCACGGTTTTTGCCGTCTATTTCTGTGTAACCCTTTATCTTTTCGCTCTATTTTGTACTTCCATTCATCTCTGTCCCTTGGCCTCTGGCATCGCTTCTTTGGGTTGTTTCTGTTGGTTGTTTTTTATTTGTTTTTTGAGACAGGGTTTTGCTGTGCAGTTCAGGCTGGCCTTGAACTCAGTATGTAAACCAGGCTGGCCCTGGGCTCACAGTGATCCTCCCACCTCAGCCTCTTGAGTGGCAGTCACAGGCATGTGCCACCAAGCTGGAGGTGTTGCTTGGTTTTGTTTTTCTCTAATGTACATTTTCAATTTATGTTGTGTTTTTATTTTGTCGCCTAGATCTGCCGGCTTGGATCTGAGGCTCAGTATTCGCCTACTCCTCTGCTGAAGCTCATTAGTGTCTGGAGCAGAAATTCGAGGTATATTCCCCACCCCAGACCTAGAAGTGGGACAGCTGGCTGTCATAACCTTCCACGCTAGCCCACGCTGCATCCCACAGTGGGTACTCTTTACTTTGCACTCCGGAGCCAGTTTCTCTCCTACTTTTCATTTTTGCTTTCTTGAATAAATTTGGCCACTGCTAAAAAAAAAAACAATACCAATAGTAATAAAATAATGATATTTTAAGCCAATCTAGCCATGACAGGTCTAGACAGGCGATAACATAATGTAGTCTTTCCAGGTAGTGAATTCCTTTGAGTGCAGTTTTAGGTGAGGCAGCTGGGTAGAAGCATGGAAAGACCAAAACAGTAACTGCAAGAAAAATGTAAGGTGTTAGATAATATGTCTCAGGTGGCCCAGGAAAAATGTGTTTAGGCATGTGCACATCTGTGTATAAATATGAAATAGGAAAGTATTTAGAGTTACATGAGAAACTTTAAAAAAAAAAAAAAAAGACACCTAGCTGGGCATGGGGCACACACATGTAATCCCAGCACTCAGGAGGCTGAGGCAGGAGGATCACCCCAAGTCAAGATCAGCCAGGAGAGCATAGTGAGTTTAAGGCCAGCCTGGCCTACAGAGTGAGACCCCGTTTCAAAAACCAAAAACCCTGGTACACCAGGTGAGCACCTGCCCTGCTCCCCTCATCATTCCTTCATAGTAAAAGCGCTCACACCCTCCTGCCAGCCTTTGTGCGCCACAGCACACGTAGCTGCCCCAGAGTGGACAGGACTTCAAAGCCACTTTCTCCATCCCACCGTAACCCCACGCCCGAGACGTGGGCCTGCTCCCAGCTCCCTCCAAGGGTGCATCCCTCGTGTGTGGGGTTGGGGCCACAGACGAGAGAGAGGCTGCTGTGAGCAGCCGCTGACGTGTGTGAGTCATTTAGAACGAAAGGAAAGAGGTGGGTGACAGTGGCCACTTAACCTGGCAGATGGCTTTGAATCCGTGAAGACGCTTCTGCAGTTTTCACAGATCAGCTAAATTCTGGGAGCCGGAAGAGCTAGAATTGGCTGAGCGCTCCGCTAGTGCGTAGTAATACTTCAGGCCGAGCAGACGAAGGGAGGGAACGGAAAACACCGGGCACTGATGGCAAACACGCCGCTTGGGTGTGACCGTTCTCTGCTGCTCGCTTAGGAATAGAAGCGGATTTGTAACTGGCACTCTTTGGTCTTTTCCTAGTTCCCACTTAAAATTAGACAGACATGTTTACATTTCACGGTCAGGAACAGTTCGGATTCCGATTTAGTGACGTTAGCTGAGACCCTGGCACTGATGTTTATAAAGTGGGGGTCGTACTCTACAACTAGCCTTTGGTTTTGGTTTCTCATCTACCATTGTACCTTGAACATTTTTCCACGTCATTAAATAGCTTTCAGAAACCTCTTCTTCGGGAAAGTCTGTTTTACTAACAGGAAGGGCGTCCCCTTGTTTCCCGGTGCGCTGTCGCACTTTCTGTTCGTCTGATGGCTGAAGGTTTACAGGCGGGCTCTGGAGGTTCACAGGCGGTCTCAGAGGAGGCTGTATGCTTGTGCACGTTGAGGCAGCTGCAGTGGGGTCTGCGGGCCCCTCAGCGCTGCACACTCCCCTGCTGCTGAGCTCTTGCTCTCGCTTTGGTTGGGGAAACAGGCCATGTAGCAGCTGAGGGTGCTGGTGACGGAGCCTGCGCGTTTTCCTTTAAAAACCATCCCTAGCGAGGCCGACCACCTTGTGACAGATGACCGTGTGTGGTGAACAAGCAGTGGTGCTCTCCAATCCGCGGCCACGGCAGCGTGCCTCGGTCAGGTGCCTGTTCAAGCCTGCCCTCGCCTGCAGATCCGCTTAGCATCGGTAAATCAGGCAGAGCTGAGCTGAGTCGGTGTCTCTAAGCTCACAGAAAGGACCGGGGTCTCAGAAAGGAGGTGCGCTCAGGACAGAGCGGCCGAGGCCGTGGTTTACAGTCCCGGGCACGTGAGGAGCCGCTGCACAAAACTAAGCCACGCCAGCGCTTACTGGGGCTGTCCCGGCCACTCCTCCCTGCGCTGCTCAGGGTCACTGTGACCCGCGTGCTTCAGGCCGTGCTGCTTTGGAGGTCCCCAGGGCCCAGGGCTCCTCGGTGTGGCACCATTTTCCCGGAGCAGGACTCCAACCTGAGTCTTATTAATGCTCATGGCATACAGGGCCAGCCCGGACTCTCACGGAGCTGTCGATGCAGCATGGAGTGTGCCCGCTGCAGTGTGGCCTCTTCCAGCCTCAGTTTCTCCACCTGTGAAATGGAAACAGTAACAGATGAAAATGTGTACCTGTATTTTGCTCAGCACCTGCCCATGCTATACCTTACCCTTCCTGGGCAGAAAGTGTGCCTATAACCTCCTAGGACTTTCCCTCGGTTCATTGTGCCCAGTGTGTTACAGTACTTGCATGCTCAGTAAAATGAGTCAAAACAGTCAAATGGTGAGAGTTCTCCTGTACAGATTGTTAGGATTGTGTCTGGCACTCTAAATAACTGCCAGCTTGCCCTTGGCTGGAAGATCCTCGCTCTGAGCCGCCTTGGTGCGTTCTGCCTGGAGGACATCTCTCCTCTCTCTAGGGTCCTCTCTGGGGATGGGTCCAGCTCTCCCCACCCAAGGCTGCACGCTGTGTGCTCATATACAGCAGTGGCGCTGTGGGCTCTACTGTTAAGCACCTGTTGCTGGCCTTTGAGTTTTATGAGAGTTAAGCTTGTAATAGAAGATGCCTGGCTTTTATGTTCAGAAAAGGCTGCAGCAGGGCTAGTGCGCTGTTTAAACCTCCTGCCGCTTGCCAGCTCTGGCTTTACGCAGGGCTGTTTGTCCCCTGCAGCTGATTGCATCTCGTTGGCTGTTACGAGGGTTAGCTGGATGCACACGACACCTAGACAGTGGGATGGGCGGGTGTTTGGGATTAGCCCTGGGCCTTCGGGTGCTTCCTGAGCAGTTTCGTCAGCGTCCACACACATGGGCCTGTGTGGGAGATGATCAGAAACCACACAGAAAGAGATAAGGCGATCATTGCAGTGGGTTTGTTCCTGCAGGTATTTTCCTTTTCTGGCCAAACAGAAGCCGGGACACCCGGAATATGACATCCTGACCAACGTCTTCGCAGTTCTCTCAGCAAAGAACCTCTCTGATGCCACAGCTGGCATCGTGATGGACATGGTTGATGACCTCCTGAACCTTCCAGATTTTGAGCCCACAGACACAGTGCCCAGCTTGCCGGTGACTGGCTGCGTGTACGCCGATGCCCCAGGCGACACGGCTGGTGGGTGACACTTAGAACAGAGAGGGTCACTGGCGGCTGACTTTCTCAGTAGCTTCCGGCCATCGGTGTCTTTTCTCTGGGAACTAATTCTCACTTGTATAAAGGAGTGTCCTTTGCACGCATAGCCGTGCAGCTTATTCTCAGGGCAGGAAGTCCGAGCTGCCTTCTGGGGTGTACATGGCTGATTCCACTGTTACACTCTGCCTTCTTCCTACCCAGCTGTCCCAGCAGCCCCCACAGTCAGCAAGAGGAGCTTTAAGCGAGGCCACGGGGTCTCTCATGTTTATTTCGTATTGTGCTGCTAGACTCGCCCTTTTGAGTTAAAAGTTATGTAGTGTTTGCAGTTGAAATCTTAACTAAATTCTCACCAGTAGCCGAGTGCTTTATGTCACCCAGAAGACATGCGAGTCTGCCTCTGGTGAGTTTTTAAAAGTCAGAACCTCACCCACTGTCTGTTTCAGAGGCGATCACTGTGGGGGGAAGACTGATCCTACCGCACGTGCCTGTGATTCTTCAGTATCTCAGCAAAACCACAATCAGTGCGGAAAAGGTGAAAAAGAAGAAGAACAGGGCGCAGGTCAGCAAGGAGCTCGGCATCCTGTCCAGGTGAGCCTCGGCCTGCTTGTGCCGAGGGAAAGGTCCCGGTGCGCTGGGGGGCGTAAAAAGTTTGCTCTTCAGTTACTTGGATATGGTAGTACGTGTGGGAGGTTTTTAGTGGCATAGAGGAGGCCCGGGGTTCAAACCCCAGTGGCCCAAAGAGAGAAAGACGAGGGATCCCTGTAGAGCTGGGGAGCCCAGCTCGGTGAGAGAAAAAGCTGACGTGTGCAAAGCCAGGTCCCTGGCAGAAGGCAGTGTTCCGTGTGTTCCACGCCCTCCACTCTTAAGTCAGTGCAGGACTCAGCGCGGCCGGGCGTGTGGGCTTCTCTGCAGCTCCTGCCTCCATTCAGTGGTGTCAGAGACGGCAGACTCGAGGGCCTAAGTAGACCTCAAAGACTCACCTGCGTGGGCTCTGTGAGTGTTATTTAATTAAGGCTTGAGCTTTATGAAGTCACATCCTGTTTGGGGTTTTATGTTTTTAGTTTAATTAATAAAAGTAGCCACAGATTGTTTTGTTTTGAGAATCAAGGAAGTTTTTCAAAGGGTGTTCGTCAGTAAACCAGGACTATACGATTGAGATTTCTCTAGAGGGCATGGGTACCAAACCTAAGTGTAAGAAACGATTCTATCATGAATTTTAACTTGACAGGAACTAGACTTAGTTATTAGATTTTTTTATGTTACTTTTGCTATCAGAAATTTACGAACACATTGGACCCTTACGAGCGCTTCATCACAATGCTTCCTTTGTACCGTGGTGTCTCTGGGTGACAGAGTGGGGTAGCCCTCAGTCCCCGTGCCCCTGCCCCGCTTCATCTGGGACCGTGCGGCAGTGGACGGTGGAGAGGAGATGAGGCAGGGAGATCCGGGTGTGAAAGCCCTGCTCTGCTTCCACCCTGCAATCTAACATGGGTTTTTCTGCTCATTTTTCTCTGGGCAAGTGAGGTTAATGATTATACTTGCTTGCCGGGTCCTTGCACTGGTTTGTAACCTGCTGTGCAGCCGAGGCAGGAGGGGCCGCTGCTGCCTGCTGGCCCGTCTCCGCATGGTCAGGCCATCTTTAGTTCCCGATGATTTTCTCCAGAAAGTTCCACGTGGGAAAGGTCCTAGCTCAGTAGCTCCCTGAACCCCCCCTTTGCTTGCTCTTGCAGGATCAGCAAGTTTATGAAAGACAAGGAACAGAGCTCCATGCTCATCACACTGCTTCTCCCCTTCCTGCACCACGGCAACCTCGCGCAGGTACGCAGCGGGGAGACGTGCGGGTCGAGGAGGGCCCCAGGAAGGGGCAGCGTCACTGATGCAATTCTGTGATGCACATTTCCCGAGAGCTTACAGAACTCCAGGAGGAGGAACCTGAAACAGCGGGGACAGAAAGGGACTCATCTGCCCAGCAGGGCAGTGCTCCCCCGCTATTTTCCTATATTCTGCTTCTAGCTCGTGCCAGGGCTCTGGCTGTGACTCTGACCCGTAGCAGACATACACTGAAGTGTAAATCCACTCGTTTTGTGAATTACTGAAAGATGCTTTTTCCTCATTGCTCTAAAGGACACAGAGGTCGATGTCCTGGTGACAGTGCAGAACTTGCTGCAGCACTGCCTGGACCCTACAAGCTTCCTCAAGCCTCTGGCCAAGCTCTTCTCCGTCATTAAGAACAAGCTGTCCAGACAGTTGCTGTGTACAGTTTTCCAGGTGTGTAACACTGGGTCTCGCCCCAAACCTCCTTGGTTTTTGTAGGGGGTGGAGCTGGAGGCGGTGAGACAGGATCTCACTGTGCAGCCAGCTGGCCTTGAACACACAGCGACTCTCCCGCCTCAGCTTCGCAGTGCTGGGCTTACAGCTGTGCGCCACCACGCCCAGCACAAACCATGTTGTGCAGAAGGTTGGGGCACCTCCAGGCTGCCAGTGAATTTGGGTGGGGACCGGCAACCGAGGGAGGGCAGAATAGTTAGGGCACTGACTCAAAACACACTGCGCTTTCTTCTTAGGGTCTTTCTGATTTCGAGAGTGGACTAAAATACATTACTGATGTTGCCAAGGTAAGAAACAGTTCTTACTTTTCCTTGGCCTCAAAAGTACAGTCCTTTTTGATCATTTAAGAAGCAGGTGCCTTCATTCATGTGACTTCCCTGGCGTTTCTTGCAGCTGAACGCCTTTGATAAGAGGCATCTGGACGAAATCAACTTTGACGTTCGCTTTACCGAGTTCCAGGCCATCATGTCTCACATTAAAGAGATGCAGACCGTGGATGTTAACTACCTGATTCCAGTGATGCATAATTGTTTCTATAACATGGAGGTGAGGTCTTACAGCACAAGTGTACAGTTTGTTTCTTACTGTTTTGCTACTACAGCTACCTTGTACAGGGTCTCATTTCTTCATATATTTTTTGAGAAGCCCAGAGTTTTTAGTAAAAAAGTTCTGTTAGATGCAGAAGTTTTGGTTTGGCAAGGATATTGCTGTTGTCACTATTTAGAAAGCAAATATCTCAAATAAAATAATGTCTATAGAAGCACTTTAAAAATTGAGCTGTGTATTGGGATGCAGGAATACATAGAGATAGATAAGGTTTGCAGAGGATTGCGCGGAGGCAGGAAGGAGAAGGGAGTTCTGGTGGTGCAGGGTGGTCTGCAGACCTGATGAGAATCCTCCGGAACCGGTGCCCTGGCAGCACAGCCTCCTTGGCGCCTCGGTGCCACCTGTGCACGCTGGAAGCCCGGCATCTGGTGGGGCGTAGCTCAGCCGCGCAGCATGAGCTCGATTCCGGTGCCAGGGAATGAGTGACTGAATTTCGTGGCATCTTAATTATGTCCCGGTTGTGAAAGTTACGTTAAGTCTGTGTTAAATGCTTTCCCTTCTTTCTCTCCCCCTTTGTTTCTTGGTGCCTGTCGCTCATACAGGGAGTGGGCTTCACTTTGGCAGGCTCGAAGCCGCCCCTAACGCCCTGCAGTCATCCCCTCCGCGGCCGCCCCCCCCCCCAGGTTCACGGTGGGGGTTCAGGGCGTGTGCCGTCTGATCGTGTTCATCCCCCACGCTCACCCCAGTCCCTTCTTATCTGTTGATAGTCTCCTTTCTACTTCCTCGCCACCTGTTTAGATCCCTCATGTTAGTAAAGACGGGCAGTATGTGTCTTTCTGAGTCTGACTTCTTTTGCTCAGAATGATGATCTCCAGTTCCATCATTTTTCTACAAATGACAGAACTTGCTTCTGTTTTAGGGCTGAATTGTGTGTGTACTACGTTCTCGTCTCCCACTGACGGGCTCCTAGGCTGGTTCCAGTCTTGGCCTCATACATTGTGCCCCAGAGACACGGGTGCTCAGGCGTTCCTGCAGTGCCCTGATGTCGGTCCTGGGGCGGAGGCCAAGGAGTGGCGTGCGGGTCGGTCCCCCGGTGGCTCTGTGTCTGGTTTCTGAGCGAGGACCCTCCACACTGCGTTCCCTCGCAGCCCTGACACTTAGGGGCGTGGCAGCCCCCTTCCCCGCGTCCTTCTGAGCGTGTGCTGCTCTCTGCATCTCCAGGTGGTCGAGGTGTCACATACTTACTGGCCTTCTGCATTTCTCTGAGAAGCGTCTGCTGGTTCATTTGCCCGCTCACTGACTGGGCTGCTTGGTTTTTGCCGAGTGTTTTGTGTTCCTTTCACGTCCTCCGCAGTAACCGGCTGTCGGGTGAAGCCTGGCACAGCTCTTCTCCCTCTGCGGCGGCTGTTTCTGCACTGTAAGTTGTTTCCCTTGCTGTGCAGAAACCTTAATGTTGTCCCATTTGTGTTTCCTGCGTTGTTGGAGTCTTAGGTCCAGCAGTCTTTGTGCCGATAGTTTGTCTTTTAAAGATGTGGTAGGATAAAAGCAGGTTGCACATGGCCAAGCTGAGCTGAACACAGAGGTGGGGCAGGGGTCCCTGCATGCTGTGGCCCTGTCACAGCGTCAGCAGTGTCCGTGGGGTGTCAGCGTCACATGTCCAGGTGAAGGGTGTGCAGGGTGTGGGGAATCACCTCCCCGCCCGCATCTCAGGTCTCAGCATGAGGAGGCGGCCAGGCAGGCGTGAATCCCTCTCCCTGCTCCGCGATGCCAGGAACCCAGAATGTGACAGGGGTCACCGGCGACCCTCCTGGTGACACCTGAGACTGAACAGTGATGCCTGGCTTTAGCAAGCCCGGTCTTCTGCTTGCTTTAGAAAGTAAAACTGACTCAGGACGGCTCGTGGTCCTTCCTGAAGTTAGCGATGCTCCCCAGCAGCTGTGACATTCCTGCCTTCCTCACGCTCCATTTGCTGCTTCTCTGAGTGCCCAGTAGGACACTCATTGGTAGGGCTTTTTACACGGAGAGTGACAAAATGTCCCCCTCCTTGGAAATAGTGCTGTGCACGGCTACCGCACCGAGCACCTCGTGTTCGCCCTTGCAGCTCGGGGACATGTCCTTAAGTGACAACGCCAGCATGTGCCTGATGAGCGTCATCCGGAGGCTGGCCGCCCTGCGCGTCGCAGAGAAGGACTACCGGGAACTTGTCCAGCGCGCCCTCCTGGAGAGGCTGAGGAAGGCGCTAAGGAGCCCCACCGAGGTACGTGGGCAGAGCGCTGCTCTTCACAGCCGCTGCTTTGATTTGCTTTCCCTCTTCTGTGCTGTGGGAAGGCAGCCAGGCGACTTCACTCAGCTGAAATACCTCAGCGTGCCTGTCACCAGCTGATTAACCAAGTGTGGGGCCAAAAGGAGCACAGTTCTTGATTTTACAAGTGGTTTGCCATCTACTGTGGTTTTGTTCTTTTTTTTGGTTTGTCCTTTTGAGGCAGGGTCTCTGTGCGGTTCAGGCTGGCCTTGAGTTCACCTTGTAGCCCAGGCTGGTCTCAAACTTGCAACAGTCCTCCTGTCTCAGCCTCCCAAGTGCTGGGATGACAGGCGTGCGCCCCCACGCCCTGCCCTGTGGAAATGTTTTTGTTTTTTCTTTACTATAGTGGTTTTTTGGTGCCACCTCCTACTGTCTAGGAGGCAGATTCTTTCTAAAACAAAGCTTTTCTTTTCCACTTGACATTTGCAGAGTATTCGACAGGACTATACCACCATACTTTCCTGTTTAATCCAAACCTTCCCGGAGCAGCTGGAGTTTAAAGATCTGGTGCAGCTCACTCACCAGCAAGACCCAGAAATGGACTTCTTTGAGAACATGAAGCACATTCAGGTAGGAGAGAGCCCTGCCTCCTCCTGTCCTGCAGGGAGCATTTCACACAGTCTCCTGTCCTTTAAAAGACATACTTTAGTGTCCAGAAGGCTTGAACCTCTCAGGCCAGGGGCTCTGGGATCATGGTGCACTGCAGGCGTCCAGTCCCAGGCTTGCTGGCATCAGAAGGCGGCAGGTTGACCATCTTTTCCTAGAGCTTAGCGGCAGGGACTCTTTTGTTAAGTTTGTGTGCCTGTCTGAGAGCCAGGAGGTGCAGGAGTGTCCACCCCTGTCCCCTTCCCTTGGTGAAAGGTCGTGGTCTCGGGTGGAGCTGGCTGCAGGCGGGCTTGCCGTGACCCACACGCCTTGCTCTGACATGCAGGTCCACCGGAGAGCACGAGCCCTGAAGAAGCTGGCGAAGCAGCTCTCGGAAGGCAGGGTGCAGCTGTCTTCCAAGTCTCTGCAGAACTACATCATGCCTTACGCTATGATGCCAATTTTTGATGAGAAAATGCTCAAGGTAAGGTGTCACCGCACCGTGACTTTACATGTGAAGTTGGTTTCCTGTGGGTAGCATTTAGCTGGGTATCACTTTCTGTCCAGTCTAAGAAAATCCCCCTTTTACGTTGAATACAGTTGCTGATAAGGATGAGTTTAGATCTGTGGTCTGATTTGCCTGAGTTTCTTTTTCTTTTTTACCTGTTGTTCCTTCTTTTGGACTTTCTTCCCCTCGACATTCATGCTAAACCATGGAGCTTTGCCCTGATGCAGTGATCTGTTAGGGAGCTCAGGGACGGTCTCTGACAGTGGCCTATGTGTGTGCTCTCGGGGCTCGTCAGGCCTGCACGCAGGTCCGGTGTCCGCCGCTCCCTGGCTGACAGCATGCTCTGCTCCTGTCCTCACGTGCTCTGTGGTGACTGTCACCGGCCCTTCTGCTCTTGTGCCACTCGTCCTGGCTCATACGTGCTGGTCAGTGCCAGCTGGAGAGGCAGGGGCTGGCGTTCTGTGTCGCGTCCTCTGCCCCGGGCCTCTGCTGCTGTGGCCTCAGCCCTGCCCCCACCCCAGTGCTGCCCGGGCTCTGTGTGTGCTGCAACCTAAACGCACACAGCCAGGGCAGGGGTCCTGAGTCTGGTCCGGTGTCCGCAGCCTGAACCTGCTGCCCCAGACTCTGCACTCCTCTGCTCTCATGTGGGAGGGTGGACCGGGTTCCTTGTCCACCTGCAGCACTCCGTGAAGCGCTGTCTCTGAGGCATTGTGCTTTTGTGTGCTGAGCATTGCGGCGCATATTCCTTGACACCCATCGCCTCTATGTTGTTGCAGTGCTGGAAATGAAACCCAGGGCCTCGTGCATTTCGTTGGTCAGCTGTGGTCACTGTTTGGTCTCATTGCTGTCCAGCCTTGGAGCCCGTCAGGAGGGCTCGCTAGAAGACAGTGCAGGACATGTAAACCCTTAGAGGAAGGCATCGCCCACTGGGTTGATGTGGTCTTTCCGTGGCCTGGCAAGGAGGGAGGAGAGGGATCTGGACGCTGGGACATTCCCTCCTTTCTACAGTTCATGATCCGCTGCTTGCGGAGCTTCTTGGTGGCCAGCTGGCCTGTGCTTCAGTAGCCCCTCCACACGCTCTGTCCATGCTGTGCTTGTCTTGTAGCACGAGAACATCACTGCGGCCGCCGTGGACCTCATCGGGGCCGTGTGCAGACTCCTCGCCTGGCCAGCGTATGTCTACTACTTGAAGCACTTCATCCATGTCCTGCAGGCAGGGCAGGCCAACCAGAAGCTGGGCGTCAGGTGGGCTCCAGGTTCCTACTCTGGCTTTGTCTAAAACGCAGCCTGAAGGTTGCTTCCTGCGTTGGTTCCCTGTTCTCAGGTCTCCTTTTACGTAGGACAATATGGTTGTAGCAGTGCTTGTGGAAGTCAGAGTACTAGTAAAAACTAGGGACTGTCCTGGCATTGCTATCCGTGGTCACGAGAGCACCGCCGTGTGTCTTGCCTCAACAGCCTCCTGGTGTCAGTGCTGGACGCGTTCCACTTTGACCACAAAACTCTCGAAGAGCAAATGGGAAAAATTCAGAATGAAAAAAGTAAGTTGTTAAGCCTTTCTTAACCTAGATTTTCACTCTTGTGGGTGATTTATGATTGTGAATTAAAGATGATAAAATTTAGTTTCCCCCATTTCCTCTCTCTTCATTTATTTACCTTTGGTACCAGGAATTGAACTCGGACCCTTGCAGTGGCCAGGCGGGCGCTGTGGCCCTGCGCTGTATCACTGGCCCCCCTTCAGCAGTGACAGCTGATGAACCAGGAGGGAGCTAAAATGATGAGTTCTAAGTTTTTTCATAAAATGTATTTCAAAGGTGTTTATTTTAGTAGTGGACAAAATCTGAACTATGGATTCTTTACCTAGAAACCCATCCTCATGAATTGCCAATGTATAAAAAATAATAAAAATTAAAGCAGTGGTTAATAAGATAGAAAGTAAATACAATAAAACCGAAAGTAGTTACTTGAATAATTATAAACTGGAAAATGTTTAAAGGGATTTCATGAAAATAGACGATACGCTTACATTAGGAACTAAAAAGGACAGGACTGAAGACGTTGTTTATGAAGGTAGAGGCTCGTGGGAGACGTAGGAGCCCAGAAAGTGACTTGGTGGAAAAGAAGAAGATGGGAGGCTCTGCCCACCAGAGGGCTGATCCCTGGGGAAAGCCCGGGTGGTGACGACTGGTGAGTGAAGCGGAGCGCTGTGTGCCCAACCCCAGTGCAGGCGCTAGGGGACGGCAGCCTCAGCAGGTCCCTGTCATGGTCTAGGAGCCTGAGTCAGGACTCCCAGCTGAAGCCCAGAACCAGCCAGCGCTCGGCTGAGAACGGGCGGTTGTCCGGCAGTGTGCGGTTTTCGCTTCTAGAACAGCGGCTAATGGAGTCTGACGCAGTGCTGCCTAGAGCTGTGTGGCCTCCTGCACTGGGTCATATTCCAGAGAGCGAACAGAGGACACAGATTTCCTTAACTTGCATAGGGCAGGGTTCTCCTGAACTCCGCGAAGTGTCTCTTTTGGGAACCTCATGTAACATCTTGCCTGGTGGAAATGGGCACAAGCCTTCGTGGTAAAACCAGAGTGAGGCTGGGCATGATGGTGCACACCCCTGATGCCAGCACTTGGGAGGCTGGCGCAGGAGGGTTCCGTGAGTTTGAGGCCAGCCTGGGCTACGCAGTGAGACACAGTCTCAACCAAAACTAATTGTAAAAACCCGAGTGAAGGAAGGCTCCCTCCTGCTCCCTGCTTAAGCTGACCCTGAGCAGAGGCGTTCACCCCACCCAGCTGTTCCAGTCTAGACACAGGTTCACAGAGTAATTTTCCCAAGGCTGCACAGCTGGCAAAAGAAGAAAGAACGAGAGTGGTAGGCGGCCTTCGAGAGTGAGGGCAGCGTCAGGTGCCGTGGAGGCGGTGGCAGGCACGTCCTGGGCACACCCTGGCCCCTGCCCGTGTGGAAGGACCAGGTCACCTCGACTGCTGTGGATGTGGGGTTTCTGGGCAGCTCTGAGTACAGTGCTCTAGGAGCTTTCTTCAGTGGAGGACCCTCCTCCCAGGGTGTCCGCCCCTGCCGCAGGGTGATTCCAGGTCTCCTCGTCTCTGTCCCCCGTTAGCCTCCTGCCTGGGCAGAAGCAGGCAGTGTGGCGCTCTGGCCACCCCCTGTCCCCGTACACTCACCTTGTCTGCCCGTCGGTGGTGAGCAGATATTGTCTTAGCTGCGGGCTGGCACCACTGTGGCCCTTGTAGTGGACGGGGATGGAAGGTGAGCTTCACCTGTTAATCACAGGCCCAGGGGAGGTGTCAGAGCTCCCAGAGGAGGAGGCCATGGACACCGAGCCCCTGGATGCGGACGGGAAGGAGGACACGAGCGAGATGCCAGACACCCTGGGGGCCACAGGGGACCCCGACCCAGCAGCCGACCCCACCAAGACAGCCGAGGAGACCAGGGCCACCACACAGGCCATCTCCTTCCTCCCTCGGAATAAGGAAGAGCTGGAGAGGACAGTTCAAGCTGTCCACACAGCCCTCACCGGGGACATCCTGCCGCGGCTGCACAAGTGCCTGTCGGCCACGGTAATGACCACACAGTGCAGGGGCTGTGGGCTCCCCGTGGGAGGGTGTCACGTTGCAGGGAGCTGGGCAGCGCCGACTCCGGACTCCAGGGAAGCTGACTGCAGGTGGTAGTGTGTGTCCCTTTCCCGCCCAGTACTTCTCCGCCCGTCTCAGTGCATCCTTCCACTGGTGACAGTGATAACATTTACTAGCGCGTCTGTGTGAAGCCAGGGCCTTTCCTCAGTGTAAAACGCGGGCCAGCAAACGAGGGCCCCTGCGCCGCAGCTCAGGTTATAGAGTCCTGTGGGGATGGACGGTCATTAGCCTGTCACAGTAGCAGTCTAGTGACTCCACACAAAGCCAAACACAGTCACACCTTTACCGAAAGCGCCCGCCCACCACTGGTGTCGGCACTGACCCAGGCAGTTGTGTGAGGCTTGCGTATTTCACAGCAATCTTAACTCACCAGTGACAACTCGGCTTTATTTTTTCTCTAGCTGCTGCTGTGATACTAGGACATTCTTCTCTTTAGCTTTATAAGTTTTAGAGGGTTAGCCTCAAGCGGTACAATTGTTTTTAAGATAGTGAGTTAGAGACTTAACACCTGAGAGATGTGGCCTTCCCAGCCCAGGTTACTGGGCAGCTGCCGGGCCATATCTGGCTGTCGCTGAACCTGCCTTTCTTACAGACTAAACGGGAAGAAGAGCACAAGCTCATCAAGTCAAAGGTGGTGAACGACGAGGAGGTGGCCCGTGTGCCCTTAGCATTCGCCATGGTGAAGCTGATGCGGTCCCTCCCACAGGAGGTGATGGAGGCCAACCTGCCGAGGTACCCCCGAGATCGGGAAGCTGGATGGGGCAGGGAGATGCGTCTGGCTCTTCTCCTCCTGCCTCTGAGTCTCTTGGTAGAGGTCACTATTTGCTGACTACGGCGGTATACGCCTGTGATCGCAGCACTTTGGGAGGCTGAGGCAGGAGGATTGCCACAAATTCGAGGCCATCCTGGGCTCCACAGTGAGTTCATAGAGAAACCCTGTCTCCAAAAGAAAAAACACAAATGTCGTTTGCTGTGATTCTGTGTCCTAACTGGGAAAATAGGCTCACACCATAGTTAGGAGGTGAGAGGACGTCTGCCATTCTCATTTCCGCCTGTTCCATTAGTCACGGTTTCTCTTGCATCTTGTAGTGTCTTGCTGAAGGTGTGCGCCCTCCTAAAGAACAGGGCGCAGGAGATCAGGGACGTGGCCCGCAGTACTCTGGCCAAGATCCTGGAGGACCTGGGCGTGCGCTTCCTGCAGTACGTCCTGAAGGAGCTCCAGACCACGCTGGTGCGCGGCTACCAGGTGAGCGCCGTGCGTTGGGGCCAGCCTCAGGTGGGCAGGCAGGGCGCTCGGCCGGCCGGCAGGAGAAGGGTGTGGTGAAAAGGCTGCTTCTTAGAGACCCTCAGCCGCCCGAGGCGCACGGCCCTGTTTTCTCACAAGTCGCTCAGTGTCATCTCGTGTCCTCTGGGCCCCAGACTTCTCGGTGAATGCGTCCTGACGAACTGGCACAGAGGGAATCAGAAAAGGCCTGCCCACCTGCGTCAGGGCTGGAACCCGGACAGCGGGCAGGGAGAATGTTGGGCAGCTCGGGGTGGTGGGCAGCGCAGAAGTCGGGGCAGCTGTCCTGCAGGGCCCGGGCCTCGGCCTGAGGACAACGTGTCAGGTCCTCCCGTGAGCCCAGCCGAGGCCGGCGCGTGGCAGCGGCTTTCCCTGGTGCAGCCCACCTCGGGTGGCTGCGAGGCTGGTGCAGTGTTCTCCGCGTGGTCGCTCTGGGGATCGCCCCCAGCTTTGTTCTTCAGGTGGGGTGGGGCAGCCTCACCACTGTCCGGCGCCCTTTGCCCCCACTTTCCTGGGGTCATTCGAGTCTCCACACGTGGAGGACCTGGTCAGCAGTAACGCAGCCATCACATCACACCTGTCCTCACTCCAGAGGCCGGACGTTTCTCCGCCCTTCCCACTCTGCCCCTCCGATGCTTCCTGAGTTCCCCCGCAGGACTGGGCTGCAGGCCGGGCGCAGGCTGGTGGCCGTGGCCAGTCCCACTTCCGTCCAGACTTTTCACTTTATCCTGAGGGTGCTGTGGCCAGCGAACATGGCTGTGCACCCTGCGGCCTTTCTGTTCTGTCATCACACATGAAGTGGTAGTCACCAGGGCTTGAAACTGTCTGTCCCTGCCTGCCCCCAGGACCACAGGACCAGTGGCCCATCGCCGAGCCACTGCCCTGTCCTGCTCGCTGGTCCTCAGCGTGGGCAGCTCCTTCCACTGACACGTTGTCATCCTGCCTCAGCTGCCCAGCAAGGCTCTGGTTTGAGGAGCTGGGCGTGGGCTTGTGCCGTTCCCTTTCCCACGTCTTTGTGTCTTCCAGTGCAGGCAGCTGCACTGTGGCAGGACAGGGAGCTGGGAGCAGGCGACAGTCCTACCCGAGCCTTGGCCCGGTGGGGAGGACATAGCGCTGAGCCCTCAGAGAGCTAGGCGTTTGTGGAGACAAGGAGCAGGGTCTCCCCGTCTCCCTGCAGCTGGGCCCCGGCCCCGGGTCGTTGTTACTCAGTTCAGTCCTTGGACGCAGCATCCATTCCACGGTACCCATGCGGGGTGCTGGGCACACACTCTGTCCTCAGTGTGATCAGCACCAGGAGGGGCGCTGGGTGGCCATGTGACCAGCCCTTCTGCTGCTCGCCGCTGCCCCAGGTCTGGACTGTTGTTTTTTTGTTTTTTTCCTTTTTATCGGTACCAGGGATCAAACTCACAACTGCCTGCTTACAAGGCAGGCGCTTATGCCACTGAGCTAAATCCCCAGCCCCTGTTGTTCGTTGAAGTAACTGAAGCAGGGTTGACGAGCAGCTAGTTCAGTTTAGTATTAATTGTGTAGACGCTGCCAAAAGTCAGGGAGTTTTAAAAATTATTTTTTAAAAAGCAGCATGTGGGAAGGCAGTTAAGATGTGCTGTGAACATGGACTAGCTCCTGATGTGTAGGAGACTAGACATGGGCAGATAAAAATTGTTAAAAATTAGCAACAATGAAAAAATAAGTGACAGTGGTCAGTGTGGTGACGAGCATATGCAGTACAGGGTCTGTGACAGTCCTTGTGTGTCTGTGTCCACCCCAGGTGCACGTGCTGACCTTCACTGTCCACCTGCTGCTGCAGAGCCTTGCCAGCCGCCTGCAGGTCGGGGACCTGGACGCCTGCTTGGACATCTTGATCGAGGTGAGGTTCCTGGGTGAGATGCAGTGCATGGCAGCCCCTGCACAGAGAAGCATGTGCTGGCGTGTCCTGGCGTGTCCTGACGTGTCCTGATGTGGTGTGTCCTGGCGAGGCATGGCGCCTTCTGCCATGGGGCTGGTGTGGCAGCGGCTTCAGCGGGCCCTGCTTCCGGGAGGTAAGGGAAACAGTGGCCTCGTGTCTCCGGCGCCTCCTCAGTGAGCATGCTTCTGTTACTGCCTTGAATCCATTTTAAAGGATATCGGACGGAGTCTGGGGTTTTTATACAAAGATGCGCAAAAAACGCTTGGCTTATAATCGTGTAAAATTACACTCATTGGGGCCTGGGTGCAGCTCAGCAGCACAGGGTCTGCCTGGCAAATGTGAGATTGGGAGTTCTATCATTGGTATAAAAAAGAAAATTACCCTCAGTTTTTTAAGTCGGACTCTGTAATTTAGGAAGAGGATCGATCTGAGGTGCAGCCTTTGGCTCACCGTGAACACAGTGCATGCAGTGACCCGAATGCCTGCCAGCAGAGGGTCCACAGCTCTGGCTGCCCACTGGCACAGGGTCTCATGCCCAGGCCTTTGTCCCACAGATCTTCAACCGGGAGTTATTTGGGGCCATGGCTGAGGAGAAGGAGGTGAAGCAGATCCTCTCCAAAGTCATGGAGGCGCGAAGAAGCAAGAGCTACGAGTCCTACGAGATCCTGGGCAAGTTCGTGGGGAGAGACCAAGTTACGAAGCTCATCCTCCCGCTGAAAGAGGTGAGGGCTGGCTGGAGCACCTTCCCGGGAGCCCTGGGGCACCGCTCCGGCCTCCAGTCCGGCTTCGGAGGAAGGAAAGGCGGTCCACCACACTGCAGGGCGACTTTCACTGTGAGATCAGCCGCTGTGCCCACACCTCGGGTCACACCTGCCGCTCTGGGTACTGCTGCCTCAGGGCTGCCCGTCTGTGAGAGAGGAAACTGAGGCGTTCCCGTTCCACAGATAAGAAAATGCAGACTCCAGAGAGCTAGGCGAGGCGGTGCACACCTATAACCCCAGCTACTCAGGAGGCTGAGGCAGGAGAATTCCAGGTTCTAGACCAGCCTGGGCAATTTAGCAAGACATGACCTTAAGAAAGAAAGGCAAGCAGGCTCAGGGCAGCGGAAAGAAACAGAGTGAAGAAGAAAGGGCCCAGTCCCAGGTGTTTCCGATCGGATGCCCACAGCCCTTGCTGTTTGCTTTTGTCCCCTACAAAGGGAGGGAGTGGCGTACCCAGCTCCCGCGGCGGTCTGTGCTGTTCCATCCAGGCGCTGCCCTCCATGGCGCCTTCGGCTCCCGAGCTGGGCACTGGGTGACCTCAGCACACAGCCTGTCCGAGCTGCTCGTGGGCAGCCAGGCCTTGGCCAGCAGGACAGAAGCTGCCCGTTCTGCTGAGGCTGACGATCCTGGCTTCCCTTCCATTCCTCCACCAGGAGCTAATTCCACCCCGGGGCTTCTCCCGCAACGTGGCACTTGGGGTTGTCGGTTCCTTCGGGACTGGCCTGTGCCATTCTGGAGCACAGGCCAGCGAGCTCGTGCACTCTCCTCCACGGCACTCAGAGCGGTGGCCTTAGGAGAGTCCGCAGTGTCTGCAGTGTTGTGCCGGGCCTCGCCCCCAGGGAGGGGCGGAGGGATTTGGGCACAGTAGTGACTTCATCCCGTGTGTGCACCCAGCCCTTACCCCTGAGCTAGAAGGAAGTGGCCAAGCAGAGGACACCCCGGAGCGGCAGGGACACCACAGTCCACGCCACCTCACCGTAGCGCCTCACTCTGCTGCAGGTCCTGCAGAGCACCACGAGCCTGAAGCTGGCCCGCAAGGCCCACGAGACCCTGCGGCGCGTTGTCGGAGGGCTGGTTGCCAACCCGGGCCTGGCCTCCGAGTCCCTGCTGCTGCTGAGCTACGGCCTGGTCAGCGAGAATCTGCCGCTGCTGACGGAGAAGGAGAAGTGAGTGCGGGCGTGCGCCGAGCCGCCCTCGGGAGCTGGCTCTGGGGAGATGGTCAGGGCCTCGCTTGCCCTCCGCCAGGTGGACCGAACGGTTTGCTTCAGTGCGAAACGAGCTGGAAATACCCGAGGGGTCGGGTGGTGCCGCTTCTGCAGGGTTTGGGGTGAGGTCTGCCGGGCGAGAGCGTCTGGCATGAGGGGACTGAGGTGGCTGTGACAGCGGTCAGTCTGACACCTCCTTTTTCTTCTCAGTGCTGGGAGTAGAACCCCGAGCCCCACACTGAGTGTCCCCACCACATTGTAACTTTCTGATTCCAGAAGGAAGTCTTACTGTGCTGTCCAGTAGACTCGAACTTGCCATCTTCCTGCCTCGGCCTCCCCGAGTGCGGGGGTTACAGGCCTGCACCCCACATGGCCTCTCGCCCGGTTTTGTTGGGAATGTTTCTAGACTGTACGAGTAGATTGAGGGTGCGTCACTTACTCACTTACTCTGAACTCAGACCCCACTCGAGGTATCCGAGGCTCATGTTGGCCTCTCCTTGGGCTGCTCCGCTGTATCACAGTAGAGTCCGACCTGCTCCCTGGGGCTGCCCGAGGCGTGGTCACTGTCCTGTCCTCATGGTTCAGCTGAGGCGAGCACAGAGCACTCGCCCTGGGGCTCCTCGGCTGCAGCTGATGGAGATCTTTCCCATTCTACTTGCTCCCGTGACTGCAGGCACCCAGCAGCCCCTGCGCCTGACCCACGGCTGCCCCCCGAGAGCTGCCTCCTGCTCCCCCCGGCCCCGGTCCGGGGTGGGCCAAAAGCTGCAGTAGCCAGGAAGACCAACATGCATGTCCTAATCGAGGCTGGGCTGCGGGTAAGGTGGCCTGCTCGCCTCTTCGGTCCCTGGCTCCAAGCTCGGGATCCATGTCATCTTGGACACTTGCACCCCTGAGCTGCCCCGGGGCGCTGTTAAGGACAGGGAGCGGCCTCCCCATGTACTGCGGAGGCGCCCACCTGTGAACTCAGTCGAATGCCAGCCCTTTTCATCTTTCACTCTGAGAGCAGAGCTCACACCAAGGCCAGGCTGGAATTCACAGTCCTCTTGCCTCAGCTGACCCAAGTGCTGGGCTTGCAGACGTGTACCCCTGTGCCCAGCCACGGGGCATGTTTGCAGACAGGAACCAACCACTGTCCTTGGGTTCCCATTGCCCGGGAAGGAGTCCTGTCCTCCATCAGGCTTCGGGGTCCTGCCCTCATGCTCAGCATGTGCTCCAGCCTCCGAGGCTTCTCCGAGACTCTAGGGTCACTGCCTGCCCTTCCCACACCATCTGCCCGGAACCTAAGGGACACACAGCACGCACCCCCTGGAGAGCTGCAGTGGGCGGGGGTCATCTCTGGGGCACTGGGCTCGGGCAGGCCTTGGGCAGGCCCGAGTCCTCAGCACCCACCCCCCACCCCCCGCAGCTGCTGCATCTGAGCCTGAAGACGTCCAAGGTCACGTCCGAGAGCGAGCGTGCCCTGGAGATGCTGGACCCGTTCGTGTCCCTCCTCATCAGCTGCCTGGACTCCCGGGAGGTGAAGGTGAGTGGTGGCAGTGCCTGCCGGAAGAAGGCCGGTCACTCCCATGCGGTGGACTTGTGTGCCTGAGTGTGACCTCACACCAGGGACCATTCACAGCAGTACCCAGGAGCTGGCATGCATGCAGCCCAGCTAGGGAAAGTGCCACCCTAGAGGGAGCGCCCTGAAAGGCGGGCACCAGGGCACAGGTGGCCTCCACCCTGCCCTCGCTGCTGGGGACACCGGGCACCAGCCTTGGGGAGCAGCGTCTGGACAGGGCTCAGCCCGGTGCTCGTGTCTTCTTGCAGGTGATCACCGGCGCCCTGCAGTGCCTCCTCTGGGTCTTGCGCTTCCCTCTGCCGTCGGTGGACGCCCAGGCAGGGCAGCTGACCAAGCACCTCTTCCTTCTGCTGAAGGACTACGCCCGGCTGGGGGCCGCCCGGGGCCCCAACTTCCACCTGGCTGTGAACTGCTTCAAGGTGAGGGGCAGATGGGCTCCTTGGCTGGTGCTCTTGTGGAGAGCCCGGCCGCCTTGGCACCAGGTGCCCCGGCTCAGCGCCCTGTCCCATCCCACAGTGTGTGACCGTCCTCTTGAAGAAGGTCAAGTCCCACCCGGTCACTGAGAAGCAGCTGCAGGTCCTGCTGGCCTACGCCGAGGAGGACATCCATGACACTTCCAGACAGGCCACCGCCTTCGGCCTCCTGAAGGTGCGGTCTCGGCAGCAGCTGGGGCCCTCGCAGGCCACGGGCTTGGCGCTCAGGGTAGCGTAGCAGGCACAGGACCGTGCTCCTGGTCTCAGAGTCCAGGCCCGGGCAGGCCAGCGGGGTGAGCGGGGAAGGCGCAGGGTTACTGCGGTGGTGCAGGAGAGCCAGGGCTCCGTGGCACAAGCCTGCCCCAGCTGTGCAGGCTCCTGGAGCGGGTCAAGTGCACGCTGCCTAGAATGTCCTAGAACGTCATCTGTCTCAGCCTTAGCAAGGGTGCGCTGCCCCTGGAGGTTAGTTTTGCTGTCTGGAAGCCGCCCAAGGCTGCGATTCTGAGTGTCCTTCCCTTCCGCCGCAGGCCATCTTATCCAGGAAGCTACTGGTCCCAGAAATTGAAGACGTCATGCGCAAGGTGTCCACGCTGGCCATTTCCGCGCAGAGCGAGCCCGCCAGGGTCCAGTGCCGCCAGGTAAGCGGGGGGGGCGGCAGGGTCAGGCCCAGGACTCTGGGGCGGGGGAGGGAGGCCGGTGGAGACTCGGGGCCTCGCGGGAGGGACAGGGAGACACTGTTGCCATGGACAGAGAGGGTGGGCACTGGTCAGGAGCCTCTGCGAGGCCACAGCAGGTGGGTCGCACATCAGGGAGGCGCAGCCAGGCCTGGTTTCTCCTGCACATGGCAGGGTACTCGCCCTCTGCTCCACTACCTCCGCCTATAACTTGGCAGTGTTGCCTGTGTCCTGGGGATGGGAGAAGCCAGGAAACTCCCGCGTGCCTGGGTATGGATGGTTGGCCCACCCTGCCCGCTGCGTGGCCAGGGACCCTCTGGGCACACTGCTGCAGTCCAGGAACCCTTGCCGCCCAGCACAGATGCCAGCTTAGGTCCGGCCCCGCAGGGTCCTGGGTGGGGTGGGCTGGGCCGACATGCTGTCCTCCGTGCTGTCCCCCAGGTCTTCCTGAAGTACCTCCTGGACTACCCACTGGGGGAGCGGCTGCGGCCCAGCCTGGAGTTCCTGCTCGCGCAGCTCAAGTAAGCCCGCCCTGTCCCTGCGACACACTCCCTGGCTGGCCGCAGGGGCGGCTCTGCACACCGTCTCCCTCTCTCTGACCACGGCGCCACTCGGGGCGCAGGGAGTGACACTGAGGCTGCACGGGGGAGGTCGCGAGGAGTGGGTGGCCCCGTGCGGGGCCTTGGCTGACGCGCTGCTGTTCCCATCCAGCTACGAGCACGAGAGCGGGCGCCAGTCCGCCCTGGAGACGGTCGCCTGCCTTGTCGCCGCCTTCCCGCAGGTACCCGTGCCCTCCGCCTGCGGTGGCCGCTGCCCCCTGCACACCCCGCCCCACTGCGCTCAGCCCACTCCCCTCCCTTCCCCAGGGCCTGCTGCACGAGAACTGCGGCCTGCTCTTTGTCCCACTCTGTCTGGCCATGGTGAACGACGCCTCGGCCACCTGCAGGGAGATGGCGGCCCTGGTGCTCAAGGCCCTGCTCGGCAAGCTGGGCCCCGAGAAGCGGGACTGGCTCTTCGGCATGGTCACCTCCTGGTTCGGAGCGAGGAAGGTCAGTGTCACTGCTGCTCGTGTGCTGGGCTCGAGGCCGGCAGTGAGACCCGGGGACCAGGTCCCGGGAGGCTGAGGCGGGAGGGTCGCCTGCGCTCCAGGCTGGGGTGGGCTGCACAGCAGGGCCCCGTCCGGAGGCAGAACCGTCCTGGGGTGGAGGTTCCCTTCGGGAGCAGACCACACAGTTCCTGGTCCCAGCGTCGGGAAGACATGTCACGCCCGCCTGCACGGTGCAGGCCCCGAGATACCCCGGCCAGGCCGCCTGACCTGTCCCTCCCACAGCGGCTGAGCAGGCGGCTGGCCGCCCTGGTCTGCGGGCTCTTCGTGGAGAGCGAAGGTGCCGAGTTCGACAAGAGGCTGGGCGCTGTGCTGCCCGTCATCGAGCAGGAGATCGACCCTGAGAACTTCCCGGACGTGAGTGCCCACGGCCCTGGCCGGCAGCTTGTCCAGCTGGGCAGGGGTGGAGGTGGGGGGTGGGGGGAGTGGCGGTGGCGGTGGCGCAGCTGTGCTCCGAGCCCACCCACCCGGGAGGCCCCAGCGCAGCTGGCAGCGCTGCACGGCACCTCCCCGCCGGGTGCTGCGGGGAGGAGGGGTGCGGGGCGCGGGCAGGCCCTCAGCACAGCGGCCCCGTGTGCAGGTCGCAGAGGAGCCGGAGGAGAAGGCCGCCGACCGCCTGCTCTTCAGCTTCCTGGTGCTGCTCAGCAAGCTGCTCCGGGAGCGCGGGTTCGCGCGCCTCTCCGCGCCCGCCAAGACGCTGGGCAGGATCTGGGGTGAGTGCGCCTGCCTGCTGGGCAGCGAGGAGCCGGGTGGCTGTGGGAGTTGGACAGGGACAGCGCGGAAAGCAGGTGACGAGGCTGCGAACAGTGTCCTCGGTAAGACGGGAAACCCGCAGAAAGCAGCGGAGTCTGCTCTGGGGCCCACACTGCACGCAGCACAGCACGGGGAGGCCGGGGCAGGCGGGCTGCCGCGAGTTCAAGGCCAGCCTGGGCTGCGCAGAGAGCCCGCTCAAAAGATGGTGATACATGGGCGCCAGCCTGCACCCTTGAGCCTGGATCTCACCCGGGCTCGGGCAGCACCTGGTCCCCTCGCCTGCCCAGCCGTGAGCTCCCGGATGCGGGTCCCTGTCCATCGCTGCTTCCTGGTTGCCAGCACACAGCAGTCGTGCGGGGCGCCCACTGTGTCTCCGTCCCCAGGTCACACACACGCTCACCTGCGCCACCCGCACAGCTGGGTGTGGCTCACGGCCGCCCAGGTCTTCGGCCTGCTCTTCGCCTCCTGCCCGCCCGAGGAGCTGGTCGCGCACTGGAAGGCGGCGAAGACAGCCAAGAGGCCCCCGGGCTCCGCGGCAGTCCGCTTCCTCACGGAGGACCTCCCCCTCAAGGTGCGGGGCCCTCCTGTCCTTCGTGGTCCCTGGACTTGGGCTGCCCTGGGGGAGTTGTCACATATGACCCAGCAGGGTCAGCACAGGAGGGTCCCCTGCGTGGTTAAAAGTGACTGGGCTGTCGTTAGAGATGGGCGCTGGGACATCAGGTGACGTGCCCTGCCTGTCACAGCCCTGGGGGAGGCCACGTGGGTGTCAGGTTGGGGACTGTGCGGGAGCCACTCCAGCACCCCAGACCTTGGCCTGCATAGTTCCATGTGAGCGCCCAAGCTCTACAGATCCCGAGAGCCAGATGGAGAGCAGGAGGGGAGCGTGGCCGGGCCACCCATGTCCCCTCAGGAGGGCGGAGCAGCCACAGTGTCCACATGGGTGCAGTGGTCCCGAATGTCAGCCCCTCGTGTCCTACTCGTGCTCAGAATAATACAGATGGCCACGCTGACCACTGCTGTGTCCCCTTCTCTTGCAGATGAGGGACCTTGCCCTGGCCTGCTGCCACCAGCTGCACTCCAGGTTCCTAGAGCCAGCCCCGGGCGAGCAGGTGAGTGCTGGGCAAGGAGATGGTGTCCAGTGTGCCCCTAGCCGCCCTCGTGAGGGGTCCATGCAGCCTGTGGAGCATGGGGCGGCTGAGTGACCGCAGATGGCGGTCGTGAGCACAGGCACTGTGTCACTGCAAAGCCAGGAGGGAGGGGTGGGTAGCGGGGTCCTGCAGGGCGCCAGGGATGAGTCTCAGGGGCTGGGATGAGAGCCCTGAGGTGGGTATGGCCTGGCTCCTAGGCAGGCAGCGGCTGCCAAGTGGCCCCTCTGGGGGGCAGAGAGGGAGCTGGGGTGCCTCCGTCCTCTCAGGGCTGCGAGGCCGACCCGATGGTGTGGGTTGGGTGGGATGGGCAGCACTGAGGATCTCACTCCAGGAGGCCCAGGAGGAACTGGTCACCAGCTGTCCGGCCTCGCTTCACAGGCACCTGGTGCCTGGGAAGACCCTGAGCTGGACAGGGAGCGCTGAGTGGCTCGGTCACCTCTGATGGGACTGAAGGGTCAGGGAGGTCGCCTCCTCTGTTTGCGACTCAGATGGAAGTTGGCACTGCCCCTGGGGCACTTAGTAGCCATCAGACGCCGGGGCCTGAGGGGCAGCAGTGTCCACTTCCTGCCCGCTCGGCTTCCTTCAGGCTCTGCCGCCGCCTCACTGCGGCCTCCCTCCCTCCCTCAGGTCGTTAAGAACCTGCTGTTCATCGCCAAAGTCTTGTACCTGCTGGAAGCGGATCCCGAGGCTGGGTGCGGCGAGGCACCAGAGGACACCGAGGACGGCCCACATGGAGGGAACAGGACACCAGGCCGCGCCACGCTGCTCTGGCTGCTCCTGAAGCTGGGGCGTATGGCCAAGCTGGAAGCCGCCTACTCGCCACGGAACCCCGTGAAGGTGGGGCTGCCCTCTGGTGAACAGTGTGGGGCAGGGACGGAGGCCTGGGGTCCCTCGGTCCCAGGGCGGGCTGACCCCGCTTTCCGCTCGTGGGCGGGCGCTGAGCGAGGGCACTGTGTCCTTTCAGAGAACCTGCATCTTCAAGTTCCTGGGCGCCGTGGCCATGGACCTGGGCGAAGACAAGGTCAAGCCCTTCCTGCCCGTGATCGTGGCCCCACTGTTCCGGGAGCTGCACAGCACCTACGCTGAGCAAGGTAGCCCCCGCCTGTCCCCACCCACCACAGCCACCTCCTCCCCGACCCTGAGCCACTGAGTGCAGGAAGGAAATGTGCCAGGCGCAGGGAGGCCGAGGCAGGAGGGTGGCCACGGCTCGGTCGGCTCGGTCGGCTGAGCTGCGCAGTGCGGGGCAAGGCTGTGCCTCGGGAGCGTCTCTGCTGCTTCCTAAGAGAGGCACTTTGTCCCCAAGCCCGGAGGAGGTGCTCTCCCTCCCCACGGCGGGCAGGCCAGCCCTTGCCCAGTCCCTTCGCACCTCCGGACCTCAGTGCTGCGGCAGCATGGACCCAGCAGAGGGGGCGAGGGTGGGGTGGACGCGGAGGGGGCAGTGGTCCTGCGTCGCCTCTGACGGCCCTCTCTGTGACCAGACCCTGCGCTGAAGAACCTGTCGCAGGAGGTCATCGAGCTGCTCAAGAAGCTGGTCGGCCTCGAGAGCTTCTCCCTGGCCTTCGCCTCCGTGCAGAAGCAGGCGGGCGAGAAGCGGGCGCTGCGGAAGCGGAGGAAGGCGATGGAGGTGCGTGCGCGGCCCGGGAGCTCGGGTCGGGGGCGATGTGAATTGGCCTAACGCGTGCGTGCACAAAAGGGGACACAGTGGGTCCCCAGGGGCCCGAGAGCGGGGCCGCCCGGCCCGGAGAGTTTGAGCTCGAAGCCGGTGCCGAGCCCAGGCCTGACCGGGCTGTCTCTTCTCTTTCCCAAGTTTGTAACCAACCCTGACATTGCTGCCAAGAAAAAGCTGAAGAGGCATAAAAACAAAAGTGAAGCGAAGAAGAGAAAGATTGAATTCCTGCGTCCAGGCTACAAGGCCAAGAGGCAAAGAGGCCGCAGCCTGCGGGAGCTGGCCATGGTGGAGTAGCCCCGCGGACCGGATGGGGCAGGACGGGGCAGGACGGGGCGGGCCTGCCCAGCAGAGCCGCACTCCGGGAGGCCCAGGCTTTATGACCATCTGGGTGGGCTTGGGCAGACTGTGGGCTATGTATAGACTCAAGCACATTCTTTTTTAAATTAAAATGTTTACTACTGCTGCTGTGTCTTCTTTGTCTAAGAAGCACCTAACCCTGAAAGTTTAAACTGTAATGGTTTAATAAAAAGAAGGCTTAGGAACAAGGGACACAGGGAAGGCCCTAGGGTCTGTCCCAGCTCTGTGTGAAGAGTAAACATGGTGATTAGCTCACGGCGCACCCAGTAAGTACTTCTTGCAGCTGCTCAGTACTTAGCGCCGGATACTCCCAGGTGCAGCTGGCTGCATGGCCCCACCGGGTCCCCCCAGGTGAGCCGCTGGGGCACATCACCTGCGTGAGAGGACAGCTCTCACCTGCGGGACACGTCCACAGCCAGTGCTGGACATCTGGGCGGCAGCTGGGAAGTGCCCGCCCTCAGAGGGAGGCCCTCAGAGCCCGACAGGCTGCTGGGCTGTGACATGGAGGGTTCAGACGCTCAGAGCAACAGGTGTTGGGACAGCGCGGGCTGGCATCAGCCTGCAGTCACCGACAGCTCGCGCCAGAACAGGACACCGAACTCTGCAGACCTGAACTGGAAGCAGTCCACACGGCCGTCCCCGAGGACAGAAACAGTGGGTCCACACCAAGAACAGGGCCCCAGGGTCAGCCACACCCAAGCAGGTGGCCTAGGCAGGGACAGGGCAAGTCGGAAGCAGGCGAGTGGCTGAGTGAGCTTGAAGCTCAGGGACATCTCGGCAAGGGGCTGCAGGGACATCGCAAGCCACATGGGCGAAGGGCTGGGACTGGAAGCCTTTCGTATCTGGGCTTCGAGTCCCGCTTTTTGGACTTCGCTCCATTGCTGGTCCTTGGCGCTGACCCTGGACCTCCTGAGGTCCTGTCTGCGAGCCCCACACCAAGCTAGCAGCACAGAGGACACGAGTAGCCGCAAGGAAGCTCTTCCAGCCACAGCTGCTGTCAGCCTCAGCTGGGGACGCTGTCACCCCCGGGGCGCCTGTCCCCACCTGCCTCCCTCCGAGGACCCTTGGCCGGGCCCTTGGCCTCCGATCGTTCTAGAACCAGCGATTCCTGCAGTTGGTTCCACCATGTCGAGGGATGGTGATGGTGACGGCCAGCCCAGAGTTGACCAGAGGCAACAGGAGACAGGTGACAGGACTGAGCAGAGCTGAGGTTGCACTCTGCTTGCAGTGCCCTCCTGAGCACTGGGCTGGGACTCGGGACACCAGGCACTAGAGAAAGTGACCATCATGCCAAGTGGCTTAGATAAGCGTGTCGCTCTCCTGAGAGACTGCCACAGTGAGCGCCATCGAGGACCAGCCCGGCAGGGACACGACTCGTCTTCACCCTGTGTCCCTGGGGGCCGTGGGGTTAGAGGAGGTCCTGGCCCAGCTGGCTTCGGGGTCCGGTGGACCCAGCACCACTCCCAGCCACATACAATGGTGATGCTGTCACCTTTGGTGGCACCTGCCATTTCATTCACTGAGAGGTGAGGGGAGAGCTGGGCACGTCAGGAACTTGTGTTCCCGTCACCGGGCATGTGAACCCCAACTGGCGTCTCCTGTGCACTGCTTCCTGCCGGATGGGCCTGAGTCACAGCAGTGCACCCGTGTTCCAAACGGTCCTCAGTGACAGGCCAGATAGGGTCATCGTGTCTCACAGGCTGGGCCCTCAGGGCTTGAGACAGGACTGGCTGCAACCTGGGCCAGGCTTTCCCTGCCTGAGAAGTGGGGGCACCGGGCACGGGTGCTGGGGACTGAGCCCAGGCCTCCCACACCCAGCCACACACCTGCCAAGCCACACTAGTGCAGGCTGTCGCTGAGGTCCTCCTGGCTGGTGGCCACACAGACAGTGAGCGAAGCGGGCAGGAGCAGCTGAGCCTGCACGCGGGCTCAGGGCCAGGGCCAGGGCCAGGGCCAGGCACCGGCACAGGGGACAGAGGCAGCAGCCGAGCAGGAGCGCTGGGGACCGCTCCCTCCAGCGCCCCTGGGCCCACCGTCTTCCCGCAAGGAGATGGAGGGAGGCACAGGAGACTCGTGCAGGCGCCTTAAAATAGAGACTTTATTTCCCGAGACGTGGGCTGTCTCCTCACTGGGTGGAAACTCGGTCAGCGGAGCCACGTAGAGCTGTGGTCACTGTGCCTTGGTCACTCCACTGCACAGACGGCTTTACGGGGACATTGGGACTACGCTGTGACAGCGGAGGCCAACGAGAGCACAGGGCCCAGGGCCCCAGCCCCACAGGGCCAGTCCTGTCCACGTCAGCACCGCCCAGCCAGTGAGGACAGCAGGGCTGCGCGGTGCTGGGCCTGGAGGCGGGGAGCACTGGGGACAGGACACTCCATGTCCGTCACGTGGCCGTGGGGGACCTGAGCCGAGAGACCGGTTAGTGTTCAAACAGCAAGACGAGAGGACTGAAACCGGGGGTGGGGGCCACCGCCCAGAGGAGCGGCCAGTGGGGCCAGGAGGGTGACAGGCAGGGGTGTTCGGGACAGGCCGGTGAGCTCCCTGCAGCCGACCCCGTCTCCTCAGTTTCTTCCGGAAGCTTCGGTCAGTGCAGCGCCCGCCTCCATCACAAGTCCTAACTCGTGGTCCAGGGCTGCAGCCATGTCCAGGGCCTCATGACAAGTGTCTACTGTCTGCTCTTCAGTGTCTCCACTAACCTGCAGACAGGACAGGGATGGGGACAGGGCGTCACGGAGGCCCCCGGGAGGGAAGCAGGCGCTGCTCCCCAGGTGGACACTCACCACTCCATGGCCTCGTCCAGGCCGGTGCCTTTGGTGGCCGACGTCTTGAATATCTGCCACTTGCGGTCCTTCAGAGCAGACAGGCCCAGGGCGTTGGCCATCTCCGAGGGGGTCATGGCCTGCTCCATGTCCTGCTTGTTGGCGAACACCACCAAGATGGCCTTCCTCAGCTCCTCCTCCTATGGAGACAGAGACTGACAGCTCTCCCGGGGTAGGGAGGCGCCCCAAGGATGTTGGGGCGAGGGGGTTTGTCTTTGAGAAAGTCTCATTACGCAGCTCAGGCTGGCCTTGAACTCACTGCGTAACCCAGGCAGGCTCAGCTTGCACTGACCCTCCTGCCTCAGCCTCCAGGTACTAGGGTTACAGGCGGGCGCCACCACGCCTTTACCATTAGAAACAGTGCTGACTTCGGGCCGGGGATTGAGCTCAGCAAGGCTGACGCACCTGCCTGGTGAGTACAAGGTGGTGCGCTCCATCCGGGTACCCACAGGAACTACTTAAGTGATGGACACCTATACAGAGGAGAAGCCCGCCTGCAGGCTGTCCTCTAAGCAGGATCACCCCTGACCCTGTGAGCACCTTCTACTGGCACTGTGTCCTGCACTTACACACTTAACCCAGCCGGCCAGGGAGGGTGACGTTTACAGGGACCCTATAACCTGCTTTTAAAAAACAGGATTACAAATGTTTCCCCAAACCGTAAAGATTTCTTCCCGGCAGGACGGTGGTGCACGCCCTCAATTCCAGCACTGGGGAGGCTGAGGCGGGAGGCTGAGGCACAGAGCCCCTTGGTCTGGTGCAGCTGGTCTGCTCAGAAGGAAGCCGCGGTGGCCAGGCACTGACCTCGGGGCTGGCACCACACCACAACGTGCTTCTCCCACCTGTGATACCCTGTGGGCTGGGGAGGGCCCTTCTGCCGTCACGGTGCAGGTGGACATCATGACCTTTCAGGTCCAGGTCACAGGACACACAGGGCTTGACCCGCCAAAGTCATGCCGGCCCCACACGGTGCCCGGGCGCAGCCCTATGTCTGCTCACCTCCAGCATGGCCACCAGCTCGGACTTGGAGATGCCAATTCGGTCCCGGTCACAGCTGTCCACGACGTAAATGACCGCATCCGTGTTTGAGTAGTAACACCTCCAGTACGGCCTACAGAGAACCAGAGGGGCTCTTACCAGCCCTGTACAGGGCAGGACCAGCACCGAGGGCAGGACAGAGAGCGCTGAGTGACAGCACATGTCCTGTCCCCCAGGCGCCACGCGCTGGCCGGGTACCCGTAAGTACACCGCAGGCAGCACGCAGGTGCACGCCTCTAATAGACTGAGGCTGGAGGTCGCCATGAGTTCAAAGCCAGCCTGAACTACACATCGGACCCTTCTCAAAAGCGAAACAAAATGCAGAACCACAGAGGTTCCAAATGCGTTCAGACTAAGTTTGAGTTTAAACTACTAACGGGAGTTACAGACATTCCTGATAACTATGGCTTAAAAACGTTTACCGTGAAAGGAGCGCACTTTATTTTAACGTGACTTTATATGACAATCACCAAGTAGAGGTGGCTAAAGTTAAAGTCCAAAGTGATTTAAGAAGCCAGGCAGGGGCGCAGGCAGCCTCCCTAACACAACGGTGCCCCAGCGAGCTACACCCATGTGCCCGAGCCCAGGCACACGGAGCCCTAGGGCAGACAGCATCTGTGATCACATGAGCGTGGTGGCCGCCCCCTGGCTGGGGCCGGGCGTCCCTTACTCCCTACAGACTCTTTGCACCGAGGTACATCCGCAGACCACTGTGCTGTTTATGTGGAGTCAGCATCTTGCTGAACTGCCTAGGCTGAACTTGGCTGTCCTCCTGCCCCGGCCTCCCGAGGAGCTGGGAATGCAGACCACAACGTCACGCCCAGCGTGGGAGGTTTCTTTACAAATCCCACAGCAGTCTGCTGACAGAGGAAGGGGCTGATGGGAGCCGGCTGGAGGCCCTTCTGCATTACACACTGATGTGACCAGGTCTTGAGAATTTCATAAAAAGATTCTGTGATAACTAAAAACTAGCTTCCTTATACCTTCATTCAGTGGCTGTGCTAAGAAAACTGGCAATTTCAAATTATGCTTCATTTTAAACTAGTAAGTCCCATCGCATTTACAAGGCAGAATGTAGTTTGGTTTACGGCTACCTAAGAAACCAAGCACGGTTAACACTTCGGAGGCTGAGTCAAGAGGGCTGCTGAGAGTTAAAGACCCGTATGAACTGCAGAGAGCCAGTCTCAACAATCAAAAACACCAGAAGAAACATCAACCAGTGTCAAGTGTCTAAATACCACAAAACATAAGCTACCCCAATGTTCACAGCGTACCTGATACTTGTCTGTCCTCCCAAATCCCACACTTGGAACTTGAGGTTCTTGTACGTCACCGTCTCCACGTTAAACCCGATGGCTGAAAGAGAAACCAGACCCCTCGTACATGTGGCCTCATGTGTGCACACCTTCCGGTCTCTCAGGGTGAGCAATCTGGGGCGCCTCCCGGCACCTTCTTCCACACGGGAAGCCGCTGAGCCCAGGCTCTGAGTGTGGGCCATACAGGTGCCTCCAGGCACCTTCCTTGGGGGCGGCTCAGCCCAGCTCAGTTCAGCGTTCAGAGTATGGTTTTTGGTGCATTGCAAAGCCTGGAATGCGGTGGCCATTAAATAACCAGGGACTCAGTTCTGACCTGCGGCACAGACATCCTCGGGCCGGCCAGACATCCTCTGTCTCGGGGTCCCCCCTGCAGTGCCGAGCTCCCTCAAGCACACCCAGGCCAGCATGTGCCACCTCCCCAGGCGGAGCCAGGACACCAGGCAGCTGTCAGGGGACACTGCGGTCCTCAAGGGGGACAGCTCAGACACTTACACTTTATGAGCTGAAAAGAATCGCAGTACAAATGCCCTAGAGTGGGAACTGGATGGTGACCCTGGCTTTTCATCCACTCCACTGGCAGATGATGCCTCCAAGTATTTGGTTCACAGATCTGTGTCCCCACCACGCTGGGGGGACCCTGAGAGAAGCAGGCACCTGAGCGTGGCTGCTGGCAACGCTGGGCCAGAGCTACCCCAGGAGACCAGAGGTGGCACAGACAGAGGCCACAGGCACGGGCAACTCCCCCACAGAACCAGAAAGCCCAAATGGGAACACAGACCATCCGAGCAGGCTGCAGGAATGCCTTGCACAGTTTCGTGCATTCTCGGCCTCTACGTAAATTCAGCCAACAAACCAAAACTAGCAGCAGTGGGGTCACCGAACAGGACCACCTGAGACGGTTTCCTCCAGAGCAACCATCAATTTGAAGTCGAGGTATTGTGTTATTTTTAAGAACTGGTTTATCTTAATGTTCAGTCTACAACACAGATTTTTAAAAATAATCAATAAATCACTGAGGAGAAACCAGTCATGATTTAAATAGGGGCAAATACAAAAGGTTTAGGCAACACCGTCACTTAACGTCCATATCACTGTTTCCGCCCTTTGCAGAGTGCTGTTGTAAGCTTCATTTATTTTGCCTTCTCAAAGCCCATAGAATTTATTACCTCTCTCTGTTTAGTTTTGGTTTTGGGGGTTTTTAGTACCAGGAATCAAACTCATGACCTCGGGTTTGCCAGGCAGGCGCTGAGCCGCTGAGCCACACCCGCAGCCCTCAGAATCTATTCTCTTCATCTCAGTAGTTAGGACAATGGCTCTCAGAAAGACTGGCTGACTTCACCTAACCTCAGCCAGCTCTGCAGCACCACAGAGGGCATCAGACTGCTTCCTGTTTGTGGGAAAACTGCTCTCAACGTAATGTTCATACTGCAAGTTTAAGATACTTATTATAATTATTCAGAAAACCTCATTAGGACAGAAACCCGAAAGCACCTACAATTGATTTATCATGCCAACACTTACTAGGAATGGTAGTAACAACTTCTCCGACCTGTAATCTGTACAAAATTGTTGTTTTTCCTGCACCATCCAATCCCAAAATTAAAATCCTCATTTCCCGGGTTCCAAAGAGGCTGGAAAATATACTTGAGAAAAAGCCACCTAAAAGATAGTAAAAACAAAAATGTCAGCATCATTTTGTGACCCAGGCCCAGAGGACATTTACTCTTGCCCTGTGAAAGATATATACCAATTACATAAAAATACTTTTCCTGCACACACAGGTACTTATTCTTGCTTCCAATAAAATACATGTTTCATCCACAAGTAATTAGTGATGTCAGCAGATCCTAAACAGAATGTCAGGCAGAAGGCACAGTAGTTAAGGCCACACCCTGTGATCACAGACCATGAGAGCCAGGACCACGCACTCCATGCAGAGCAGCATCACCACTCAAACACCTGCAGGCTCGCAGTTCTCTAACAAGCACAAAACTTGTCCAAAAACTGCACTCGCAGACCAAAAGTAACCAGAATGACAGCAAGAAAGCTTATTTTATAAAATAAAGCCACATCTGGACCTAATAAATATGGGAAGTCCAGAGAAGTCTTTGTCTTAGCCCCCAGTCTCGAGCTCAGCTAAAGAGTTTTGACCCCCTGAAGCCCTAAAATCAAAGATAAATAAATAAAATAAAGTCACATCCACGCCCAGCAGCGTATGGTGATGCACACCTGTGATCCCACCCATGGGGAAGCTGAGGCAGGAGGATTGCTGAGAGTTCTCTGGACTACATAGTTCAAGACCAGACTGAACTACATAGCAAAACGTTGTGTCACGACAGGATCGAACATATACACAAAAGGTACATCCAAATGCAGCAGGAAATACTTCCAGAGTATTCTGGGTGATACTGAGGTATCTGTGGCACAATTCTTTTCTGATCAAAATTCACTCGACATGATAAAAAGATCGTTGCAAGTTCGAGGCCAGCCTGGGCTACACAGAGAGCTCAAGGCCAGCCTGAATGGCACAGCGGGAGCCTGTCTCAAAGGAAAAAAAAACCGACAGAAGTGTTCCCACACTTTTTTTGGCGGGGCGAGGTCACGCGGGGAGGTTGCTGTTGGTTAAGCCACGGTCTTGCCATAAAGTTGGCCAGGCTGGCCTCGAATTCGGGCGACCCTCCCTCCTCAGCCTGCGGACGGCTGGGATGACAGGTGTGCGCCACCGCGCCCGGCCCCGGCACACGGAGGCAATAAACACCGCGGGCGAGGAACGCGGCACGGGCGTGGCTTAGCCAAGTCCTTCGTGCCAATGACGGCGGGACAGGAGGAAGGGCAAAGCCGAGGGTGCCGCACGCCCGGTCCGCACCCGGGGCGGGGGCAGAAAGTGCTGACCCCCCAAACCGCGGCGGGAGCCACCAGGCCGAAGAGCCCGGCCCCGGCGATGCACGGCCTCGGCCGAGTGAGCACGAAAAGGCCTCGCGACGGGCGACACCTCCGCTCGGGCGCCCGGAGAGAACCGAGCCCCCGAGCGTGCGAGGACGACGGTGTCCCGGCCCCGGGCACAGGCCCGGCCCGCAGCTGAGGAGCCCCGGCGAGCTCCGCTCCCCCGGCCCTCGACGCCTCACCCATGATGAGCGCCGGTCCACCCTCGCCTGCACTCGGCAGCGACTCCTACTCGACTTCGGCGCCGCCACCTCCGCCCGCCCTGGCCCGGCCGCGGCCCCAGCGGTCCCAGCCAGCCGGGTCGGTCGCCAGCAACTTCCACGTAGGACTCCGCGGGGGCGGGGCGGGGGCGCGGCCAACGCGGCTGCGCACGAGCTCGGCGGCTGAGCGTCCGAGACGGCGCTTTCGACACATAGCCCGGGCTCGCGCGAGACCGATACCGAGACATCAGAGCAAAAAAACTAGGAGACTCTCTACTTTCTTGATTCTGCTTTTTAGAGCCAGGAAAAACGTCTAAATTGTAGAAGTTTTAATTTTTATTTTGAATTCTGACAACGACATGGGACGAATCGGCGATCTCGGAATGCAAGTAGGCTGTGGAGTAAGCAGCGCGCAGGACGCAGGCGCAGGCTGCGGTGTCTCAGGGATGCTGGTCCAGGATGCAGTCGTTGCGCTGTGTCCCGGCTCTGCCCCCTCCAGCCGGAGGAATCGGGGCTACGTCATTACTCAGGGACTCCTCCTCCGGCGCGTGCGCAGCGCCTTCCGCGTGAGTTGGTCCGCTGGAGTCTCCAGTTTCGGTGGTTTCAAGAAGCGGAAATCCCAGACTCGAGAGGCTGAGGCAGGAGGACTGTTGCAAGTTCGAGACCAGCCTGGACTACAAAGTGAGCACAAGGCCAGCCTGAACTGCATAGTGAGATCCTGTTTCAAAAAGACAAAAAAATAATAAGTAAAAAAACCGGCGTTCAGCCCGGACACCGGACACCTGGCCGGGTCAACGAGGCAGATCTGGGCTTTGGGCCCTCAAGAGGCATCCTTTGGAAGCCCTAGGCATCTTGACAGCGAAATGTGATTGGGAGCAGGGGAGATGGGAGAAGCGAGTTCCTACGCTCTCATTTTTTTGAGGGTTTGTTTTGTTTTGTTTTTGAAACTGGATCTGGCTCTGTAGCTCAGGCTGACCGTGAACTCACAGCAGTCCTCCTGCGTCAGCCTCCCGAGTGCAGGGATTACAGACGTGTGCCATCATGCCCAGTTTAGAAATTTTCATCTATTGAATAGTTTATGAACTACCTAAAAATTTCTGCAGCCTTATTTGAGATATAATCGATAATTAAAAGTGTAAATATTTGGGGTGTACAGTGCTATGTTTCAATATATGTGTGCACTATGGGACGATTGTGACCACCTAATGCACCATCCTACGGACACTTTCTTTCCTTTTAGTTTGTTAGTCTATTTTCACTTGGTTTCTCATACATGAGAAACCCTGTGGTGTAGTTATTTTCGTGTGTGATGAGAACCTTAAAGATCTCAGCAGTTTTGAAGTATGCATGCAGTATTATTAAATAAAATCACCGCGCTGTATGAGAGTCCAGAATTAATTCACCTCCGAGTGAAACTTTCATGCTGCACCCGAGCCCTCGGGCACCACTGGTCTGACTCCGACCCTCCGGGTTCCACCTTCTCTGATTACTGATAGATTAGTCTTTCCATGCCCTCCTTCCCCGCTTTTGTTGGTTTTGGTTTTTGGTTTTTTGAAACAGGGTCTTGCTATGTACTTGAGGCTGGCCTTAAAGATCCTCCTGCCTCAGTCTCCTGGGTGCTGGGATTACAGGCTGAACTACCATGCCCCATAGGCAGTTTGAATACTTATTTTTTAAAATATACCTACTTAATCCTTTGCTTTTTTAGGAAAGATCTGGTCTAGTTTTGGGGATGCATCACAAACAAAACAAAAAACAAAAATCTATTCACTCACAGGAACTTTTGATTACAGACAGACCCTAACACACACACACACCACTTTGAACCCCACTTCCACTGCCTACACCCACCCGCCTTGTGTGGCCCAGGCTGGCTTCAGACTCACAGGGATCCTCCTGTCTCAGCCTCCCAAGGGCATGGATGACAGGCGTGTGTCCATACCTGGTGACATTTTTTCTTTCAAGTCTTTGCTCAGATCCCATCGTATTTAAAATTGTAACATCCCCCACCTCCTTATGCTAATTGTCAGTACAGCCTTTGGTCAGACACTGGTTTGCTTATTAAGCTTTTCAGGTTGTCTTACAGTCACTAAGAGGTGAGAGCTATGGGCCCAAGCATTTTCGTGTCCGTTTTGCAGCAATTTTATTCTTGTGCATAGGCGCTAAGCAACTATTTGTTAAATTATAAAATAAGCTCTTGAAGCCAATGTCATAAACATTAGTTAGTTGTTACACATTTATTCTGCAATTCGTTAAACTGTTTTCTAAAATAGTTATAACCCAACCACTTTTCCAGATTTGATAAAAGACGCCAAACTACCAAAGAAGTTGTCCTATTCTAAGGGAAGCCACCAGAGGCCGCTGTTGTATCAAAGCAGCTGGAAGGCTCACCAGGTTGCTGGATTTAAAAGGATTGCGGAACCCTTTCCAAATCACGGTCCAATAAAATATTTCTAGATTTAAGATAGGGGTGTGCTTCTGCCAATATATCTCTCTTTTAAAAACTTTCAGAGCCTTCCTGGTATGCACAAGGTCCTGAGTTCAATTCCTGATACCAAAAAAAAAAATTTTTTTTGCACTTTCCAAAGTCTTTTTCCTGTTCAGTGGTGGAGGTGGTGGTGGTTATTGTTGTTGTCTTCGGACAGAATCTCCTGGAATAGCTCAGCAGACTGGCTTTGAACTTTCCACCCTCTTGCTCAGCCTTCCAAGTGCTGAGAGTACAGAATGAGACCCTGGTGGTGCCACGCTCCTGGATGAACTCTACCATAAACACCTGCACACCACCTGGGCACCAAAAGATGTGTACAAGAACATCTGCATAGCTGCATTGCTTGAAAAGTCAAAGGTGTGTGCACGCCTGCAATCCCAGCGTTCGGGAGGCTGAGGCAGGAAGATCACTGTGAGTTTGAGACCAGCTGGGGCTACAAAGTGAGTTCAAGGCCAGCCTGGACTGCATGGAGAGGCCCTGGCTCAGATAATACATAAATAGGAGTAGAATAAAAATAAAGTTGAATGAGGAAGTTCCCCGAAGGTTGCCCAACTCGCTGTGTGGGAAAGTGTTCGGGGCCGCGCGCGCGGGTCAGGCCTGCTTTGCATTTCTCTTGAATATTTCTTTTAAAAATACCAACTTGCAGTATTTGGATTCCAGAATGAACCTTAACTCAAATATTAATGTATCTTTTGGGGCAGAAAAGAAGAGAGTCACCTTCTCAAACTGAATCACGGGGAACGACCTCAGGCCCGTCCAGAGGGATTCGGTGCAGACACTCCGAATGTCCCTCTCCTGGCATCTGATAATTATGTTCACTTAGCTCCACCCCGCCCTGCGGGAACAGAGGATCGGACCCAGGGCTGCTCTGCACTGAGCAACAGGCCAGCGCTGCTGAGTCTTTTTCCTTTTGAGACAGGGTCTGGTTAAATTGCCCACAGTGTTCAAACTCCAGTGTGCCTCAGCCTCCCAGAGTGTTGGGATTACAGGCATGGGCCACCACACCCTAAGAGTTATACACATTCTCAATAATGTATATCAATACATGCAGATCTGTCTCATTCTTTTCCCCAGTTGGAAAAAAGCTAAATGTTGAAGTGGGAATTCATTAGTGCTGATACATAGCATTTCTCCATCTCCACCTCTAATCTCTCTGTAACTGGAAAACTCCTAACCTGCTACAAAGCCCACGTAGGCATGGCCCTGAGGAATGGGGAGATACTCAGTCTGGTGCCTCCTCTGCTATGTGCACTCAGGGAGGTCTGGGCCACAGCATCACAGCACTGCACAGGACATCTGGGTGTCCTCTGGTCCACCATGACCCACAGGAGCATTTGGGTGTAGGAGTTGGCCCAGCGCCTGATTCAGCATGACCTCAGATCTGAGAGTGACATAGCAGTCACCGCCCTTCTGAGGACAAAGTAGCTCCATGCACATGGCGTCCTCTGCTGGGGTCAGCGAGCCCACAGGCCCTGCTCCTCACCCCCTCCCAGTGGGCCAGCTGGACAGGGACTTGGTTAAGGGTCCCCAGAGCCAATGTGGCTGTTCCCACGTAGAGCTTGGGGCAGCGAGGCTCAGTACGTGGCTTCAGACCCCAGGGGGTCTGGATGTCTGGAACGGACTCAGATCACAGTATTCCTACTTGGCTGTGCCAGCCCAAGCCTGTCACCCCAGCACTCGGGAGGCTGAGGCAGGAGGATCACTGCAAGTTTGAGGCCAGTCTGGGCTGCATAGCGAGACCCTGTCTCAAAGCATTAATTAAAAAATTATTTTCCTATTAAGGCTGTGCTTTCTGGGCAACTCTACGACCTCTGGCTTTGACGTGTCCATTCAGTAAATAAATATCCACTGAGCACCGCTATCAAGGAGGGAGCAGCTGGGGACCAGGCCGGGGCTGCCCACAGGAGAGGATGCTGCAGCCATGGCTGAAGGGCATGAAAACCCGAGGCTGCAAGGGTGCCACGGGGTGCGTGGGCTGCACACTGGGCTCAGAGTGGGCTTCTCCCAGGACAGCGTTGCTCTGCCCAGGTCCCCAGCGTTTGAGACGATTCAGGAATAATACAGGATAAAGACAATTTCTTCAGTCGAATGATGCAGAAATTAGGACAGTTCTCCTTATGGCACAGAGCACTGACCAAAACTCCTTGCTGGCCAGGCGTGGTATTGCATGCACCTATAATTCCAGCACTCAGGAGGCTGAGGCAGGAGGGTCCCTGTGAATTTGAGGCCAGACTGGGCTACAAAGTGAGCTCAAAACAGCCTGAACTGCAGAGTGAGACCCTGTCTCAAAAAACAAACAAAACAAAATCTCCTTATCCTCTACAAACAGGCAGGTGTGGTGGTACACACCTGTGGTCCAGCTACTCAGGAGGCTGAGGCAGGAGGACCGCATGTCACAGGCTAGCATGGGCCATTTAGCAACACCTCATCTCAAAATTTTAACAAGCCAGGGGTACAGCTCAGTGGGGAGGGGCCTTGATTCAACCCCAACAAACCCCAGGACCCCTCTTTAAGAACCTGCAAGCAGCCTCGGACCAATTTAATTGACTTTTCCCCTCCCTTCAAATACCGGCAGCCCGTCATGTAACAAGGAAGGAAGCCCTGTGCCGCCTGCGGGATGTGAAATCCGTGCTGGGCTGGGAAGCGCAAGTTAGCAAGTTTCAGGT